TAGAAGCGATGCTCGACGAAGAACACGGGAGCCCGCTAAACTTCATCCAGCATGAAAGAGACGATAATTGCTACACATGGGGCCGTATGGGTGTTCATAACGTTGTTATCGCCTCATTGCCCGAGGGAAGATACGGCCTTGTTTCTGCAGCGACTACCGCATACAGTCTGCTTAGCTCTTTACCGCATCTTCGGATAGGTCTCATGGTCGGCATTGGCGCTGGGATCCCCAAGCTCCAGACGAATATCGATATACGTCTTGGGGACGTTGTTGTTAGTCAGCCTACTGACCAAAGCTCGGGAGTCTTTCAGTACGACTTAGGAAAGAAGCGACAAGACGGTACTTTTCAGCACGTTGGATCTCTTGCTCCACCTCCTACGGTCCTTCTCACAGGGCTAAAAAAGCTCAAAGCTAAGCGGCGTCGGAAAGGCTCTGAGCTCCCCTATATTCTCGAAGAAATGCTTCGTCGCTCCCCGAAATTGGCGGAGCCGGACGATGACGACCCTGCTTTTGTATACCAAGGCTCACACAACGACCGGCTCTTCGAATCGTCTGTTCCACACGTGGAGATGACCGCGGAGAAGAACACGGCTGCAGGATTAAGTAAATCTACCCAGACTCCATCGGTTGAGAATAGGAATGCCGAGGAAGCCGGACTGGAAACTGGCAATTGCGTTTTATGTGACCGCGCAGGCGAAGTCACCCGAAAAGAACGACGCTCCACCGATCCGGTGGTTCACTATGATATCATCGCTTCGGGCAATTCGGTCATGGAGAACAGCTTATGCCGCGACGAAATATCAAGGCAAATCGACGACAAATGCATCTGCTTCGAAATGGAAGCAGCTGGACTGATGGATACTTTCCCCTGCCAAGTTATTCGGGGGATTTGCGACTACGCAGACAGCCACAAGAATAACCGATGGCAAAACTACGCGGCAGCAACAGCAGCTGCATTTTCAAGGGAGCTTCTTCATGTAATCGACGCCGTGGATGTTTCGAAGTCTCCGAATATGAAACAGATCGTTGATAGAAGTTAGTGAAGATCATTTTATCAGGTAGATGCTTCGTGTCTAAAACTTTTCATAGTGCTGGAGAATATATCGCAGCTCACATCAGACACGAAAGAAGCAAATCAAGGTCTTCAACAACTAAACGACAACAAGCTTTCGGAGAACATCAAGAATTGGCTTTCTCCGTGTGATTTGTGGGAAACCCACAACTCTACCTTGGAGCGTCGCCAAGATGGCACGGGAAACTGGTTTCTCGACAGCGACAGTTATGCATCCTGGAAGGAAAACTCAAAGTTTTCCGTTTGGGTTCACGGCAAGCCCGGCTGCGGCAAAACCACCCTTTGTTCGACAATCATCGACGACGTAATGCATGGCTCAATGCACCGAAGCCGTCCGCTCGTTTTCTTTTATTTCGCCGTTACTGACAATCGCCGAAAGTCGCTTGACGGCGCAATCAGATCGCTCATAGGTCAATAATGCAGCCAAAGTGAGGACGTTTGGACAGAATTGAAGTCGCTATATTCCAGTCATAAAAATGGCGGAAGGCAACCTAGCACAAGATCTCTTTGTAAGGCTTCTGAGAGCATGGTTCTGTGCATTGGAGAAGTTTGGATGGTGCTCGATGCACTTGATGAATGTGAGGCAGGGATGGGCTTAACAAGTCAAGGGGTAATGCCTTGGGTAAAAGGCCTACTGGAATCTCCGCTGTCCATCCGTCTACTTCTCACATGCCGTGGGGAACACAAGACTCAATTGTACTTGGAGGGTTCGACCAACAGTCGAATGAATTTGGGTGGTGAGCTGATTAGGAAGGATATACGTGCGTATGTCCACGAAACACTCAGTACGCGCGAAACCTTCAAACGATGGCGTCGGAAGGGCTATGAGAGTATTCAGAGAGAGATCGAGGACAGTTTAGTGGCAAAGGCTAACGGCGTGTAAGGCAGGCCCCATCTATATTTTGGTCTGTACCGCTGACACTGAATTGGAGTTTTCGATGGGTTGCATTGCAACTTGACGCTCTCCAACACTGCCAGGACCCTGCTACTCTACGCAGAGAGCTCAATGCTCTGCCGGATGATTTAGCAAATACGTACGCAGCGATTCTTAAAAGAATCCCGAAACGCTCGGAAGAACAGTCCATACGGCTTTTGCAATTCCTTGCCTTTTCCGAGCGACCACTTCGAGTCAAAGAAGCTGTTGATCTACTGGCGGTAGAGCTGAAGGAGAAGCCTGGGTTCAACCCTAACAACAGAATGCCGATACCGGAGGAGATTACGGGATACTGCTCCGGCTTGGTAGTCATCGGCTATACAGACGAACACCGGGGAGATATGGAGATCCAGCTCGCGCATGCTACCGTGAAGGAATACCTAATTTCTGATCGGTTGTCGCAAGATGTCTCTGCCCATTTTGCGACATCGGTAGCGAAGGCCGCTACCTCGATCACAGAAGTCTGTCTTGCAAATTTGTCAGAAGTGAAGCTCGTCTCGCCTCCAAATATCGAAGACTTGAACTTTTACAAAGACAAAGACGCGGTTTACTACCTTAACGTCCGGCCGCCCTGGTATCACTACAAACCTTTTCGCGGGGTTGCATTAGACGGCTTCATCAAGATGAGATACCCGTTTGCACAATACGCTGCAGACTACTGGATGAGACACGCTTTTCACGCCAATACCTCACAAGTCGAAACCCAGGTTAAGAAGTTCATCGACTGTGAGATTTTCCATAGACTCTACGAACATTCCGCAGAGAATTCTTCAGCGCTATACCGCATGGCACAAGAAGGACTTACTTGGGCGATTGAGCTACTGCTGGAGAAAGATGCCGCCCTCTTGAATGCCCGAGAAGATGAAAGCCTCCTCGCGGCAGCTATACAGCATCGCCATGATAATACTTTCCACGTCCTCCTAGCGAGAGGTGCAAAGGTAGACAGAACTGTCATTGTGTGTGCATCGTCCCGAGGGGACGAAGAGCTTGTCAGACCTCTGATTGGAAAGGTCACTGCTGCCAACGCTTGGAAGTGGTGTAGCAAGGCAGCCAAGGCTGCTTGTGCAGAAGGCCATGTCGAAATCCTGCACATGATTCTTGAAAAGTGTGAGGAGGCTAATATCATGTGCTGCATCGAAGGCGAGTGGATATGCGACGCGTTCAAAGGCGGCCATAACGCTGTAGTAATGGCACTTCTTGATAGTCCTCCGCATGCAACCTTTTACGCCCAGAGTTGGAGGTCTGCATGTGAGAACGGCCTCTGTGGGTTGGTGGAGATCCTGCTTGCGAAGGATACTGATGCCGACGCTGCAGGCCGCAGGACGGAGGCCTTGCCTATTGCGACTGACAAGGGGCATGTTGAGATTGTCAAGCTACTTCTAAAAAATGGCGTCGGGATTGGAAAGGCGGTTTTTTTCGCGGCCATCGGGAACCGCGAAGAAATTCTGAAGTTACTTCTCGAAAACGGCGGAAGCCCCAACACGACTCATAGGAGTGAGACTGCTCTTCAAGCTGCATGCTACAGAGGACATAAGAACATTGTCCAGATACTCCTTGAGTTTGGGGCAAGTGATAAGGATCTCTTTGGTCCTCTGGGAAGCGCGTTTCAAAGTGCTGTAAGAGGCGGTAATTTGAAGATTGCAGAATTGCTGGTGGAATATGGTGAGGCAAGGAGCGGGTTTGACATAAGAGGCATTCCAGAAAAGAGGCTAATAGAAGGCCAACTTGCTAGACTGCGAAGGAAAAGGCGAAGAACGAACTCCTGGATATATGGTCTCAGGAGACCAAGAGACATTAAGATCAGCAGATAGCCAAGTAATCGGAACAATCTGTATTTCAAGCTTTCAGACTATTTCCACGTTTTTTATTTGCTTAAAGTTTTTCCGGCAGTTGATGGGGTTCAAATTCTGCTAAAGGTCCAGAACTATGCGGCCTAAGGGCCCAAGAAAGACTGATACTAGGTATCAAAACAGCAGGGTATGGTAGTGATGCATATTGAGGGCAACAGTATAAGGCATTTGGGTTCCTCAAGTGAAGCTATCACAAGCTGTAAAAAATGCGATTGCATCGTTTTGTTACCGTCCCTTTTAACGTACACAAGTAGGTTCTTTGCGGTGGCATATGACTAACCCAGTGGTCACAATGACGAGTCTTCTTGCAGGCGGTTTCTTCCTTTGCGGGCATGCCATCATTTTCTCCTCTGCTTGAACGATGGGCAGGTTCGTGAGCAGGAGGGCTATCTATGCAGCACCATACAGCAGCCTTTCCACAAGATGACAATGACTTCGTCTGAACACAGAGTATTGTGGAGTTTAGTCTGTAATACCAACGACTAAGGGGTTGGTGCCTCATTTTCGCGTCTTCGCGTCTCGCGAGAAGTCCTCGCCTGACTTGCACCGAAGGTAGCCGCCCGTCTCCACCCCAATGACCGGGACTTCCGGGAATGTGTTGGACATGGGTCTGGTCTCAGAACATAACCAGAGCTAAAGGTTTGTTTCCCTCTCAAAGTTCAGCTTCCTATTCCTCCAAGCAAAATATGATTAGAAGACATTCCGAATTCTGTTTTGTAATCTTCAACCTTTTTCTCGAGTCTCAATTGTAGACAACTTCACAAGATGAGAATTTGTAGTCGTCACAAATACGTCATATATGGAACCCTGGCCAGGTTGTCACAGAGGAGACTAACGCGGTAGCATCACTACACACCGAAGTTCCAAGAAGAGGGGTCGCGGCGTGTACAGAAATCCACCCGCGGTGGAAAATCTGGAAACGTTAGTAATCGATAGGGGTTTCATATCCACCAGAAGGAACCTGTCATAGGCAGTTAGATTTAAGCCAAGGAATCGTCTTCGCCGTTTACGAGTTGCTCAAAGTAAACGCCGACACCGATACAAAAGTCCATATATTCCCACGTGTTATCTCCAGTCCCTGTTGGAAACATCTTCCACCACTCATCGCATTTCATAACACCGAGCCCCACATCAGTCCATCGCTATGTCAGATCTCACAGCACTGCCAAAGGACTCGCTCATCCTCGTCACCGGAGCGAACGGATACATCGGAGCGCATGTTATCGATAACCTACTGAAGCTAGGCTACCATGTTCGCGGTACAGTCCGCACTGAAAAGCCGTGGCTGAAGGAGCTGTTTGATAAGTATGGTGAGGGTGCCTTTGAGCAGGTCGTCGTGCCGCATCTCGAGGATGAGGAAGCTCTCGGTCATGCCATGACTGGCACTGCCGGTGTCGTGCTTGTGGTAAGAATCTCGCCGAAATACATGATGGAGCTATTCATCTACTTACAAGAAACTTAGGCTTCGGATCTTTCCTTGAGCAACGACGCTCAGAAGGTTATTCCCTTCGTTGTGAAGGCCACAGAGACTGCACTTTCAGCTGCGGCCAAGCATGATAGCATCAAGCGGGTCGTTCTCACCTCGTCTGCCTTTGCAGCCTCTACTCCCGAGGCGAATGAGACTGGTGTTGTTATTGATGAGAATACTTACAATGAGCGTGCCATCAAGGCAGCCTGGAATCCGAACACCCCCGCCCATCGTATGCCATTCATGGTCTATGCAGCTTCCAAGGCAGAGGGTGAGAAGGCTGCTTGGAAGTGGGTTGGGGAGCACAAGCCAGGCTACGTCTTCAACACCATTCTTCCGAACTTCACCGTCAGTCCTCTGCCCCATTCAAAACTCCTGGAAGGTCTGGTAGCTGACGTGAATAGACCGGAGAAATCATGCATCCCCAAATTTCTGGCTCAACCATGAAGATGGCCGCCGACGTGCTAACAGGGAACTACGCCCCCCTGAAGGCCTTCATGCCTCGTAAGTGATGGCTTGCCGTGGCGTTTCGAACCTGCACGCTGACAAACCTCAGAACCCTACGTTGACGCCGGTGATGTTGCGCGTCTTCACATTGTCGCTTTGCTCGCCGAGTCTGTCAAGTCCAAGAGGATCTTCGCCGCCGCTCGCCCGGTCAACGTGTCTGACTTCATTGACGTCCTGCGTGAGCTCAGACCAGACAACAAGCTGATCCCGGAAAAAGACGCGAACGATGGGCATGACCTGACTCAGGTGCTACCGCTGGCTGAGGCCGAGAAGCTGTTGCAGACGTACTTTGGACAGAAGGGCTGGACGCCATTGAAGGAGAGTATCGAGGCGGGAATTCGCAATTTCTGAAAGGCTTCTTAGTTGTCTGTCTGCACATGAAATTACACATGAACCAATTGGCCGCAGTCCGTGGAAAGTTCATGATCTACAAGTTGAGCCTAGATGAGTTCTAGTAGTTTTCTATGAACAGACTGCGTTAGAGCTTAGCCCGCAGAGACTCCATCCAAGTGTGAGCCAAAGCTTTCTTCTCATTAACACCCAACCCGTCAATACCTCCCCCTTTTTCTCGTTCCAACTGTATCCATTTATCGGACTCAACAGCCATCCAATTAGCCATCACTTCAGCGCAAGTCTTGGGGTCTTCCATAGCGAGGAAATGACCCAATTCAGGTAAAACCTTGACGTCAACGCGCCTCCTCTCTCCAGGCTGTTTCGCGTACTGCAGAGCGCAGGTTCGGGTCTGCCAGTAATCCCTGATATCATCATCGCTTGGTGTATCTCTGCCGCCGCAAAGGAAGAAGGTGCTGCAGGTAATGTGACCCAGCATGTGGAACATGTCGACAAGGCCGGTTTGATAGACAAGTTCTGGCTCTTTTGTGTTATCGCCATGGACGAAGGTAGGCTTGAGGTAGTTTACGAGCTCGTGGTACTGTTCCGTAACCAATGAGACTGACTGTGTACTGCTTGGTCCCTTGGACGCGGTGTTATCGTCGTTCTTGATGGCGAATTCCATGAATAGGTCAATGACTTTGGAGTCCCAGGTGCTGAACATCTTTCTGACAGACTTCTCAGCCGCCTCCCGATTCGGCCAATGGGTTCTTCGCCTAAGGGTCATATAGTCAAAGCCGAGCCCATCGAGACCCACCTCCGGTGGGCTGATTGCTGGATCCAACAGCATCATTGACGAGAATATACGGCGGCTGATGACAGACATTGTAGCTCTGTCAATCCGTTAGCCTCCAATCAATCGTGTAGGAAGGAGTCTGCGTATCGATGACTTACATATGACAGCCTCCCATACTATGCCCTACCCCTATGATGGGCTGCTTCATCTGGTTACGGAAGTGCGTCATCAGCTGGAGTAGGTCTTCAGAATGATCTTGCCACGAGACTTGATGCAACCGTGTTAATTGATGGTGCCTTTGATGGCGACGGGGAGCAACCCACGATCCGAAAATTGCCAGGCCTCATTTAATGAGAGACTTTTGCCCTGGAAGGCGGAATCTGCCATCCAAATTGAGTGAATACCAATTCCTCGAGCGCTTAGTTGATGTTCCAGATGACACCACATGGGCTCATAGAGTTCCTGGTGCTTTTAGCATCGAGGTTCTGAGTCGAGCGGCCGTACGTATGTGTTCACCTTTGGAAATCCATTTGCATGCGCAGCAACAATCGTGATAGCCACCCGATGGGCTGATGAAACCGTTCGCGGCGAGTATTGCTTGACTGCTAATCGGACGAAGGCAGGTCCGACCTCGTTGGCTTTCGGAAGTCTCGGGCATGATATGACATGCTCACGAACGTGAAAAACTATCGAGGCCATCTTTAATGGTCTTTCGTGGAAATCCCTCTGTCGTCTGTGTCTGCCTCCAAGTTTGGAATGTTTCTTCTGGTCAGATTATAAGAGCCCAGGTATTGAAGGTCATCATGCTTTGGCCGAAACCTTGAGACGACGCGCGGGGTTGACTCGCGGGCCATTTAGGCTCGTCGGGCATTTTCTTTCCCAGAGACGCGACAACTCAATCTATTTTGGTCATCACAATCGTTATTGTTCTCACTCAGTTATCGCTGTTGATTACATTTAGTATCTATCTCTCTATATTTAATCATCTCTAAACTCCACTCTCACGTCTCCCGCACAACATCATGGTCATACTCCGGGTTCACCCAGTCCGGCTCGCCGCATCGCTGCCTAATAGACCCGCCAAACCAGTGCAACGCCGCCAGCGCGGGGATGCAGAAGAATATCGTAATAATGCCGTGTCCCGCAAACGTCCAAGAGTATCCCACACCGTCAACCCACGGCGCGATGAAGAAGGGGTCGACGAAGGCGCTGAAGTTCAGCAGGACGGCGTAGAAGGTGATGACCGCCATGCTCTGGAGCGGGTACGCGTCGACGACGTATGAGCAGATAGCGGTGTTGCCCATCTGGATTCCGGCGCCGACTGTGGGAACAGACAATGTTAGCAGCATGCACATGTAGCTGTTTTGGGGAGGGTGGTGTCTTACACAAGGCAAAGGCGACCTGGCCCACCATCCAGTGATACCCCTTGTCGATACTGACGCCCCAGATGATGAGGCCTACAGCCGTGAGGAGGGCGGCGGGGTACGCGAGCCAGAGACGCATCTCGGCCGTCTTGATGCCGTCGTTGCGCTTGGCGAGCTTGATGACGAGCCAGTCGCTGAGCTTGCCGGAGAAGAAAATCTCGGAGATGAGGGTTCCGACGATGAGACCGATGAAAAAGAGGCTAGACGACAATGTGTCAGATATGCATAAGTGAGCGACAAGGACCTGCAACAAAAAATAACTTACCCCTGAGTCTGCGGAGAGTAGTCTACGTACGCCACAGGAATCATCGTGATGACGGACAACACCCACCAATACCACCCGAAGCAGTACACGCCCGTCGAGATGGGGACGACGGGGAACTTGAACAGCTTGCCGAAGCGGATGATGGAGTCCCACGGCTTGGGGTGCTTCATCGCCGGCACGGGCTTGACGTTGATGAACGCCAGCTTCTTCGTCCTCTGGATCTCGACCGCATCGGCGCCCATGGTGCCGGTCTCCAAAGCTTTCTCATCCACCAAACCCGTCGCCGGCACGAGCCCCTTTGTCTTGGAGAGCATGTAGTCGCGTGGGTAGAGCGTCTCGGGCAGGAACGCCAGCTCCGCAGCCAGGATGACGGCGAAGAAGATGGCCGTCAGCCACTGGATCCAATAGTGGTCGACAAGATCAATAAAACCGCCGATGAGCGGTCCGGCGAGTAGGCCGAGGTCGATGGCCAGCACCCACAGGCCGACCTTTTGCCCGCGCTCGTGCTCGAAGAACATGTCGTTGATGATGGCGAGGCCGACGGTCGCGGCGGGGCTGACGCCGAGGCCCTGGAAGAGTCGCGCGGCCATGTACCCGCCGTAGGTGCTGGCCTTCGCGGCGCCGATGGTGGATGCAAAGGCGACGAGGGTGCCCAGGATGAAGATGGGGCGACGGCCGATGATGTCGGCGGGCGAGGACCAGATCAGGGGCCCAATGGCGAGGCCGAGGGCGGGGATGGCGACGGTCCAGTTGACCATCTCGAGGGTGAGGGAGTATTGCTCCTGGAGCTCAGGAAAGGAGGGTACTGTTGTCGTTGTGATGTAGGTGAACATGAAGTAGCTGTAAGATTGGGGTCGGATTAGCTCTGTCGCGAATAGGCCAATGTCTCAGGCGTGAGGGACTTACAGAGCCATCACAATAGCGAGGATGCTGTTCTTCTGAAAGGCGGACCAGTTCAATGGGTCGAGAGGATCATCTTGGACGGGCTGGGGATGGACGCTGAAGCCGTCCTTTGTGATTGTGACCTCCTGCGTCGCTTTGCCGATTCCGTGCTCCCCGGATGGCGGAGGGATCGTCTTCTCCTTTTCGGTGATGGAGTCCGCCATCTCGAGTCGCCTGTGCCTTGAAGATTGGATTCAAACAATACGAAGATGCGATTGAGCGACCGAAAGAAACCAAATAGCCAAGTCGCCGGAAAAGGGGGTATCTCGAAATCACACAAAGTCACCGCAAACAGCTCGCGAACCATGAACCCAAATAACCGGGACAGTGACAGACATATATCAATTCACATACAACTTTCTTATCGGGATGATCCTCACTGCATGGTAAGCCAGCAAGGACAACCTCCGACACCCTCACCCCAGCTCATCCCATCCTCCCACGCGAAAGGGAGACATGCGCAAAAACAGACAAGCTTTTTCTGCATTGCGAGCCACCCAATGACTGCCCCAGACGCCTGTTAGTAAATCCGTTTGAATAAGCCCGTCCTAACATCCTACTGGACAAAAATGGCTCTGGGTTATGGCAATTGTGCCTCTTGAGTGGCCGCAGAGCTGCCGAAGATAAGGCAACCCGGGAGGGGGAAGGGATGTTGTTGTTCCCGGGGGAGACAAGGGGGGACCCGCCAAGAGATAAGGACCGTCGCATCTGCAGCACGGCAGCCCATCATAGTCTTATCTGTTGCCTTCAAAAGCTGGGACTACCGTTGGAAAGAAGAGTGATGACGACCAAGATGTGCAGAGCCTGATAAGATGCCGCTGCACCCCCGGGAAGCATGTTGCAGATGCATTTGGTTGCCTCGAAGCAGAAAGGCTGCTACACGTCCTGCAGATTTGCGGGGCGCGGATTGACATTCTGGAAATGCCCTCAGCTTCTGCTTGCATGAGGCCAACACTTAGGACTGATAGTTACAGCAAAAATAGACACAGGATGAGATGATCTAGCACTTATGTTTAATCGTCAAATTTACACATCTAGGAAGAAGGCGTTTGACGGCTTATCGTGGCGTGTTGTTTGGTGAGGGTTCAATCTCCACGCATGGCTTGGGCGAAGGTTTCGGATGGGATGATCACCCTCGTGGCACGGTCGCGCGCCGTTTTGGAGGCTTGAACAACGTTTACTACTGTTTCTCAGCTTAGATTTGAAAGAATCATGTTTCACAGACTTCGTCGACGTCTGCAGATTCTGCATATCCCCAGATCCACGAGAGCGGTTCGGTTCGATGACGACCTCGAAGGGTGACACAGAGATGATCATGTCTTCTATCCAGGCACCAAATGCCGTGCCACACCTCGCTTGCATCAATCCCAGCATTCCAGAGAACTCTTCCAAGATCTGCGGCCCCCCCGCGATTGGTCTCCCGCGGCCGAAGACTTGATCAATACCAATGTCTAAAAGACATGCAACCTCTTTCATGCCGGGCGATAAGCGAGGATCGCGTGGGAGAGCCAATGATGAGTGCAGGAGATTTTGATACGATACCGAGTACCAGCCACAGAAGCATCCTATCTATGTGTGGCTTTACGGCAGGCTTGATAAGTGGCTGTGGCTGGTGAGGCTGGTAACGAACGCCATGTGTGGCTTGCGTCGGTGCGGAGAGGAATCCCGTCAAACATCGTGGTATATATCCATGCCAACTCAATTGGAAAAAGCCAAGCTTCCTCCTAAGCGGCGTTGAATCATATAGCGGGGGAAGCCATTAAGTGCATGGGGCAAGTCATGACTCCCGGCGGTCGGCAAAGCCGGACGGAGAAGCGACCCGAGTCATGGGGTTCGGACGACGGAATGCTGCCGGTGCTTGTAACGGCTTTCTTGTTCGCTGCGGGATCCTTTCGATTCGTTCCCCTCGTGCACGGATCGAAACGGGATGGGAAATAAGGGCGTTACGACTTGATTGCTACCAAGCGAAGGATAATCCGAAGATGCTGGCGAATTATTCAACCTCCCTAAGTAATGTTCTCTCACCTGTTATTGTGTCTTACTAAAGGGAATGTACTCTCACGTATCGATAGTGACATGATACCAACCAATGTTGTGGGGTAGCTTGAAGATCAGCAAGGCGGGATGATCACGCAAAGTCTCCGAACAATGTCACATAATGGCAAAGATCAGAGAAAGTTGAAGTAATGTCAGGACGACCAATCTATTCAGCCCGCCCCTTCCCATTCATCTAGATACATCTCACCCGGCACCGCCGAAGCGAGAGAGAAGGACGGCTTGAAGCCGTGTTTTTTCCACAGTTCCACATTGTTGTCCAAAAAAGCTTCCCAACAAGTGTTGTCTATATGTACAATTGAAAAAAGCCAACAAAGCAGTGTTTGTCTCATATCGTCGTGCCTAAGTCCGTCTCAAACGAGAGAGCAGATTTAGTTGCGGACGACGTTGTGCTGGCGAGCCATGCGGCGCGCAAGGCGGCGGCGGCGCTTCTCAGCGCAGGAAGGCTTGCCGGTGGGCTGGGCGGCGGCGGCAGAGGTAGCAGCCGGGGCGGAGGTGGAAACGGCCTCAGCGGCGGCGGAGGTGGTGGCAGCGGCGGGAGCAGAGGTGACGACAGCAGCCGGGGCGGAGGAAGAGGCGGCGGCAGCGGTGGTGGTGGCGGCAGGGGCAGCAGAGGAAGCAGCGCCGGTAGAGCCGCCGGAGGAAGAGCCGTCGGTGCTGCCGAACTTGGAGTCGAGCTCAGGGCCAGGGATGACGTAGGACTTGAGGGAGTTGTAGATGGAGATGAGGATGCCGGCGTCGGAGGCCTTGTAGAGGGCGGTGCCGAGGGTGCCGGCGGGGGCCTCAGAGCCGGAGCCGGTGATCTCGATGTTGAAGCACTGGGGGTAGTTCTGGGCGCCGTTCTCCTGGCCGGCGGAGTGCAGGGCGATGATCTCGTGGCGCCAGACGTACTTGCCGGGCTTGACGGAGTCGGGGATCTTGATGGTCCAGGTGTTGTTGTTGGCGATGAGCTCGTCGGTGGCCCACTCGCCGTTGTTGGCGGCGGAGGGGTCCTCGAGGCCCTTCTGGCCGATCTTGAAGAACTCGAGGCCGGCCTTGTCGACGGTCGCGCAGTCGTCACCGCAGGGGGCGAGGTAGTCGATGACGGGGCCCTTGTGGGACTCGGGCCAGGTGTTCCAGAAGAACTTGACGGTGGCGCCGGCGGCGGCGGTGGCGGTCAGAGCGGCGTTCTTGGCGCCCTTGTGGCAGATGATGTCGCCGGAGGCGTAGGAGGAGGGGTCGACGAAGCCGTTGTCGGTGTTGGTCGCGGACCATCCGTAGACCTCGGGGGGGCTGGCCATGTAGGGGTAGGAGGTGACGTCGTAGCCCTGGAACTCCTTACCGTCGACGGTGAAGTAGTTGACGTGGCCGTGGCCGAGGACGGAGGCGGCGCCGGCGAGGGCGGAGACAACGGCGGAGGTCTTGAAGGAAGGCATCTTGGTGGTTGTGTTTGGTTGGCTGGGGTTTCCAAAAGATGGGATGGTTGTTGTGGAGTGAGTGAGTGGAAAGACTTCAAGTCGAACAATGAACTTCAGTCAATGAAGTGAGTGAATGGTTTTCAAAAATGAAAGAAAGGTGCTGTAAAAGCAGGGAAAGAGTGTGGGAATGGAAAGCAGCGGATGAGCCTGATGGGTGAGGAGGGAAAGGAGAGAGAAGAGAAGGTTGAGGGCGACGAGACGGGAGACTTATATCTCGAGATGAGGAAGAGGGAACCACAGAAACCACAATCCACCGGCGCCAATACCTAGCGTCTGCCTGCCTACCCTCCCCGTTCGTAGGTCGTCGTCGTCGTCGTCGTCCGTGGGACCGGCCGCCTGCGTAAGCGTGGCTGCAGGACAATTTCGAGCGGGACCATCAGGAGACGGCGCCATCGCTCATCCCATGTCGACATACTGGCAGGGCCCCATCTCCGTCCATCAATGATCACGGAGGTTGGCTCCCCTCCCAGGGGAGTGCCATGGCTTCCAAGGAGCCCCTGCGCAAATCCAGGTGGTCCAGCGGCGCAAGGCGGTGGGCAGAATGACAGGCACAGTTTTCTTCTCTCCGCGGTGTGCAGTGAGGAGCCATGGTGGTGATGCAGTGGGTTGGTGGAAAGAATGTCTCGAAGCGGGGTTCGTCGTTGAAAGCCAGGAGACGGGAACCCCTGCATTTCCAGAACGACAAGGAGGAGGGGGTGGTGGGGTTGGGACGAATGGAGCCGGGATCTGGGATCGTAGCTGCGGCCGAGACGAGGCCATCGCGGCTGGAAAGATGCCCATAGGCCACAGGGCGGGAAAACAAGCGGGGGCACTGGCCATGCTGGGCAGCTATCGCGAAATCAAGCCGTTTCAGCGTAAATGAAAGGTGATGGTGACCTGGGTAGCATCCCGACGTGCAGGGTTTAGGTCGCAGTCCAGCCCGGTAGTGTAGGCACGCCGAGGAGATACCTACATACTAGCCGGGCCCAGCTTTAAGGCGGCCCAGAATGGTGAGATGCTACGCGGCAGGCGGACTTGTCGTTCGCTTCGACGGCGCACGGCAATGGCGCGGTGGTGGCTTGGAGTTGCAGCGTAAAAGGGGGGAGGTAAGGCGGAGGGAAAATCATAGTTGCAACGGTTATGGTGATCAGGCCCTCGATAATCTAGGCGACGACGGCCGGACTCAGAGACCGATGCACGGCAGGTTGAAGCGAACTGTACACTAAGAAAGAGAGAGAAAGGCGGACTCAGGGTAGGGCTTCCTGGATCAACAATAACAAACAACGGCCAAGCAAGCGGAGGCCACTGTGAGTAGAAATGAAGTGATATTGGCGGCAGAAGGCTGAGCCGGGATGAGGGACATGAATGTGATCAAGGATGACTGCAGTTTGGGCGGTTCATCTCAGCGCTTCAGCGGCCTCTCAGTCCATGTTTGCTTCTGTTTGAAGCTGCTGCTGCATGTCAGCATACGCTGCACTGCCATGGAAAACTCGTACAGGGCGGTGCCCGGTTTGGCAGCGGGATGACTGAGGATGAGACAATGACAGCGCGCGCGCCTGGATGCCTGCAGCGTGCAGCCTGACTGATGGATGACTGGGAGGACTTTGCAGGATTCACTGAGCCCTGCCAAGTTGGCCACCCGCCTGTGTGTGTGCCTGGTCTAGACGGTTCCAGTCCGAAGCCGATAACCGATTTGACTGGAGAACTTTTGCAGGATTTGGACCGCGACTGGGAAGGGGACGAGTGACGAGTCCGAAAAGGCGGGCGGGTACATTGCCAATAAAAGGAAGCAAACCAGAAGAAGCAAACGCCGGGTGGAGAGACGCCACGTCTGCGGTTCGTGAGATGAACTGAGGGGACTGCTCCTCTGTGCGGATGAGGATGTGCTGACAGTGTTGTATTTTTTCATTTCCTTAGGGCTTTTCTGGGCCTTGTTTGCCCAGGCTGGGAGGATCATGGCAGCGCTTGGCGTTCATCAAATTCTCCCAAATACAGGAGTGTCTGTTCTCGAAGCAGCGGATCTGGCTAAGACGCTCGATGCGGAAGCCGTTGGTGCTGTGATGGAGAGCCAGAGCCAGAGCCCTGGCTGAGCAATACCGGCTGCCGTCTTGGCCTGATGGGTTCGACCATGGTTGAGGAGATTCAATGGAGACGCTGGTTACTTGGTAGGCGGGATGAAGATGGAGTCGAAGGGGGGCGAACTCGTGGCATCGATGCCTCACTTGCTGTGCCGCAATGAAGATGCAGGTGTCCGTACGGATACGTACGAGCTGCCAGGTTCGGGATGCTGATGCGGACGGTGGCCTGGCGCTATTGCTTAGCCTCGGAAAGGGAGCTGTAGGTTAATCTATCCGCAACTCTGTGTGGCAGCGGTCTCGATCGTTGCGGCACGGGGTTCAAGGGTTAAGCAGAGATTTGTGCGTGACTTGTGCCGCCCTTTGCAGAGAAAGTGGTGGTGGTAGTGACTGTTCTCCTTCATCATATCCAAAGTGTGGTTCAGGGGTAAAGCTGACGGGACCCATCCTTGGGGGCAGAAATTTTGGGGATCGCCCAGCAGCCGCAACTCTGTGCCTGCCCGGACCAACACCTTCTTTCCGCGTTGCCCTCTGCCCTGAATTCAGCTATGGAAGATTCATCGGGCCGTGGTCTAGGGGGGATGTCATCCCTGAACCCATGGATGATGGCCCCTGGGCTTCCCTGACGATGCCTGCCCTGTGGCCGTTCCTTTGGGTCGTCATGTCCGCTGTGGAGAAGGCCAGGGGAAGAACTGTTCAGGGGTATCCGTAAGGAAGAGTCCAAATGCAGGGGGACACCTCACCGACATGCCCACACATTGTCTCTCTCACCCCGATCCTAAGGCGCTGAATGCTCTGAGAGAGGCAGAGAGCGCAGGCAAGCAGCCCCTGACCCAGATTTTGCACGCCCTGAAACCGACTCCTCCACCCTCGGGGACCCTCAACTCATCAACTCTTGGCAGCGAACGCCTCCTGGGCCAATCTATCTCGCAATCTATTCCGCCTGCACGGCATCGCCCTCTTTTTCCTTGCCTCTCTCAGGACGGCAATTGAGAGGCACAGCAGGCTGATGGAGCAAATTTGCAGTTCCCTCAGGGTATGTTGCGGGAACCAGGGCTCCCAGCCGTGACCTCCCACATTGTCCCGAGCTTTTTACCCTTTCAGGCCTTTTCTGGTGTTTTCCATGGGTCCACCAGAGAGAATCCTTGAGAGAAGCTTACAAGGGGCAACAAGCACACAACATGATCTGTAGAGTGCTGTAAAGTTGTATGTACACAGGTACAGTGAAGAGTACACAGGGGGAAAGCCTTGTTTACCGATGACGTTGCGGTCAGTCGAATCGGCTCCCACGTCGGGAGCCACTTACCGCATTCGAGGCCCCTCGACGCGTCTGATGCTCTGTCGCATTTTCGTACCGCTTTCCGGCCTGTTCGCAACCTGACGATGGGGATCCCTTTCTCGTGAGCACACACACACAGACATCGTTGCCTTTCCAGAACAAACTCGCTAACTCGTTGCCGTATCACCGGAGCCGATCCACCGGACTCTTCCCGTCTTACATCCCCAATTGAACCCGTCCCATAATTAATCTCATCCGTCATGCCGCCCAAGAAAGCCGCCGCCGCTACGCCGCTGGCCGAGGCCGACGCGAATCGCGTCACGGCGCCAAACAGTGCTGCTGATGCCGCAAAGGTACGCAACCTCGAAATATCTCTTTGCATCTCACCTGCATCAATCAAAATCATCATCAGATCATTGTAGAAATTTGTCATGTAACCCAGCGGTTATGCAAGTTTGCACGCCTCAGCGGCTAAGCAAGCCGTCTTACTCTTACACCCAAAAATAAGACGCGTCTAGAACCCGCGACGGGCCCAGTGACATCATCGCACACCACAACTAACATCGTGAACCACTCCCAGAGCCAGCTCCCAAGTCCCGCAAGCGCAAGTCCGACGCCGTCGAGGCCTCCGACGACGCGCCCGCGCCCAAGAAGGCCACCACCACCAAGAAGAAGAAGGACGACGACCCCCTCCCCGACCTCTCCGGCATCGCCCTCCCCGGCGACGACGACATGTCCGTCCCCATCTATGACAGCTGCCAGACCGTCCGCACCAAGATCAACGCACACCTGCGCAAGCCAGGCGTCACCAAGGCGGCCTTCCTGCGCGCCTGCGTGAAAGCCGCGTACGGCGCCGACTCGGAGCACAAGATCGCGGGCAACCTGCTGACCAACTTCCTGGCCAAGAAGGGCCCCACCGCGGGCAACACGAGCAGCGTCTTCTAGGCGGCATACGTGTTCTTCGAGAAGCTGCGTATCCGCGACGGCAAGCCGAAGAACAAGACCCGCGAGGAGATGGAGGCGCGCTGGGGCCCGGAGGGGTTTGATAGGGAGCACGACTCTAGTCGCGGGTACTTCTGCGCGGCGGGCACAGCGCCGGTGGTGGATAAGTATGGGAGGGTGAGCATTGTGCCGACTGGCGGCGGGCGCGGGCGGGCGAGGGGTGGGTGGATGTGAGAGGACTTATTTGTTTGTGTATGAATATGCTTTGCCGTTCAAGCTTGCTGTTTAGCTGTGTATTTTTATCTGGTTTGGACTTTTAGGTATGTATGAAAAGGTCACTCTACAGCAGTTTACTACTACCCAGTACCTGCTGTTCAGTTGACTAGTGATAGTGAGGAGGTGTACATGGAGGCTCGATCTCTCATATCACTGGTAACTAGCTTAGAGAATCGTGCTAAGGTTGTAGGATATTGCTTCACTGCATGTACGCGTTCATATCTAAAAGGGCTTACAAGTTCTGTTGCAACATGTTTCTACGGTTCACGGCTTAGGCGCCGTAAATCTGAATTTGGACACAATCTATCTCGGGTGCAGCCATCGACAGACCAAAATCATGCCATCATCGCGCCAACTCGAATCTACAATTCTCTTTTACGAACAATAAGACCTCTCATCCGAACTGTGGACACCCATCTTCCATGGATTCCTGCACGTATGCGGCCCAGCAGCCCGGCCCCACGGCCCCCCTCCCCCTCCCCACCAGCACGATATGACTCGATCCCGGGATCCATTCGATCTGTTTATTTCTTCCCGGGATGGAGGAACACTCGGCTTCTGACCGCTATATCTGTGACGGAGACCGGGGTGGACAAGCGAGGCCTATCGGGCCATCGGCACGGATTGTTGGTGGTGGTGGTCGGCTTCCCCCGATCACTTCTGCTGTGTTCCTGTTCCTGAGCGTGCATCCGCTGCCCCTTGTTTACGTCGTCTGCCCGCTACATGACACAAAAGCTTGGCCTCCGCATCTGCCCCTTGACCCCACCGCCGATTTCTTGATGATCGCGGGTCAGAATTATTTAGGTCCTGCAGCAATTGCGTGTTCGGGATAGTTTACACGAAAACAGCTAGACGATTCTCGAGGTGCATGTTCCGCGGAGGACGGCAGCGGGAAGCCGATTCTATTAATTGAGAGGCGCCTGTCGGATTCAGGTGGTTGCGGTGATGTTTCAATATAAGTGACTGGAGGAAACGGGAAACTGCCCCGCGTCCCCTGCGGTAAGCGCCCGGTCCTGTAGCGATATATTGATTGCCTCCGGGGTGTTTTCTGTCTTTCAACGAATCGAGTGGTGAAACAATTTTTTTTGACCCGGTCCCATAACCTGTTCAACATTTCGAAGGCGTTGGCGTGTTGGTGACTTCATGTCGGAATACCGAGTGTGGATAAGCGGCATGAGTTGCTCAGTCGTGGTGCGTGTCTTAATCAATTCACGACAAACATCGAATGGACTAATTGGTCGCGAAACTTGCCGTGGCAGGGCCTTTTGGTTTTCGTAGTCAGCGCCGATGGTTCCTCAAGAACAATCTTGCTGACATGAAGCTTTTTGTCTGCAGCCACAATGACAGACACGAGAAGAGCACAGCAGCAACACGCGTTGCATACCCGATGCACTCCAGAATCGCAGACCACAACGTTGAGCTAAGCTTTGCCCACGATAACCTTCAATAGAGTAAGAAGCTTTCAGACTACTGGTTATGCATGATCAGAACGGTCCACGAAGGTTATTTCTTGGCGGGCCTTCTGCAAGTCAATATTCCACCATACTATTGCCTTCGAGTGATTGCGCAACGTCGGTCGAATAGGGGGATTGGGGGGCAGAGAAGGCCATAAGCTTATCGCGGCCGGCAAAGTCGGCATCACGGCCTCACGGAGCACTGCCTGGTGGTAATTTCGGCAGCCGGAAGCCGGCAACGGGCCCCAGTGAGGTGAAGATCCAGAGCAGCCTGACGTCTGAGGGAAGATAGCGATGCGAGTGAGCGCTTTGGACAAATGACAAAGATGGTTTGTGTGAGAACTTGATTAAGAGTTAAAGTCCGAGAAGCTCGGTACGATATGAGGACTGGAGTAATCATGCAATTACTGCTGCTCCGACTTCTGCAAGTTGACCAGGTTCTGCGTGGCCGTCTGCGTCTTGTGGAACCGCCACGGCTTGATCTTGCGCTCGAACAACTCGTCCAGCTCGGCGGCAGAACGTCTAAGACGCAGTCATCAGCATGTGACTTTCGCCTTCAGGATTTGAGAACTTAGGAGGTCAAACTTACCCAGCTGTGTCCGGAATGAGCAGCCACATGCCGATGGTGAAGGGCAGCCCGACCCCGGCGTAGAACCAGCCCGTCTTGTATCCCCAGTTCCACTTGTTGGCGTTGACCATGTATGGGACCAGCACGTTCATCACGATGCCGATGACGCAGCTGCAGGCGGCGCCGAAGCCGGCCGTATACGGGCGGAGTCGCTGGGATGAGATCTCGCCGATGAAGCCCCATCCGGCCGCGCCGCTGGCCGTCATGCCGATGTCTGGTCCGGTGTCAGCATCAAAGAAGCTCAGAGTGAACATAAATATCAAAAGCTTCGGTATACTGACTCCAGAAGCAGGCGAATAACACAAAGACGTACGTCGTCGCGTTAGTCTCTCTGACGACACCCATGATGCCGATGACCACGCACGACAACCAACAAACCGTGATGCCCCCGCAACCGATCCACCGTCTCCCCAGCCGATCAGCCGAGAAGATTGTGACGATGATAGTGACAATGTTGATTGACGACGTGATTGCTTTGATTAGGAATGGATCCTGCAGCCCGGCCTGCTGGAAAAAGTACGTGCCAAATGTCGCAAAGAGGGTCAGCCCGATGAACTGCTGTGACATGTTGGTCCATAACGAGACCAGTGTTCTGATGCCGTCAGTGCCCCGGAAGATTGCATGCCACTTCTCCCTCCTTTGAGCAGCCGCCACGGCGCGTTCGTGCTCGAGTGTCATGAGGAGGGCTTGATACTGCTGTTCGAGATTGAAGTTTTGAACGCCGCGGTTCAACCAGACGAGGCACTTCTTTGCGCGCTCCTCGTGGCCGCTCGTAACGCACCATGCAGGCGACTCAGGAAGAAACACGAAAATGAGCAGCATGAGCCCAATCTGCGCCCACTGCGTGTAAATCGGCTTCAGATAGTTATACGTATCCTTCTTATTCAGACTCTGCAGCGCAACATGCGCGCAGAACGTACCCACGGTCCACCAGAAGGAGTAACACATCAACAATCCGCCCCTAATCCGGACGGGCGCGACCTCGGCGATGTAGATGGGCAGCGTTGACTGCAGACACCCCACGCCTATCCCCGCGAGCAGCTTGCCGACGAGCCAGACGGGCCAGCTGCGCGCGAGGCTCTCGGCGAGGACGCTGCTCGCGAGCACGACCCAGAGGGTGTACATGGCGGCTTTGCGGCCGAGGCGGGAAGATACGAAGGGGATGGTGGTCATGCCGATGACCTGGCCGACGGACATGATGGAGCTCCAGCCGGAGAGAATCGGGGCGTCGAGGTAGGGTTTGCCGGTGGGGTCGGTGAGGGTGGCGAATTGGCGGACGAAGCCTTTGTTGGCGACGATGCCGGCGTTCATGCTGGTTATACGATGGACGTTAGCGGGTTGAAGATCGGGTGGTGAGGTGCGAAAGGGGGGGAAACTTGCCCGATTTGATAGCCGTCTGTGGCTGCGCTGAAGGCCGCGGCGAAGCATGAGATGGTTGCGACTTTGAAGAGTTTTGCAGTCTCCCAGATGGTGAGCGACTCGTAGCCAGAGACGGTTTGGCCTCGAAGGGCGGCGTCGACGGCGGCATCTCCCTTCTTGAAGCCGTTATCCGTTGGGTCTTCGATGTAGTCCACAGCATCTGTCGGTTTCTCCGTGTTCGGGCGGGAGGACGTCATGTTGAACGACAATATTTCAAGAAGTACCTGGAGCTGCGCAATGGACTCGTCCGGATTCTGTGGAAGCTGACTTGGTGATATTTGTGTCTATCTTGGACGATGCTCGTCGGCCTGCCTTAGTGCGAAACCGCCGAAATGCGCCGAGGAGGCGTTTGTCTGGGCCACCGTAGAATTTCATTCTGATCAGCTGTTCCGGATTGTCGGTACTAAATCGTCTGATGGTTGGTTGGTTGCGAGCGAGCCTTGCTGTTGCGTGGCCACTATCCCCGGATTCTCTTCAACCCCGAGGCTAGAACGTGGACGATCTGGGGGCGGGGACCCCGCAAGCAACTTAAGCATGGGGTAAACATGGGCTGTTTACCATACTCTATCAGGAGGAGTGTATCAGCCAAAAGTAGTCCGCTAATGCCAGATCTGTCTATACCTTAATCATGTTCAGCTTCTACCTGTTGGCAAGGGGACAGTCTCTACATTAGGGTTTACAAAGTACCACGTTTATTGGAAGGAATCCACGCTCCTCGTGTACGCCGTATCCCGTACACAAACGCTTTTCATTGGCCCTCGGCATCAAGTTTGGCCCCGAAAATTCTCGGTGCCACTAACAAGCTCCTGCTGTGAGAGGATGACGATGCAACTTTCCTAAGAGAATCAGTTTGGGAAAGATTGCTAGCTGCGTGTGCTCAGCGTAGAAATCTGGCGTGATGGAAACCCCCTTTTCGGTAGGACTTTGACCGAAGCGTCAAAAGCAATGCGAGGAAGCAGTAAGAAAGGACAGGGGTGTACAGAACAAATTGCAACGTATGTTGTAGGCAGGATGCGTGTGGTTAGATGGAAGACTGCACTGCTCTCCTCTAGTTTCATTCGACTTCGCAGGCGAGAAAGAGAGCAAGTGCCATTCTCGTATTGAATTCTGGAACAGGGAACACCAAAGTCAGGTTATACTTGGCTGAGATAATGAAGTACATTGATGAATACGTATTCACGAGATTTTATCTACAATATTGGATTCGCTAAGTCTTCTCCAATTGAATAATCGCACGAACCGATTTCATGTCCCATTTGCCGGTTGCTTGTATTCCACACCATCAATAGTCGTAGTCAGAGTCCCGTTAGCATTGAAGACGTTGAGCTCCGCGTCAATGATCAGATGAAAGCCGCCCGGTCCCGTCTTCTTAGTCCCGTTCACAACACCTGTCTGGACAATGTCAGACACCCAGTCCACCTGGTTGGTCCAGAAATTCGGCAGTAGAATCTTGACCGTCACATCCTCATGTCCGTTCAAGATGTGATCGCCGTCATCTGAGTAGTTCGTGTAGTTGACCGACACGCTGCCCAAGCCGCTCACGCTATTCGCGTCGGGGGTGATGCTCACATCAGCAACGCCGGAGACCTTGCCCTTGAGGGTGTAGTTGCCAGGGGGCACTGTGAACTGTGCTGGAACAGTTGAGCCTGGTGGGAAAGGGGTGGCCCAAGGAATCTCGTCGGGGACCTTGTACACCGGCGCAGGCGTGGTGGCTTCGCGACCGGTGCGGTGGGCAAGCATGATGCGGTACTCTCGTCCGCCCTGTGCAGTGGAGTCGGGGCAGGGCAGGGGGTTCTCCCCGCCACATGACGGGGAAACGACGAGGGCCTGCCAGTAGACGATCTTGGTGCCGTCGAGAGAGAAGGCTGGGTCAGCTCTGCCGTTCCAGTTGGGATCGTTGATGGCGCCATTGCTGCCGTCGCCTGCAGCGTTAACCTGCTGACCGTAATAATCCCCGCGATCGCCGTGGCGGTCGATCAGGATGGGCTGGAAGAAGCGGCGGGGCCCGTTGTTGCGTGTGGACGATGCAACCGTCACGGCGACGAGGTCGATGAGGGGAGGAACGCCGCGCATACCCGACATCCACATCTGTCGATTAGAACCGCGGGTGTCCATTGCGATGAACCAGTCGTTGTCGGCTGAGAAGGCCATGGGGTCGGCGTACTCTGGGTGGCTGGTCAGTCTTCTGACAGCGCCCGTCTCGAGGTGCACCGCGAAAAGGTCGATGTTTGTAGACTCGCGCGGGTTGGCGATGTAAGTGATTTCTTCGCCATTGCCGCTGAAACCGCGGAGCTCGCCGACGTTGATGGAGTCATCATGAATGGTCAGTTCGGTTCCGTTGACGGTGTATGGCTCGAAGCGAGTTGGGTCGACGAGGAGGTGCACGTCGACCAGGTCGTAGCGTGGAGCAAGGAGTTCGCCGACAGTGGGTGCGGCGTTGAACTCAAGTCGGCCGAAGTAGGCGAACTGTCCGCCGTCGTTGGTGAACGAGCTCCAGCCCATATGCACATCGTCCGGATGCAGACGGAGTTCGCGCGGGCTCCCACCCTTGCCTGATCCATCGGCCGCGGTGTTCCAGTGAATCGGGTAAATATGGGTGTTGTTAGGGGTGCAAGTGTTGCTTTGAAGGAGCTCACCCCCGCAGTCGAGAATGTTGTGACCCCAGAGAGCCTTGGTGCCGCTACGAAAGACATGAGGATAGTCTCGTTGGGCGTCCAGAGAAATGGCGTTGGCTGTAGGTACACCGCAACTGATGCACTTCCAGGGGTCGCCGTTGGTGAAGTTTGTGCCGTTGGTCTTGATGAGGATGAGCTGCTCGCCGGTGTAAATGCTTCCAGCTGCTGCCCCGACAAACTCCACGCTGGCGATGATATGGTCGCCATCAGGAGTGAAATCGCCAGCTTGGAACTCGCCTACTGCCTTGGCAATGCAGCCGGTGCCATGAGGATTGATGTTGGTTGTGCAGGCCCCTTCATCCGCGCTAGGTGCAACTGGTGGCAGAGGGAGTTCCAAGATCTGGAATGCTTCGGGTGCAGGAGGCGATGGAATGGACTGCGCAGCGACAAGACAGGCGCTCAATCCTACGACCAGATGTGTCGACAACATGATGGAGTGAGATAGCTGCGACCGCGAGCTTTGTGGTGGACTGGACTGAGCGTGTCGGAGCTAGATATCTAGATTCTGCCAACGAACTGTTCTACTCATACTTATAGGAAGCTGATACTGGTCTTGTTCAAGGTTTTCCTCCATCCGGTTTTGAAGATCGACATCGGGCCCGTCGGAGGCCCCGTATGTGCGGAGGAAAACTGGGGTTACGGTATACGTACGATATACGGGAATACGGTAGATTGAGATCAAGATCTGGCGAAATGAAATGCGGGGAAGTGTAACTCCCTAAAAAGATCGCTTGGAATTTTGGTGCTACGAATGAGGTCAAATTGAATCCGGAAGAAACAGAATGTCTCCTTTTGGCGCAAGACGATGTAGGTTGGTGCAGAAACAAACAGTGGCCTTTCTCGGCTTGGGTCGGTATGCAGCCAGCAACAACCGAGTGCAACCTTTACGACTACTCTACTAGTAAAAGAGGACAATGACAATAATGCTGCATAGCTTGGTTCAAGCACAAGAGGGAGGACATGTTGCTTAGGCAAACGTCCGGGTCTACTACCAGGCTGGTGGATCGGCTGTGTCTGGGCTCCATGCCCGGACCTGGACACCAAAATGTCGGGAGCATGGAAGAAATTTATACAATACTTCTGCTTAAAGACGGATGAGAACATGCTGTAGAATGTTCTGAACTAGGCAAAGATGGGGAGCGGCTGTCCAAGGGTACAACTCCCCATTATCTTCAGGCATCCGACTCCTCATCGGAACTACCTTCGCCCGTGTTCTGGGCACTGCTTTCCTCCTCCCCCTCATCAGTAACAACTGCCAGAGTCTTGCTAGCTGCCTTCTCCAGTCTCATAGCGTGCACCCAATCCTCGGCACAAGAAACAGCGACTTCCGGCTGCCTCTTGTGCTTGATCAAATACCCCTGGACTTCAGCCGGACTAAACTCGCCCGAAGGTATCTTGGTAGCAAACTGTTCAGAGAGCTTCTGAATTCTAGCCGAAGCTTCCCGAGGTTTTCGTTCACCATGAATCAATCGCTCCCCCTTGGCTGCCTTGTTCAATGACGCGAAAACAGTTCTGAAGATTGCTGCCGTAATCTGGGTATCCGCGGAGGTGAAGTGAACAGTCATGTCTACGCGGCCGGGTCTGATAAGCGCTTTGTCTAAATTCTCGACGTGATTGGTGGACATGATCAGAATACGACCTTCCTGACTGGCAACACCGTCCAGTAAGTTCAGCAGTCCGGACAAGGACAGCTTTCCTTTCCCAGAAGACTTGCGCCCGCTCTTCTCGGCAGCAGAGTCTCTAGTTGAAGTGAGACCGGCGGCGTCGATGTCCTCAAACAGGACGATGCAGACCTGAGGGAGCTGCGTAAACAGCGACGCCAAGTTCTCTTCAGATGCGTTTGACGAGCTCAGGCTGACTGTGTATATACGCAGCTTGAAATGGCCCGCAAGTGCAAATGAGAATGACGACTTGCCGGTGCCTGGGGGACCAGCAAATAGGTATCCTCGCCTCCATGGGATGCCGCAGTCTGTGTACCACATCCGAGTCTCGAGCGACAAATAGTCCGTGATGTCGTCGATGATGGACTCCTTTAGACCGGGTCGAGTGACAATTGTCGAAAAATGTCTTGGCTCTCTTGCCATGCATCGCTGCCACGTGGGTTCCGAGCGTGGCTGCAGGTTTGCGCGGTAGATCATGGTCTTGTTATCGTCCATCCTAAGATACTCCTTGTGGGCTTCGTCGAGCAGATCTTTCAGGATGGCCGGACTGTATCCAAAACACCAGAGACTAATCTCCTCGCGTTTCATATTCGAGAGGGAATTCGGTTGCTGGTTGTCCTTGTCTCTTCTGAAGAAAATGGGCCGGCCTTTGTACCAGAACAGATGCGCGCCAAAGCTTGGCGTGTATGCCAGTGGCTTTGGCTGGAATTTGTCGTTCCGTGCCGATAAACCACTATCCTCAAGGTCGTCTCTCCACGCCCATGGAGACCATACTGTTGAGTTGAGGTCCATATTGACAATGAAATGTCTCGAGTTAGACCCGAACGGCTGGCCAGCGACCCATGACATGATTACATTCTTTCGTCATAGTCAGCGACTTGTACATTGTGAATAAACAAGGAGTAGTGATGTACTGACGTAAATCTCGTCATCTGGTCGAATTTCTGCAGTAGACATGAAGCAAGCCTTCATGATACTGCGGACGTGCTCACCGACGTACGCCCAAGCAAATCCGGTCATTCCCAGGATAAGAATGAAGGGAATATACGAGGATAAGTCTAACCCCAAGTGCCGCCTGAAAAGCTCCACGGCGATGCTATAACCGGGAAAAAGGGAGTCCATGCCCGATGGTTGGCTTTCCATGTCTCTGAACGTCCTAGGATCAGGAAAGCAGCTGCCTTCCGTGTCAAAGGACCAAGGTACCTCTTCCATGATGTAGCGTTCCAGTCAGCTTGAAGTGGTAATCAGGCAGTAAAGATGCTAAAAAGCCTTGAGCTGACGGCTGTGAGAGTTTGAAGTGAGGGTTTTATCAAAGCTGAAATAGACGGCTTATGAAGTGTCTTGAAGTGCGGCTGACTGCTTAGGTAACCTGGGAAATGTCCCACAATCATCATCGCGTCTGGCCATTTGGACCAGTGATAGCTGCAGGCCGATGTAACTTGTCAGCGGCATTGATGCTTGGTCTCTTATTGGTGAGATGCTAGTAATTCTGGGAAGACATGAAGTTCGACGAATCAGCATGAAAGATGCAAGTACATCAAGAAATATCGTGTGTTACAGCACGCTAATTCACCGAAATCGCCTTGGTCAGACCAGGCAGCAGTATCCACTCGTCTCGCGTTTAGAGGAGCTCACGAGGCCCAGAACTTGACTTCTAAACTCTGAAGAGGCTGAGCCCTATTCTGCCTAGTTGTTGACTCACAACATGATGATTTGCACCCTAGTGCAGCCGCACGGATACATTCGGGGTGGTGTCTATGGTGCCTATCAGAATGACCCGTTTCAACGCGGGCTGGAAATAGCGGCCGCGACCCACCGTTGGGTCCGTATCCGGATCGGGACTAAGAAGCGGAGAAGCGGCGCGCTCGGCCACCGATACCGCGGGGAGTCGCAATTCATTGATAGACCTTTTCGGCCATTCTGGTAGCAAGATATCTGTTGAAGTGAATGTAACTATCGGGCTAATGTAACATTCGTGAATCGTGAGATGTTCTCTCTGCGTCTTCGGAAGGTATCTCTCAAGTATAACGCCGACTTTTTCGGTGTTCGCTGAAGTGTGTTGAAATCCGTATGTACGATGCCAAAGCGTGGGCCGAATCCAGCAGACCATTCTGAAAGTAATATCAGCCAAAATTCAATACCCCCAAGGACTATCGGAACGTCACAAGGAGGGGAACTTACCAAAATTGTCCATCAAAGTCCACGCATAATACCCCTCCACGCGCACTCCGTCTTCGTAGATCGCGCGTGAGATGGCGTCGAGATAAAGTCCGAAATAACGTTGGCGAAAGTTATCCTCAACCGCAACAGCAACGTCATCCTCCCCCGGACAAGGGCATCCGTTCTCAGTGATAATGACAGGGAGCCGGTAACGATCCCAGACCCAGTTGAGCAGCTTGCGGAAGCCTTCGGGTGCGAGACGCAACCACTGTACACCAGAAATCGGTCCTATTTCTACGCCCTGAGCGTTCACTGAAGACTCTTCGATGTTTCCGGTCCAGTCATCATCGGCTGGAGGAGTGGATAGGGCGCGAGCGTACTTGGTTGAGTAGTGGTTCATGCCGTAGAACGCGTTGATAGAAGCTGTCTCCCGGAGGAGATCTTGTTCTTCGGGCGTGAACTGGGGCAGTCGATCGCCAAGATACTGCCTCATGGAGTCTGGATAATCCTGACCGAGGAACACTGGATCTCCAAACCAGCCAAAGTAGAATTCCATCCGGCGTTGCGCCGCGTCTCTATGAAGCTGACTCTCGGCGTCGAATGGCTCATAAAAATGCCCGTTGAGCACGATGGATATGATACCCTTTTGATCAGACTGGAACTCTTTGGCATAAATCTGAACGACTGAGGCATGGGATATGATAATGGTATGCCCGACTCTCCAAGGCTCCGTCTTAGTATCGGCGCCAGTCGCTGCACACCGACCAGGTGCAAGAACACCGTTGTGGTGGGCGAAGATCGAAATGATGTACGGCTCGTTAAACGTAACCCATTTCTTCACCCTGTCGCCAAAGCGAGCGAAGCAGAGGCGCGCATAATTCTCAAAATCAGCCTTGAAATCGGCCGTGTCGAGGAAGCCTCCATAACGATCATAGAGCTCCTGGGGTAGATCCCAGTGATATAGAGTAACCACTGGCTCAATGTTATGGGCCAGAAGTTTGTCGATGAGGTTGTTGTAGAAAGCAATGCCCTTCTCGTTGACGGCGTCATTCCGACCTCCGGAGGGTATTATGCGAGTCCAGGCCAGGGACAAGCGGTAAACGTCCACACCAAGAGCTGCCATAAGAGCCACATCCTCATCTACACGGTTGTAATGATCGCAGGCAACGTCGGCGTTCTGGCCATTGGTTCGCGATGGCTCTAGATGAGTGTAGGTATCCCAGATGGATTTACCCTTGCCGTCCTGGTTAACAGCACCCTCGACTTGAAAGGCTGCGGTGGCAGTCCCCCAGGCGAATTCGGCAGGCAAGCGAAGCTCTTCGACGGGCAGGTCGTGACCAGTGATTTGACTATAGGCAACTAGATCGCCGGCCTGGAACATGGCGGCTTCGTTCGCCATCTTGGCCAATTCGATCAACCAACTTGTGAAAACAAATCACACTTTGATGTCCGCGGCGAACTGAAACTTGTCATATGAAAGATTTGTTGCTTCAAGCCATGCAGTGAATCTCAACCTGGATCACCAAGTAAAGCGGCATTCATCGTCACTCGCGTCTATTCGGCCCCGATGCTGACCCGAATGATTCTAAGAAACAACCATGACGAGTTTCTTCTTTCCTTTTTACTTCCAAAACAGCATGAATCGGCGCGCGTTAGTTGTTGGGGCGACTTGGCAATTTTGATCACCCCGTTCTGTGTTCCTCAAGGAGTGGCCCCGCATCAATACGATGTACGTACGAATACGGGTGGATACACCTCCTCGGCATTAGTGTGACCACCAACCCCTCCTGTTGTCACCTCCCCGTGTCGGATGGCCAGCCCTTCGTATTGACACAAGTTCCTGGACGCAGGTCGCTCCAAGCTATCCCGAAGGGCTTGAGCGGTATCGCAAAGGGGATATTCACACGAGGATCAGTGGTGAGGTCAAGAAGGCGACCTTTGTTAGTAGATACCGACATTTACAGACCATACTGAAAGGCAAATTGTGCGCATTGGCACAATCTAAACATCTTCTAATCATCATCACCATATCTTCTTTCGTCCTGCCTCTCATCATGGCTGTTGTAACCGATGTTCAGTTTGAACACTATCACGCACCGAACATCACTGGCGTTCAAGAGACAACTCCCCGTATCTCTTGGAAGATTCTGCATTCAACGGCTGGTTTCATTCAGCGATCATACGAAGTTGAATTGTCAGAACATGTGGCGAATATCCAGGAACCTCGAGTGACGACAGTCAAAATCGTCTCGGCCCAGCGCTCTCTTGTCCCCTGGCCCTTTCCGAAGCCATTGCAGTCTCGACAAAAGGTCTCTATCCGCATCAGAATCTGGGATCAAGAGGAGACGAGCACTGCCTGGAGTGAAGCTTCTCATCTTGAAGTCGGTCTCCTCAATCGCTCGGACTGGCACTGTGAGCGCATTGCTGCACCTTGGGGCCCTGAGACGACCGCGCCGGATCATGAGCAACTGTTCCGCAAAGAGTTCGCTGTTGAAGGGCGCGTAGCTCAAGCTCGTTTGTACATCACTGCTCAGGGAGTTTACGAAGCAGAGATCAATGGCCGAAGAGTCGGTGATTATTTTCTAGCTCCTGGTTGGACCTCTTACGCCGGAAGACTGCAGTATCAGACCTACGATGTCACTGATCTATTAAACGTCAATAGCCCAGAGAACTGTATTGGTGTCAGAGTTGCAGAAGGGTGGTTTTCTGGCAGGATCGGCTTCGAGGGTGGGCATCGCAACATCTGGGGCCCTCATACAGCACTCGTTTCGCAGCTCGAGATCACGTTTTTTGATGGTCGCGTTGAGTCCATCGGCACCGATGGCTCCTGGTGCGTCACCAAGGGCCCCATTAGGCTTGCTGAGATATACGACGGAGAGAAATATGATGCGACTTTGGAGATCGAGAAATGGTCCAGTCCGATAACCACTACAGGCTTTGATATGTCCTGTTGGGAGCCTGTTCTTGTGTTGCCATTCTTACCCGAGTCGACCAAATTGGTCGCTGGATTTGGCGAGCCCGTCAGAAGAGTTGAGATTATCAAGCCTGTGGATCAAATCACCACACCTACGGGGAAAACCATTGTCGATTTTGGCCAAAATCTAGTTGGCTTTCTTAAGTTGACGAACATCAGCGGTTCGCGAGGCCACATCATCAAGCTCTCGCATGCTGAAGTTCTAGAGCATGGAGAACTTGGAACTCGTCCATTGAGGATCTGCAAAGCTGTCGACGAGTACATCCTCAAGGGTAGCGCTGAGGGTGAACAATATGAGCCGCGGTTCACCTTCCACGGTTTCAGATATGCCCAAATCGATGGATGGACCAGAAATCACGATATCATGACCTCTGTCGAGGCGGTTGTGTGCCACACCGATATGAAATCTGTTGGATTGTTCTCGTGTTCCGACGACATGCTCAACAAGCTATATGAGAACATCACCTGGGGCATGCGAGGAAACTTCCTTTCAGTACCAACTGATTGTCCACAGCGCGACGAGCGGCTCGGCTGGTCTGGCGATCTGGCCTTGTTTGCGCCCACTGCCTCTCTCATTTATGATTGTTTTGGCATGTTGAAAAACTGGCTCATAGATGTCGAGTACGACCAAGCTGTCCTTGACGGTGTTCCCCCAATGGTTAGTCCTAACGCGACATTGCCCGATCCGATCTGGTGCAGGAGAGTTCCGTGTGCAATATGGCACGACGTGACTATCCTCGGTCCATGGGCACTATACAAGGAGACTGGCGATGAAACCATCTTGGCGCAGCAGTACAGCAGTATGTTGACCTGGATGAGGGTGTTGCCCAGAAACAAGTCCGGAGCGACTCACCTATGGGATACTTCCGTGTTCCAGCTTGGGGTATGTTGCCTTGAACGCCAGACTTATGACAGCTTGAACCGAAGACTGACCACTTCGCTTAGGATTGGCTTGATCCAGCGGCACCTCCCGACGCACCTTGGAAATCGCCCACTGATGCCAAGATGGTTGCCAACATGTTCCTGATCCAAAGCCTGAGTCTCATGGCCCGAATTTCCGCAATTTTGGGACACAAAGACAAACAAGCCGAATTCGAGAAAGAAGCCGGCGCCGCGAAGACAGAGTTTCATCAAGAGTATGTTACCCAGAATGGCCGCATCGTATCAGATACGCAAGCAGCATACGCAGTGGCAATTTGCCTTGACATTCTCAACCCCCAACAACGAATCACAGCCGGAGCGAGACTTGTTGAACTTGTGAGGAAGAATAACTTCAAGATTGCTACCGGCTTTGCAGGAACACCATTCCTGTGTGAAGCCATCTTTTCTACGGGTCATACCCAGGTTGCATACAGCATGCTGTTGGAGAAGGAGTGTCCTTCTTGGCTTTATCCTATCACCATGGGTGCAACAACCATTTGGGAGAGATGGGATTCCATGTTGCCCGACGGGAGCATCAACCCTGGCGAGATGACATCCTTCAACCACTACGCCTTTGGAGCCATCGCGAAGTTTCTGTATGAGAGGGTGGCAGGACTCCAAAGGCTTGAACCGGGCTGGACTCGCTGTCGGGTGGCGCCGGTGCTCGGGGCCGAATTCACCCATGCATCTGCTACCCATCTCAGTCGTCACGGTACCGTTTCTTGCTCATGGCGTACTTTGAAGGAAAAGGATGAGACAGAGACGCTACAACTGAAGGTTTCAGTCCCACACGGTGTCACGATGGAGGTGGTCCTTCCGGGAATAGAAGGGGAGACAACTGAGGTCGTCGGAGCCGGAGAGTGGAACTTTCGGGTTACGGTCAAAAGAGATTACGAATGGCCCGTTCTGCCTCTAAAGCCCAAGTCATAGCGGATATAGCCGCATATCATCGTTTAGAGAAATGCATAATACCGTAGTTGTGTCCTGGAGGTTGAGAAAAAGGGTCGCAGCATAATTCAGCACCAGCTCTCGGGCTATCCATAATCTGACCTTTCGATTAAACCATGATAGCTTCCGTTAAGGGGTATCATCTCGTCACCTGCCCGCCCCGTTTTGGAGGACTCCATCGCATGAATATTGCATTTTAACCTGCTGGAACTGCCGAGGTCTGAAGCTTCCTTGGCGTTCAAGCAGTTTGGCGAACAGGCTTCAAGGGCATAAATGCTGAAAAGTTCTGTTGGCCCCTTATAGTAGGTAACTCGCGATTTCGCCTGAGCGCATGCACGTCTCCCAACGTCTCATTTATGCAAGCTTGACATCAGAGACCAAGTCATTGACAGAGAAGAATCTGGGAATGCTTTGGCCAACGATAGGCTCGTTTGATGTTGGAGGGAAAACCAAACGTCAGAAAACGTGGCACTTTGGACAAACGTAAGACTTTGAAAGAGCTCTTAGGTTGACGTTTTGATGATTATGGTTCGGATTGAATTGACATTTTCATGCGGATGCGCACCCTCATTATGACACTGACAGGTCCGGTATTCAGCAGGACCAAAGCCAAAACTTTACTGAGAGATGATCCTTTGAATAATATGAACTCTTACTGAGACAGGCTTGCCACAACCTCAGATGACATTTGCACACGACCTCTTTAAGTGAGAAAGTACACGGGTCAAAGTGTCTGATGGCGAAGCACTCGGCATCGCTGATACTCATTCATGGCCGCCTAGAAGCATAGACGATTGTGTGTGAAATGTTCGCATTGAAATGTGCTGAGAGAGCGCTGCTCTCGGGATACCAACTACAGAGTCCTCGGAAAACAAAGACGACGTAGACCATCCAAAATCTGTTGTTGCTGGTATCGTGTGTATGTGTGGAAGAGCAAGACCCCGGCTCGCTCTCGTCGCGTAAGTTTTGATACCCCTTTCCCAAAATCCCAGTAAATCATAGTGCGCCCCGTGAAAGAAAAGAAAAACATAAGAAACTGGAATCAAGAGACCTGTCCGTGCGGGTCTCTTTGGTCCACTTCTTCGTCTTGATCTGGGCTTTCTGTCCTGTTTGCACCAGGTTTAACCTTTCGATATTTCCATTTGCTGATTGCCCGCCTCGGACTCATCGCCTTCTTGAACTTCGTCCAAGTTCCCTCTCGCTTCGGTCCTGGAGGTAGCTCGTACTCCCCGTCTTCAAATGGGTTCTCATCTCGGAAGGGGTCTCCTTCGGGGGACTCGTTCAGTTGTCTGAAGTCCTCGCTGAAAGGGTTGCTGTCGGAATACGAGTAGTCATCATCGTCAAAAGGGCTCGCCGTGCGTCGGCGGAAGGTGGGGCTGCGAAGGGACGGCGTTGCCGACCGCGGGAGCCAGGAAAATCTGCGTTGGGCATCGGGGACGGGAGGTGTGGGTTCTGGTATGATTGTCGTAGTCATCGCGGTGTTGATGGTGTGTCTCCTGGTGTTGGGCGGCTAAGACGGCGAAAGAGTCAGCCTGAGCGCGCAGGAAATGGGTCAGACATTGCTCACAGTCGCGCACATCTGTGCCTCTGAAAAGGCAGTGCTTTTCTCGTCGATATCCATGGCTGATCCCCTCGTCTTTTCGTCCGGGTCGCAGAGGTAACCGTCCAGCATTTCAGCCTTTCGCAGAGAGGAAGCTTCGTTGTTGCGCTCGGCGACGCGTTTTCACAATCAGAGAGGCCGTTTCCGTTCTTTTCTCAGTGCACCTGGCACGTTTGGATCGTTTTTTTCGCCTCTTATGTCACAGTCGCTCGGCCTTGGTGGAACGAAAGCTGGGGGCGGGGGATCAGGGGCGCGAGCGGGTACGACCAGCCACATATATGTATGCCCGACAAGACGGTTGTTTCACGGATTGACGAGTCATTGATCTCAAGTAGGCCTGGTTTCCTGGTTTGTTTGGCATTTTCATTCGATGTCAGGTGCTTTAAACAGCATATTTGATGGGTCTGCATCGCCTTTCTTTCCAAGGGATAGAGAGAGGGGTAAAGCCTGGCCCAACCGCTCGTTTCCCCTCACATCAGACATGAGACGCAAAAAAGGGCGGTTGATGCACATTGGAACGGGGCTGGTCCTTCTCGATCGTGGACCCGTTGTCTCTCATTCCATGCACTGCATGTGTGATTGGTGGGAGATGGTTCTCGAAGGGTTCAATATCGTAGGAAAATCCATGTTGAAGGCGGTGTTGGCAACGGACGGTGGGCGCGGAAGAGATCCATTTCAGCCGTTGCATCCGGGATGGCCCCCATCGGGACCGGAGGCGATCAGTCAGTCCAAGCGGGGCCGCCCACCCCGACACACATGGGGAACCCATCCAGAAAGCTTGTGGTGGCGGGCATCTGTCGATCCGTATGCGCTGGCAGATGTGGCTCCCGCGTTCGCATACGTCTTTGCAACTGGGGGAACTGGGACCATCGTGGCATTTGATTCTGGTTCTTCCAGTCTGTCTTTCGAATCTTGTCCCAGGCCCCGTGTTCGCATGAACAACTCTAAACCGGCTCTGCATGTTATCGAAGATGCACAGCCACGTTTTGACCGAAACTCAAACTCGGATTCCGTCCCTCCATTACGAAACTGACGTCTATGGAGGATTCGAGTATCCAGAAGAGGAAACATGCCTCGACATAAGCATCATGCAAGACGGGTATGTTTGCGATAAGGTCGATCGATCATGCATAGAACGGTAAGACAGGCGTGTCCACCTGCATCTGCTCTATGACTCTAGATGGCAAATCAACTGTCGAATTATGTAGCAACCCCGGCTCTTCCGATCTTGCAGCGTAGTCTGTGCGCTGACTTATCCCACTTCAAGAAGCGGTGGCGAGTGATCACGGGCCTGTTTTTGTACGTGCGGATTCACCACTCAACAACAAACTAGTGGATTTTAGCATGTCGCTTGACTGATCGCTTGCTTTTTGGCATCCATTATGCCCATCTCACAGTCCACTGACCGAGCAACAGCAGGGACATGCAAAAAATTCGACGACGCTCCCCGGTCGTTCCGGAAATTAGCGGCGATCATGGGTCAGCCTCATCCAGGACCCCTTTTTTTGTTAAAAGAAAAAAGGCTGCCGAACCCTGGAACCCACCATCACCGAAGCCCTCCTTTCTGTCTTTAGTGATATACTTCCACACCAACTATCCGAATTCAGAAAGCATGGTTTGCTGAACGACGCGTCCTGGTTCGACGATATCGCAACATCTTCTTTTTCTTGACTTTTCGAACAAGATCTGGGCCAGAGCCTGAAACCTTGGACCAACAGCCAACATGCGATTCTGGAAACAGACAGTGGAGGAGAGTTCGGAGCAGAAGGCATCGCAGGGGAATGCTGTCGAGGAAAGTGGAGGACGCGTGGGCGATGTCGAGACCGCCATTGAGAGTCGGCCAAACAGCCACCACGAGAAACAACCCACCCTGCGATTCACGGCTCATCAGGCGTTCTACATTTTTGGGCTTGACGGCGTCGGCGCCGCTATTCTGTCTGGAGGCATAAACTTTGGCATCGCCTATGGTGAGTTCAACTCGACACTTCCAAGCCGTTGGAATTTCTACCAGCGAAAGTGCAGGCGCGAAAGAGGAAACTTGAATAGCAAGCTAATAATCGATTTGCAGGCATGTACTCATTCCAAAATTTGGCAACACACCCTATCCGCCTGTTCCAACTGCCCAACACCCTCGCCGGAGATGCAGTGGTCACCATCCTCGTCCAAACTTTGATTACGTGGTTCATTGAGCTTATTCTTGTCGAGCACGATTTGAAGAACGGGGCCATCCGTCCTATTGGCTTTTACAGAGAGCCTGTTCGTCCTCTCTGGCGATGGCTCATGCTTTTGGCTCCGATTGAAGATGGTGGGCAAGTTGTTCCGGCACGCTCCAAGAAGTGGCCCGCGTTCCTCGTCGATCAGTTCATTCGCATCGGCCTGATCTTTGTCGTGTCGTTTTTCCTACTATGGGCGCCTTCGGTTGGCATCTTGGTCGCGATTGGCAAGCGAGGAACAGGCAGTGATTGGGACTGGTATTTCCAAAAGCAATGGGCTCCGCAAATCTTCAAGGGCGTCCTCGGTGGTCTGCTCGCTCTTTTGACGACGCCCGTCATGGCGTCCTTCTGGCTGGTCAGAGAAGGATGGCGACTCAGGAGAGGAGAGCCCATTATGGAGTGATTCACAGGGTATCCTGGGCGGGCCCAACAGCAACGGGAATAGTCTTTTGGCTTCAACAGGCATGAGCTGTCACCACATCCGTACCCCGCAACACCACATCGCCGGCTCTTGATGATTTACCCGGCATGGATACCGATGAAGATACCCATAGATGCCAGCGGTTGCTGTTGTCATGGGTGGAAGATGCGGGACACGATGCGTCGGGTTCGGTCTTTACACCGCAGGTGCGGCGGATGCGGGGCTCCAGAGGCCTCCTTTCTTTTGGTGGAATCTACTCAGGTTATGGGGGATTCAACGACATGGTTTCGCCGGCACGGTCCGGTCAATGAGTGGACGACACGATGGAATATGCGCAATTCGAACGGAGAACGATATACCCGCGATGCTTGTACGTCATTCGGCTACATGAAAACAGACTCAAAAAGGCTGCGCTTTTGTTATTACATCTGTTGCATTATGTTAGAAAGCCGACTTTTTAATATCTAGTATGATAATATTGCCATTTTTTATATTTGCAAATTGAAGCACAATTGTACAAAACGCATGAAAGTATTTGAATTTGATTGTTGAGAGTCGGGAGACTTAGTCACCATCTGTTATGGTCGGGTTCAGGGACAGCGATTATGAGACCAGCATAGGGCAGAGGATTGTTTCTGTGTATTGATGTGTACTACTCTGCCTGCGAAGGAGCTTCCTTACAGCAGTTTCGTACGCGACAATTTCTGAAGTTATGAGCAGCACGTATGGATGACTCTTCAGCAATAAGTGCCTGTAGATAGCGCGATGCTTCACTGGTTCTTAGGTAACTTGAGGATCTGAATGGCTTCCCGTTCCTGAATCCATATCGACCTCTGTTACTAAAGTAATACTATTGGCACATCAAAGTGTCGCCTCGCAGCATTTGGGATGCAGCGTGAGGTGTTACATGCGCATTGAATCACACTTGGAGACTGTTCTTCCCTGCATTCGTGATCGCATGGCACATCCTCTTTCCATCTCTGGGACAAGAACTCAGCGCTTCTGCTTACAATGTCGGACCTCCACGAAGTCTCGTGCATCCTCCTCAGTCTCCCTCCAATGTCTCGACGGTGGACCGCCATCACCGAGCAAAGGCCAATGACAACCAGTGGCCAGCATAAGATGTTGTTCGCCGGAGAGTCGGATGGGAGACGGCTGAGCTCGACAACAAACCGCCTTACAAGAAGCTGAATTTCCAGAGAGCGATGGCTGAATGTTGGCGTAAGAAGTAGCTTGATATACGCAAGACAGGCGAGCCGGTATAGCTCTGAAGTTGTGTCTTCGTGTGTTTTCGCGGCACCGGGTTCCGCGTCGGTTGATAGGCTCAGAAGTTGGCTTTCGAATTTTCGAAGCTCGATGGCAACAGGGTAAGGAACTGCCGAAACTAAGGAAGCGTCTTTGATGAGAACAGATACTTTAAGAATGGTTGAAAAGATCTCGCGGCATCGATGTACTAGCAGAGTTCCGTGAAACCCGTTGCCCCAAACAGTAGGAGAGTTGAAAATATGAGATGCCAAGTCGAGTTTAAGCTCTCGACCGTGGGAGAATGATATCAAGGCAGCAAAGTAGCAGAATATCTCAATAGTGATTGCTCGCAAAGGAGAATCTGTCCCCGCGTCTTGACAACTGCCAGAACACAGAGCTGCCACTGCATTGACATGGGGTATGAGCCTATCACTATGAGTGTAGTTGACAGCCTACGCTGGTTAGTAATTCTAGTGCGAGTTTACTATCCGCCAGCTGAGTCTCACCTCATGAACACAGAGGAGGATGATTGCAAGTACTACGTCGTCTCCCGGAGAGACTTCATGGCCATCGCTGAGATGCGATGAACTTGCAGCATTTCCAGACCGACCATTCTGCTTATTCAGAGCTGCGTTGATTCCAGCCACGGCCTGGCCATAGAAGCCATGCGTGAGGCCGAGCAAGTTGGAGCTCGCCGGCTCATACTTGCACATGTCGCCCGCAGCCAACGCCAGGATGCAATTTAGAACGATAGGATTCCGAATTGCAACGGGGATTATGAGTCCCAAATAATCTTCGCTTCTCTCGCCGCTTGCCGAAAGCCAACGTGGACTCTTTGCGCGGAAATGCGACATCAATCGGTCCTGTACAGATGCCGGTGGGAGGGCGAACACGGTGATCAGAGAGCGCATCTCTGACTGGACCGCAAAGTCTTTGTTGAATGCATGGCGGCGGCGAGCGATCTGCTGGCTACAGCGCTGAGGAGGCTGCCAGTTGCAGGAGAGCCCTCGTTTGATGCATGAGGTACAGCGTGGGTGGGTTTCGTCACATTTTCTCTTGCGTTGGCGACATTGCTGGCAGCCGGTCTTTGACCGTTGACTTGGCGTAGCAGGTACTTGTGACGGGCTTTCTGAATTTGGAATCGACGTCTGGTGGTTGCTCATGCTAACGAATTGGTTGGGTTAGACTTGTGACCCAGAGAAGTTGTGTCGTACTGATGAGACTGGAAACTCGGTGGACCCTCGGTGACAGCCTGTGGGAGCCGGGGTCCACAGAACGTAGGGGCTGGTCTATTGAGAGACGCCAGAATAGGAAGTCAGAGATTTGGACTTGAGTGATTGATGCGGCCAGTAATTGTGGACGTAGCCGAGATCGGCTGGCTCGAAGCATTAAGTAAGGTATGAATACAAATTTGCGTTGTTTACGGAAAACACTCCTCACAGAAGCTTCGGATAAAGCGAAAGGAAAGTTGTCGCGTTGGCCCGGTACGTACCGGCGCATAGTTAAAGCTGAAAAAGGATTAGCTCGAGGGCCACAGTCTCCCCTGCTGCAGTTGTAAGTGTTCTGAGAGGTCTTCACATGAAGCTTAAGAGCTAAGTCTCTTCCCCAATCTTTTCAAATAGGTGTTTCTCTCAATTTTCAGCTTATTGAGGCCTTCTTGCGCGTTTTATTTTAAACGGACAATTCAATTTTGCCATGGTCCCCAACGTTGACGAGGCGGATAACCTCGCCCGCATGGAGCGGGGCGAGCTGTACTATGCTTTCACCCCGAATCTTGTGGCAGCCAGACGACGCTGTGGCGAAGCAGTCGGCCGGTTCAACAGGGCAGGCGACCTGACCAGGCGAGAAATAGCACAGCATTGGAAAGAGTGAGCGGCGAGCGCCTTCTTTTTTCTTTTGCCCTTCCTTCCTTCGAGTGCCTTATTCAATAACGACTGGGCAGGATAACGAATGACGACACCCCTCTCCCTGCCCCTGGCGCATCGACTGAGGAAGATGACCAAGTATTGCAGAGTTATCCCTGGATTGAGAGGCCCATCAACATCGATTATGGAACCAACATCAAAGTTGGCGTGAACGTCTTCATCAACTTCAACTGCACGATAATCGATACGTGCCTCGTGTCCATTGGGTCCCGAACCATGTTTGGCCCAAATGTCTCCCTCTACAGCGGGACTCACCCACTGGACCCGGACCTGCGGGATGGCACGAATGGCCCAGAATATGGAAAGCCTATCACGATCGGAGATGACTGCTGGCTGGCAGGAAACGTCATCATCCTTCCTGGTGTGACGATCGGCAATGGCTGTGTAGTGGGAGCAGGGAGCGTGGTTACCAAGGTAGGCTTCATGTGAGAAAGAGATTATTGATGTTGACTAGGACTGACATTATTCAGGACGTCCCGCCTTACCACGTAGTTGCTGGAAACCCTGCTAGAGTTCTGAGAAAGATTGAGAGGAAACAGAAATAAATTAGATTTGAACTGCTGTTATCTCTCTCTTAATTAAACTTGTGCGTTCTAAGGTTTTTGAATGATAGATGACCAGTAGTAAATCAACGCCTTTATGAAATCGAGTAGATACTTGTTTTGTTGTAGCGAGATGTGGTAAATCAACCGAATAGCTGCCAAAAATGAGCGAACAACGGGATCTCCTGTAGCTAGACACGGTACCTGAAAGACGACGACGATGGCCGGCTTTTGCCAAGCTGGCGGAAATGCAACTTCGGAAATAATCCCGCATGGGAGACCTGATGAGCGGGGTACAAATTTACATAAGAAGACGGCTTGCTGTTGCTTCGATATCGCAGTTCACCCACTCTTCTTCCTCACAACCATATACCCACATTGGCGTCCTCTGACACGATGCCTTCGGAAACACAGGGTGTTGAGCTTCGAGGCGTAGCCCAAGATCCAGCGACAACTAACGATGATACCTTCGCCCAGTCCTTGCCCCCCGCAGATAAAGGCCCGCTTGCCTGGAAGTTTCTGTTTGGCTCTTTTGTAGTCGAGGCTGTCTTATGGGGTATGCGGCCCTTGGTCATTAGAATGGGCCGTTTTGCTAACGCATTTGTACAGGATTCCCGCTGTCATACGGCGTGTTCCAGGATTACTACACCAAACACCCAAGTTTTCAGCAAGACTCCAATATCGCCGTGATCGGAACCGTAGCGACAAGTGTCTACTTCCTCGGCGGCCCGATAGCGACACCTCTGGTGGCGCGCTTTCAGGTGTGGCAGCGACACATGATTGTCGTCGGCTGGCTGGGCTGCTGCGTCTCACTCGCTGTCGCATCGTTCATGTCATCAGTGCCCGGCTTGATTGCCACGCAGGGTGTCCTCTACGGCTTCGCGTTTACCCTGTTGTACTACCCCGTCCTCCGTATGCTGAATGAGTGGTTTGTCCAGCGACGCGGGTTTGCCTTCGGTATCATGTCGACTGGCGCTGGCTGCAGCGGCGTTGGTTTGCCCTTTCTTCTGGAGTGGCTGCTGGCGAAGTACGGTTATCAGACGACGCTGCGGGCAATGGCTGTCGTCCAATTTGCTACTATTTTTCCGGTTATACCGCTTCTTAAGGGGCGCTTGCCGGTCTCCAGGCAAGGCACGCTTCGCAAAGACGACTTTACATTCTTCAAGAAACCGCTCTTTTACTGTTTCGCCCTCGTCAACCTCCTCGAGGCTCTGGGCTACTACATCCCATCCCTCTACCTGCCGACATATGCAACTTCCTTAGGCCTCTCTGGGACAACGGGCGCATTAATCCTCGCCGCGAACAATCTCGCCATGATATTCGGCCAGCTAGCCCTCGGCTACGTCTCGGACCGGGTCAAGAACGTGCTCACCCTGGTATTCGTGTCCTCCTTCTCGGCTGCCGTGGCCAGCTTCACGATCTGGGGCTATGGCTCGTCGCTGGCATCGCTTATGGTCTTTTCGATTATTTTCGGGCTGGCCACGGGTGGTTTCCCGTGCTTGTGGCAGCGGTTCGGATCCGTCTTGTCTGATGATCCCGGGCCGGTCTACGCGTTGATGGCTTTTGGGAAAGGGCTCGGGAACATTCTCATCGGTCCCATCTCTGCGGCGCTCATGGCGGGGAGGGTGAATAAGAGCGAATATGGGCTTGGTCACCTCCAACCGTTGATCATCTTTCTTGGGTCGACGATGTTGTGTTCGTCGCTGGGAGCTTTGGTCTGGCCGCTGTGTCGCAGAGGCGATGGACGTTAAGCTTGGAGATGGCCTCACGATAGGGAGATTGGTTATAGCAAGAAAATTAAATTGTCTATCTAGCCTATTAGTAGATGTACCACTATGCAATAGACAAGCCCAACCTCATTCTGCATCCTTGTTGTTTGAAGGCTGTCGGTTGTTAGAATCCGGGTGCCCGCCCAACGCCTATTAAAACGAAAAGCGAGGAACTGCAAAAAAGACGGCAAAAGAAATGGTCCTGTGTGGGGATTTAACCCTCTGAGTTGCCTCATGCCTGAATCGAACAGGCGATCTCCTCATTACTAGTGAGGCGCTATACCACTTAGCCAATGAGGCTGCTGGGGCGTTGGACGCTTGTTGTTGCAGGATGGTGCCACCAATGGCAATATGATTCCATCGGATTAGCGAAGTGCGCGAGACGAGGGCTTGCTGTCCCACTTGGTTTCGGTTCGAAGATGGGGCTAGCGTTCTGGTGTTGTGGTCGGGGACGAGTCTCAAGATGATCCACCGCCATTCCATTGCGGATATCAGCATGTCCTTTCAGAAATGGGGGAAATCTCATAATATTAGTCACATTAGATTTGGATAGTTCTAAGAAGGTGGGGAATCAGACCTTGTGGTGGACTGCAAAGTTCCATTGGGTGCACGCATGGGCTTCTCATGCATACAACTTCAAACCAGAAACCAAGAGGTTCATTGACCGGCTCGAAAACAACTGCCGAGCGAAATTGTATCATGCCAGCTAGCAAGCACAAGTCTAAACGCATAATAACAGAAAAAAGCGTCCCTCGTGGTGCTCCCAGTCATCAGTCAAACCCTTTATTGTAAGAATCCGGCACCCCTGCATGGGAGATGAACCAACGGCACCGATTGAGTGGAAGACGCCGTGCCATTCCCGCCGATCTCCCCGCATTCTCAGCGGTCGGATTCCCGCCACTAGCGGTTTTGCTTCGACGGGACTGGCGGAAATCATCACCTACCTGTCTCCACGCTGGCGGAAATCGGGATTGGAACCAGAGTACATAATACCAGTGTTTTGGCCGTGAGCTGTGAATTATGGATGATTTCCAAAGTTTTCGACATCCATGGCGAGTTTTGCGTGGGTGCATGCTTCTGAACGTTTTCATCCTGTCTTTTGAATGGAGCTGTACGATTTATGCCGATGTCTTTGAGGAAACCCGCCTGGCAATCTACGATATCCGAAGTAACCGACCTCAAGCCGAAGAAAAACACGGAGATCACCCCATGCCCTCATATCCAACACGGCTCAATGGATTGAATCGTCTTTGACCATTGTCTGGTTATGGGTGTTAGCCTGTTCGCACGAAGACTTGACCTGATTCCTCGTTCGGATTCGCGAGGACACGCATCTATCCGTGACTCAACTTCGCTTGGGTGTGCGGCGGGAACCTGACGTTGCCGGGCGGCCCCAAAGGCAAGGAATATGGCCTTCAGGTTTGAATTACCACGGCAGCCCATAGAGGACGTCAGGACTACTTCCGTATCTCCGGTACGGGTTCCCGGAAATTCACGTTTGTGTATGGTTTTATTGGGGAGGCTGTTTTCTGTATCTCGTAAGATTTAGCTGTTCTCCAGCTGTTCTTTATAAGAAGCTGACTTACAACTAACTCAAAGGCCAGATTTCCATCCGAGACTGTTGTTGTTCAACCTGTCTACCATCTAGCCTCTCGACGACCCGATGCCTTCGGCTTTCGGCTAATCCTTGAGAGACGGAAGCTAATGCAATGCGTTTATACTGGAGTTGCAACCTCGAGAGCGAAAGAGACCAGCAGACTGATGCATGGAGAGCTTGGGGAGGACAACTCATGATCACATGTCCAAATAACCTCGTACTTCGGCCGAAAGTTTGAGTCCAAGTGCGCTGTTTTGATCACATAGGTCGCAACGAAGGCCAATTATGGCAGCCCGAAGACAACACCGTGGCCAAGAATAGCAGGAAGGACGATCCAGTGGCGTCATATCTGGAGAGATGAAGCTGAAACTTGCAGCTGCATGGCTCTAGATATGCGGCCAGGTCGCATCGATCCGGAGCGCGACACGGGGTGGTTTACTAATTAGTTTTCCGCGTGGCAAGACGAGAGATTGTAAGGTTGCGGGAGCACCCGTCTGGGTTCAGGAACACGGCCCTTCGGAGACGACGGAGACGATGCGGAATCAACGGTTTGAGACATGCAGAGGGTTTCGGCTGCTGCATGAGGTCAGTCGAACTTGAGCGAGTTTCCTCATCGATACATCCTGGAGCAAGCCTGGGATGACAGGAACAAGAACGATCGGCGGGCATTTCGGACGAACCAGGATAGTCTACTGGCGCGGCGCAACCCTCCACCAGCGAAAATTAGGCTTCAGGGCCCCTCATTTCGACAGTCTCATGGAGGACTCGAGGGTGGGCTCAGAGCTTGATTGGGCGGAGGTGTGTCCAAGACTGGCAGAGTCGCATTCACTCATACCGAGTTTATCAAACTGAACCAACGATGGACGGGCCATGAATCCGGAGAGTTATGCGGGCGCGGTATTGCAGGTACGGGGAGCGTGACATTGAACCGCTGGATGTGCAGCTCAGGATCAGGAGCTTTTAGGGGAGGGACACTCGTGGAGGGCATCGACCAGAAGAAAGCCTTCGGCTCGTCGCTCCGCAAATCCATCGGGGATCCACTCACGGGCTAACCAGATCCGGCTAGACAGAACCTCCGTACGGCCCAGGCATGCGGAGACGCCCCACATATGAGGGGCGTCCCCCGTTAGCCGAGCCACTGGGGATGCTCCAATGGGGGTTGAAAAGCGGGGGAAAGAGGCCGTACCGGGCCAGTGCCAATTTGCCCGCTGCAGGAGTGGCCTGGCCTGCACCTGCCTTGGGGGAGGAGGGAAAGAGGGAAGGAAGGAGCTAGGAGACGAGCGTGTGACTTGCTGTTTTTGATCGCCTTGTTCCGAACGTCGACTCGAACGGCCTTTGCTGCTCAAAGAAAGCGAACTTCACATCAGGCCAGAGACATATCAAGGACGCGGTGGACGCGACTCGACTGGACCATCGATTCGCCATCAGGATCTGGCTCTCTCTCTGATCACGACTCGCCTCCGTCTATCCCTTGCGACCACAGCCCAGCCCCCGACGATGAGATACTCAACAGCGTGCTCGGCGTGTCGGTAAGTCGTCAGCCGAACCCTTCCCGGGAATCCTTCTCTCTCCTCCCCCCATTCCCGGCCTCGTCCGACTTTGGAGATGATCGCATCGCTCACCGACGGCATGGCAGCGCTCGACGGCGCAAGTGCGAGGTGCCCATCGGCGGCGGCCAGTGCACCTACTGCGCAACCCAGAACATCGCCTGTTCACGCGCCGGCTCCATCATCCAGCCCAAAGCCGTGCCCGTCAGCCCGCTGTCTATCGCGACGCCGACGACGCCCTCTGTCACCGAGATCATCGTCGCCAGCCCCCCTGGCATTACTCCGGTCGCCGCTGTTTCCGACAAGGCTCTATGCTTCGAGCTGGTGGAGCTGTACTTCAAGTACATCCACGACTGTCTCCACTCCCTCTTCCACCGGCCCAGCTTCATGCTGGATCTGCATGAGGGGACTGCTCCTCTGGCGCTTGTCTATGGCATGATGGCGCTGTCAGCAAGGTATGTCATTATCGAGACCGTTTACCCCAGCGAATCCTTGCTAAGTTGCCTAAGGTTCTCCTCAAATCCTATCTTCAATGGCATTGCTCCGATATCGAGGGGAGAGCTCTTTGCCAACGAGTGCAACATGCTGCTCAACCTTCGAGATGTATCTCTCACGAGCATACAGGCATGTGTCCTACTTGGTGCATATTCCATTGTAGAAGGAGAGGCAGGCGCAGAAAGCGTCTTCTACTCAGCAGCATGTAGGATAGCCAACTATCTCGACCTCCCAAACCTGCCCACGCCGGACCCGCTGCAGAGGGAGATTCATATTAGAGGTACGTACCGTAACTCATGCGTACGTTGAGGCTGTTTCGCCCGCTCACACCCGTAGTTTACTGGTCGCTCTGCATGATTGATGTCTGGTCATCAACTGGTGTCAACCTTCCGCGTCTCATGGAACGGCGAATGGACGTCCCGTTACCGATGAACGAGTCAACTTTCCTTAATATGACCCGTGCGAACAACAACCACTTTGACTTTATCCTGTCACCAAACCGGGAAGACTCGCTCATAGCCCAGATGATCAAGCTGAACAGCATCCTGCTAAAGGTCAACGACGCCATCAAGTCTCTCACATCAGACTCCACAGTAACAAACATCGACGAGACTGTCTCGACCCTCGCGCAGGAACTTGAGGCCTGGGAGCTTGAGCTTCCCCCAAGTCTCCGCGATACCCCAAGCAACCTGCATTCTTTCGCCGCCCAAGGCCTGGGCCGTATCTTCATAGCTGTGCACACGGGTCACTACCACTACAGTCAGTTGCTCTTCTATCAGTATCTAGATGAGGTACAGCGCTTTCCCGCCTCCCCGACCGCCCAGATCTTTGCCCGGAAATGCAAAGAGAACGCCGTCTCCATGTCGCGTATCATCGACCTCGCCAACACCACGCCTGGCTGTGACGCCAAGTTCAACATGCTGGGCCACATCATCGTCATCACGTCGTCCATCTTCATCCACACGCTACTTTTCGAGACCGACGAGGCCGAAATTGCCAACGCGCGGGCAACCCTGGAGCGCCACTTCAACACCCTCGTGGCCTTGCGGGTGTACTGGCCGGGGCTTGAGGTGTGCTTCGTCCGCCTCAAGACTTTCCACGAGCTATGTCGCAAGAGCATGAACACGAGCTACCGCATGGACCGCTGGATGCTACGGTTCTTGACCGAATTTGCCAGGCCCATTGACGAGAAGGAGCGTGATGAGGATGGGAACATGGATTTGGACAGGTGGAGTGTGGGTAATATTGGCATCAGCCCTGAGAATTGGGCATGAGCATGCGGTACCGACACAGAAGAAGAAAATCCGGCGCTGGCTCTGAGCATCAGCCTAGCCCAGGACAGTGGGATCTCCGTCACAATGGCAACGGCGATGGCTCTAAGACCGCCGCTGCTGGTGCTTGGACCATCGAGGACATCCCGACAGGCCATATAGGCGACCTGTCGACAGGGCTTCGGAACACACATGTCGGAACTCGGATGCAGTCTCCTCACCGCATCACCTACTCGGGACCGCAGAAACCGGGGCATCTTTGGGGGAAGATGGGGTCAACCACCTCGTGACCCCCGCGTATCCACTTTGGAGGCGGGGTTGTGTAACTTCCCCAGGTTCCCAGATGCAACATGAAGCGCCGCGCCCGCTCTCTCTGATGCTGCAGTCTGTCGCCTATGACGAGGTACTGAGATGAGCATTCGTGAACCAGCGGATCCAGTCAACTAAGATGCTGGACGAAGTAGGACGTGGGCAGCCTTTTCAGCTGCCATTTATGAAGCCATTTTGGGGCCTTTACATAGCATGGACCAAAACAAGCGGATGGTGTCGAAGCGATGAATATGATGATAAACGCATCTGGCTGCATATTTTTCCACCTTAGCAAACGCCATGTTGAATACCATGAGCCCTCATCAAGCCGTTTCTTATGCTAGTACACTATCTCTCAAACCACCGAACCCGACTTCGCAGTGACAGTCTGCTGCTCAACCCCATCCTCTTCCTCCACTCCCTTCGCCGCAGCCACCTCCACCTCAAACTTCGGATGCTCCGCAAACCGCCGTACGGGCACGCCCTCGTGGAACATGCGATCAATCTCCTCCAGACTGCGGCCCTTGCACTCGGGCACGCAAAGAAACACAAACAGCGCGGAGCACACGGCGATGCTGCCAAATATGAAGCCGACCTTGCTCTGCAGGCCCGCGTACGGCTTGTTGAGCAGGTACGGCAGCGTGAAGTTGACGAGGAAGTTCATGAAGATGTTGACAAGCGAGGAGGCGCGCTGCGAGCGGTCGCGCAGGCGCAGAGCGGGGATCTCGGTGACGACGACATAGGTTAAGGGACCCCAGCCGAGGCCGAAGCCGGAGCCGAAGAGGAGGAGCATGCCGACCATGCCGGATTTGTACGAGGTCGGGATCGGGGTGTGTACGCCCAGGCCGGCCATGGTGAAGAGCGCGGCGGCCTGGATGAAGGAGCCTAGGAGAAGAATTTTGCTATGTGAGAAAGTCAGCTATGCAGTTCTTGGGATGCACATCTGGGAAAAGCCATACCGTCGTCCGACCCGGTCGGTCAGGAACAAGCACAGGATAATCATGCCGCTCGTCAGCGCGGACGAGCCGAGCGTGACGTCGAACGGGTTCAGCGTGCCGAGCGACTTGACCCACACCGCGCCGTACTGGCTCGCGAACGCCTGGCCGGTGGCCTGCTGGAAGAAGGACATGCCGACGGCGATGGCGGTGCGCTTGCAGTTGACGCCCTGGAAGAGCTCGCGGGTGCGGCCCTGCTCGGGCTCGTCGGCGAGGGACTGCTGGATCTTGGCGAACTCGAGGGCGATCGCGGCGTCGGGCATGGTGCCGGCGCGGAGGGTGTGGTGAGCTGTTTTGGCTTCTTCGGTGCGGTCGCGTAGGAGGAGCCAGCGGGGAGACTGGGGGGACGTTAGTTACGTGAAGTTTGTTGGTGGAGGGGGGGCAGCAAAGGGCGAACCTCGGGGATGAACCAGATGAGGCAGATTACGATCGTGGGGATGACGTAGAAGAGGCCGAAGGGGATTCTGTAGGCGCGGCTGTCTTGGAACTGGGAGGTGCCGCGGCAGATGGAGTTGATGACGAGGCCGCCGAGCTTTTCTTGCTTGTCAGAATCATATTCAGGTCGCAGATATCTAGGGAGGCTTTGACTTACACCAATGGCCAATTGGTACGTCCCAACCACCATGCCTCGCACAGGGGCAGGCACGATTTCAGACTGGTACACCGGGACAACAGACAACTCGAACCCAACGTAGACATCTTTCCATTCGTCAGCTTCCCAAGACTTCTTTACATTTGTTGAAAGGGCACACTTACAATTCAATATCCGCCCCACCAAAATCTGCTCTTTCCTCGTCGAAGTGACCACAACCGTCGCGCTGATCAGCGCGTAGACGCTCATCACAAACATAGTCGTGCGCCGCCCGAAGCGCGCGCTGGTCAGGCTGCCGACGACCAACCCGATGGCGAAGCCGATGTAGTTGAGGCTGTTGAGCAGCGAGAGGAAGTACGTCGGGATTGCGTACGCCTTCGTGGCGGGGTCGTACTCGCCGAACTGCCGCTCGAAGGCGTCCATGGCCTGGGTGGAGGTGAAGGCTTGGTTGTCGAAGCCATAGTTGAACTGGGAGAGGGCGATGAGCAGCACGGAGGCGGCGAGGCGGGCGTTGAAGTGCTGTGTTATTGAGGAGAGGCCCATCGTGGTGATGTAGGAGTTGCGAATTTGGGAAGGGGTCTCAATGGCGGCTTAGCAGGAGAGTTAGGTAAAGGAGGTTGGGGAGGTTATATGTCGTTGACTCGGTGCGCCCTTCATGTTCATGCGGGAAACGTATCCCAGACCCCTGGTGTAGGTCGGCATGCTCATCGAAACATGTCGTGACGATGAATCCGAGGAACAGAGGCCAAGGATTTGCTTGCTAATGCCTGGGCAGTTACGCGATGGAGATGGCAACATCGCGCATCTGGGGTATAGCGTGCCGGAACTCGGCGGGTAAAGGCGAGGTAATGGTTCATTGCTGCGAGCGAGATCCGGCGAGATGCGGTGGGGGTCCACTTTTGGGGGGTGAACACCATCTTGGCCCCGTCTTGCGTGCTCACTTGCAGACGACTCGACTTTTTGTGTCTGGATATCTCCGGACAGTGGTTGCTGCTTATTTGAAAGAGTCCGTGGCGGCACCTTAAAAGAAGAGGATTGCTTAATGGAAGCTGCAACGTGGGAGTTTACCCGGCCGTCGAGACTCCTCCGTGTCCGGGCCCCGTGCTCGGATCCGGGTCGAGATAGCTTGACAAGAACCAGCTGAGCTCGCCGCTCATGTCAAACTGCGACGGCGCAACGTAGTAGTCCTGCGCCAGCTGGTTCTCCGCGAAGCCCGACCACGTCATGGGCCCGTCGAGGCTGGAGTCGATCTGGCCGAGGCCTATCGGATGCGCCGTCGAGGCCTGGTAGATGTCGCTGGGTGCCTGCATCTGATAGTGATCCCTATCCGTCATCAGCACGTCTCCTTGCAGTGACCGCGTGGAGAGTTGCGGCGAGTCAGAGTGCTGGATCGCGACCTCGTCGACCGTCTTCGCGTTGGCGTCGAAGCTCTGCGAGAGGGGGTGGTACCTGCTCAGCAGCGTGTTGCGCTGGACCTCGCTGCTGATCGGGGCTGCTTCTTCCGGGCTCTCGGGTGCGGTGTGGCGGTTTGCGGTCTCTGTCTCGATCATCCTTTTGACGTCTTGCTGGAGGACGGCTATGATGGGTGCGATGTTGGACATGTCGTCGAGTAAGGCGAGGTTGCTCTTGCATAATGCCTCGACCGTCTCATCGTCCAGTGTGACTGGTGTGTCTGTAATGGGGTCCACTAGATTGTTGTACAAACTGTATCTCCTTGCTGTGAGAAGCGTCTTGGTGCATTGGTGAACCATGTTCCCATACCCCAAACCTATGGGGAGACGCGTCTGCTTCGAGTGCAGCGCACCTTTGGAGCGGAGAGCTTGGAGATGCTCCCACAGACGAGCCATGCGGAGGGCGTGCGAGACCGCGAGGGCGCGCCAGGTTGAGACGAATTCAGGGGGCGCTTTGGATGTGAAGGCCGGCGCTGCGGACTCGCGGGCGTGGCCGGGGAGGCAGGTGCGGTAGAGGTCGCAGCAGGTTTGGAGGTACCACGAGTTCAGTGTGATGTACGCCGAGAACTCGGGAGTCGTCGAGTGGGAAAACATGTTGAGCTCGCTGGGCTGGATGTGCGAAGGCATGTGGGCGAGGAAGTTTGCGAGCTGGGACTGGAGGGATTTGAGGGTTGTGAGGGCCTTGGCGACTGCGGCGGGGGACGAGTCGGAGCGGCTTTCGAGGACGATTGCTTTTGTTGATCTGTGATGTGTTAGATTCTTTGAGTGGTACATGGCAGCAGGAGTGGACGTACCGGAGAACTTCGCATCGGAGGCTGAATAGAATCATGACATAGGCTCTAGCTCCGGCGTCATGGGCAGCAAGGGCCTCAACGCCATCGCTAAGCTTGCTCGTTTGCTTCAGTAACCCATGACGGAATGTATGCTCCGCGTTCGGTAATGGCGTTCTCATCCAGCGGTTCGGCAGACAGGTGAACTCGTCGAAACCCGCAGAGAGCCCCTTATCCATCCACCAAACGTGCCACACCAGCCTCCTCTCACACTCTCGCCGGATGACCGTCGATGTGTCGGCGTCTGGCGGCAGCGGCCTTTCGTCATTCAGCTGGAACGACACACATAACCTCGCCGCGGTGCTGATTAGGAGCCACACCTTGCCGAACTGTCTGTACGCGAAATTTTGAAACTTTGACAGAGCCATGAGCTGGATGTTGAGAACCTTGAAAACGTTCAGGTTGGCAAAGATGTACCCGTCAACTTCCTTGGCCCATTGGATAGAGAGTACTCGCGACTCTCGGGATCGTGACACAAAAATTGCCGCCGCGGCACAGACAGAAGTACAAAGTATCGGGGGAAGCTTGCCAGCATAGAACTCCTCCATCATCGACGGCCGGTGAAAGAAGTCGTATCCTAAGGGGTAGACATGGTCGAAGAAAACTTCGAGATGTTGTCGGATGACATCTGTGCTCAGCAGCGTCTGCTCAAGAGAGGTGTTGAGCGAAGGCGTCTTCATGTACTGCTGCAGCGTCGACTCAGCTTCATATGAAGCACCCTGACTGAGTGTACATGTGCTGGAGGACTCGGGGGACGCGGACTGCTGCGGCTGGGCATTCGTATGCCGACTCTTTCGTCGTGACGGCGAGGATGGGTAAACGCAGGTGAGGTTCCGCCGGTTACAGTGGAAGCACTGAGGGCGGTGACCGGAGCACTTTGCCTTCTGGGCGCGACACTCAGCGCATGCGTTGGCGATGCGCCGGCGTCTGGTCCCGGCCTCGGTGAGGGTCTCCGTGGGCGCCAGTAAGTTGTGGGGATCCCCGGGCTCTGAGGAGACGGCCGACTCCGGGTAGTTGAAGGTGCAGCCGAGTCTCAGACGGCGGCAGTTTTCGCACGGCTCAGGACCGCCAGTACATTTTACCTGGTGAACGGTTCAGTTGATTTTCAAGTTGGCAAGGGATACAATTCAAGGCTTACCTTCCGGCGTTTGCATGTAAGACAACGCGGCCTGGGCGGCCACGTCGCATCGGCGCCCGGCTCCGGGCTCGGCATCTCGTCTCTTCTGCTCGGCGGTCCGATGATGTGGATTGAAGAAGAGTCAAACAGGCAATTCTTCAGGCACTGAGCGGGGAGGCAGGACCGCATCTCATCACCAGTCCAGGCCGCACGGGACGCGGAGCCCGGAACAGACCGAGGGTAATATGGTCCGGCATCCCCAGTTTCTCCACCGAGAGGGAACTGACGTGCTCGGGATGCGGGGTCATTCTAAACCAGTTTGGAGCAAGGGTCACCCACAGTTCGGGCGGGTTTGGCAAATTAGAGGGCCTGAAGAGGCCTGAAATGGCAGAGCACACCATCGCAAAGAGAGATGGCGGAAGGAGAGTTTTGCGCCATTGGGTGGATTGGTGTGGGAAATCGGTGGAGGACAGTTGCGAAGGAAAAGATAAGACAAATGTTTGAACTGCTGCATCCCTGTCGGATTTGAGCTACTTACTTAGTCATCTTTCTAAAGGCACTACTGGATACCAATTACCTACCAGTGTTTGGACCCATGTAAATAACTTTGCAGACGTATCCTATTCAATTGTCTAACCGGAAGCTGATCCAAGTAATTGCCGTTCATGCTCGCGAACGAGAAACGTCGAGAAAGATTTCAATTGGAGAAACCCGGAGAACTTTGAAGCAGCGGAGACGACGATGGCATGTCGTCTCACTGCCTTTCCATCGTGGATTGTCTATCTAGTAGGCGTGAAAGATATTCCATCTGGGTGTTGGAGGCATCTAGGTAAAAGCTGAATATATCTGTTATCGACCTCATCTAAACGCTCGCCATATTCCGACAAGTACTTGTATGCGGGGCTATCGGGTGTTGTAGTTCAATTTACGGCATTGGTAGACTTAGCCAGAAGCCTCTGTATTCCTATTTGAGGAAATACGGCTCGATAAGTATGCGGGACATGGTAACTCGACGGGAATAATCATGCCCGCAAGAATTAAGTTTTTAGACCATCGACTTACGTATCTTACTGTAGGATGAGTTTTGGTGAGGGCAATCTGAGGTCCTCACGTAGTCTACGAGCAGGGCATAGGTACAAAGGAAAATAGGCTGTCGATTGAGCGTAGCAAAAGGATAAAACATGACAAAACTAGAGTGATCGTTCACACCATGACAGTCGCAATAGCTTCAACATTTTAAGGCCGCTCACTGCAATGCCTGATTAGGTAGGAAGGTGAATTGACGCACTGATCCTCCAGGGGACTTCAGCTGCCGACACCGCACCGGGCGGGTGCCCGATACCCGGGCTTATCGGCGGCCTATGCACGTCGATTCCCCTCACCGATCAACTCACTCTCAAACATCAACTCGACAACGCGTGACATTTAGTATCCCTTTGATGACCGCGAATGAGGCCGAACAACCCAATTGATTCAATGACACTCCGCAAAGCCCCCGTCATGATCGGGCCCGCGCCCGGCGTTTCCACCCGGCGACCGGGAGCCGAAACCGCGATTCCGGAGAAGCTTATCAAACCGTGGAAGCTCCCCCGGCAACAAACCTACCTCTTCTTAAATGCCAACGTTGTCGACACCGCGCATGGGACTATCCTCGAAAATGCGACCGTCAAGATATCAGATGGACTTGTCGAGAGTGTCAGTGTTGGAGATGCAGACTACGCTAAATGGCGCGGCGCAATTGTGGTCGATTTGAAGGGAAAGTATCTCTCTCCTGGGCTGATTGACTGCCACGTTCACGTCAGCTCTGTCCCTGGAGAGGCTGGTCTCAACGGGGGCTTCAACATGGATGACACGGTGTCTCATCTGCGGCAATCCTTCGTCGTCGGCCGCATCCTCAGTAAGGGCTTCACAACAGTCCGCGATACGGGTGGCGCGACTCTGGCGTTGAAGGAAGCTATCCAGGATGGCGTGTTCCCTGGCCCGAGGCTCTTCATTGCAAATCAAGCTCTCTCTCAGACAGGAGGTCATGGCGATCGCCGAGGCGCCCACGATCATTCGCAGTTATGCTGCGGGAGCACTGCCGGTCTGTCCAGCGTGGTTGACGGAGTGCCGGAATGCATCAGAGCGACAAGAGAGCAACTCCGAACCGGCGCAGACTTTATCAAAATCATGGTTGGTGGGGGCGTGGCATCTCCTACAGATAGGATCGAGAACACGCAATTCACTGCAGACGAGATCAAGGCTATCAGCGAAGTAGCCAGGAGTTACGGAACTTGGGTGACGGCCCATGCTTATACCCCCCGCGCGATCCGCCATGCAGTTGAGAACGGCGTCACTGGTATCGAACACGGCAACTTTATTGACAAGGAGACGGCAGAGTTCATGGCTGAGAACAAGGTCTGGCTGACCCCCACCCTGGTCACGTATGACGCTATGGCATCCGACAAGTATGCCGGCTTCCTACCTCCCGAGAACCAGCGCAAGAACCAGGAAGTACTCGAGAAAGGCTTGCAGTCTCTGCGCGTTGCTGCCGAAGCTGGGGTCACCATCTGCCACGGGTCGGATCTTCTCGGCCCCTTGCAGGCTGAGCAGAGCAGGGAGTTTGGTATTCGACAACAAGCACTTAGCGATAAGCAAGTGCTACAGTCTGCAACTGTCAATTCAGCCAGTATGCTTCGGCAGGAGAACTTCCTAGGTCAGGTCAAGGAAGGGTTTGCTGCGGACCTTTTGATCCTGAACGAGAACCCATTAGATGATGTTTCCATTCTGGATGAGCCTGAGAAAAATGTCTTGGCTGTCATCAAAGATGGAAGAGTCTACACTAGCAGATGGAGCAAATTGCCCGAGGACGTCACTGAGCCAGTTGTTTTGATTGAATAGTTATCATTACATTTCATCATGTTGCTTTTATCATCAATCGTACATCAGTGGAGGCTGTGAACTCCCTGAAACTCGTCTAGATCAATAACGATCTTGGATGCTGCTGCCCATACTTGTGTGCGCCTTGCTGGGCATTGAGGGCATCGCTTCCCGTTGCCCGTACTGTTGGAGTTGGTATGATGATGAGTTCTCAGCATCAGCCACGAGTGCGAAACCATCCCTGCCCGAAACACGTCTTGAAGTGCGGTCCGAACCGCCTGCCGTGGTGTAGTACTGTGCGGTCCCCTTTGGTGAATATTGCGACCGGCCGAGCAACGGCCTCAGGAATGGTATGCAGGCCAGAGTGATACCGACGCCGGGCTCAAGAGCACTGAAGATGAGTGCATTGGGAATGCCGAAAGTGACGTCGGTGTACTTTAGGTGCGCAAGGTAATACAAGCGAAGAGCTGATACAATGCACGTGCTGTGAGGGCGGGATTTGGTCAGCTCATGAGCACGGGAGGGTTCTATCAAAGACAAGACTCACAATACTCCTAGCGAGAAAGTCGCAATGAGAGCAACCTTTCGGTACGTCTCCAGTTTGAGTCGCCACAAGTAAGACACGGGCATGATCAGGACGATGATATCCGTCATCAAGTTCACTACCCCCAGGGTTCCATCTGCCGCAGGTTGGTTGCCGCAGTTTCGATTCTTGAGGTCGAGAAGCCAATTATCGGACAAGGGTCGGCAGATGAAGAAGGCCACCAATACAGCCACGGCGGTCCAGATGACGGTGAATCCTGCCATGATCCTCGCGGCTAAGATCATGCGTCGTGTGGAGAAGAGTTTGGTGTAGAGAAGAAGGATGGCAATCTTGCACAGACTGAGGCTGACAGCCCATAGGATTTGCTGAACAACAAGGAGCTGAAGAAGAAAAGCAAAGACGTTAGTGAAGGGACCTTCTCAAGGACGTGCTCTGGGCCTGTGCGACATACTTGGAGAAACTTGATGATGGGACCCCGTCCATATTTGGGGATGATCTCTCGGAAGAGGTACCCAACTCCGCCCTGCGTGACACTGAATATCGAGACGAGCTGCAGCGCGTGCGAAAAGACCTATCATAACAACCCCCAAGTCAGCCCCAGGAACTTTCCGTCAAGCACCCCGAAACACGTACACATGCCACGATGATGCAGTAATCGCTCGCATCCAAAGCCCTGTGTGCCATGCGCCTCGCCATCAGCCGCAAGATCAGGGCCACCGTAGGCACGATGATGAACACAATGGACACCGCGACGACACTGATCTGGCTCTGCGTCTCCAGCGGAATCGTCGCGGTCCCGTCCCCAATCGTCGCGTTGGTCGAGACCGATGCCAACGGCACCGCTGTGGTTGTTGTTGCCGCCGCCATATTGTCGAGTCCGCGGCGTCGATGGATGAGGATCACGGTTCACGACCCTGATGTGGATGTCGCGGGAGGACGGTGGAACGGCTCTTTCCAGAAGCCCATGGGAAAATCAGGCAACGCGGTTCCATTTTCAATCTCGCAGAGATGCCAACAACGCCATGGGTCAACCATGTTTGCTAATTCGCGGTTTCTCAGGGCAAATGCTCGCCTAAAGAGGTCTCTGACCGGTGCAGCTCGTGGGCAGTGCGTCCTGTATGTTTGTTGCTTTTTCCATTGCGAGCTTGCACTGCTTATCGACTCAGCGTGCAGGCGACGTGCATGCTCGACAGGGGGACTGCGGGCTACGCGATTGTTCCAGAAAGGGAATAGGGAAGATTGTTTGCGCCGCAGCAGCCGACCGGCGCCCAGCCTGGACTCGGAGGCTAGGGTGTGACGGCTGGACTACGTCGTGCTTTAGTCGGATGGGAAGTGTGAGCGGATGCAAGGAACGCAGTGTGATATGTCAATTCGTTAGAAATCAGAACCGCATCGTCATTTGGGGGTTGCATTGATGAAGTTCGGCTCGCGGAACTCGCATCACGATGCCATCGGTAATGTTCTGATCGGATGAACATGGGATTTGCCGCAAGGATTCCCATCTTGGCCTACCTGAGGATGCTACCATGTCTCCTTCAGTTGACCCTGTCCTGTCTGTTTTCAAGGTTCCCCAGAATCAGAGGCATTCACAGCCATTAACCATGTTATCGAGAGGAGTCGACTTGCATGAGAAATGGGTCTCCGGGCAAAATGGTGGCGAAATGCCATGGGTAAGCTGCAGGGGAGCCAAACATGCACGAGGATGGCCATCAGAGGGGAAACCATTTCTTATTCTTCCCTTACCATTCGAAATTGCTTTTTCCACACATGTTTCCCGTTCGATGTTCGTGCCTGGTGTTCCAGACCAATCACCACAGCTGATTATCTCACCTCGCTTGCATTTAGCATGTCTAGGGCCATGTTGTCATCAACATCTGGACGACTGGCGACTTGTCTAACCCCTCACTTAGAAGCTCAGCTGGCCCCCTCCTTCGAGCCACCGGGAGCTAAAAGCCGGGATGCCCTCCCGGCTGCACAACATCACCGGTCGAGTCCTTGTTCCCGCTGGAAGTTGTGTGGTACACCATCCAAAAGAGGATCGAGGTCCGGCCGCCAGCCAACTCAATTCCGACGTCTCAGGCAGGTTGGAGGCTGAGAAGCATTAGTGTTGGAAGAGTTTTGACGCCACTGACCATCAGTCGCAATCCGAGTCGCCGGCCACCTCGCGACAACGGCGATATTATGCGCGTGCATGGTGATGCCCAGATGATAAGCTGGCATTAGTTCTGCGGCCTGCCACTCCACGTCATGAACAATCAGTGGACACTCACAGACCTCGTGGGATTGATGAGAGATTTTTCGGGCTGGGACTACTCGGATGTGAGCGTGTTTCCGCGAAGCCACCGTCGAAGTCACATCGGATGGCAGCCTGCATAGCCGCGTCGCGGCTAGGAACGCCATGAGATGGTTGAATGCAAGACGTGTAAAACTTTTCAAGACAAAAACGTCGGCGCCCGCTGCGGACAGTTGGAGAACATGTGTCAAATTCTAGCCATCTCAGACAGGACTTGTTTCCCTGGCTCTGCCATCGCCGAAATCTACGTTGCGGATCTAGCCAGCTCTACGGCCTTCTGTGCTGCCTTGCCGAAATCTGCCTCTGTGTGCAGTCCCAGTTTCGCTTCTTCCAGCTGCAGGAATTTATTAGAAACGCAGCGATCGCTTTGGAATTTCTTCTGGCTTACCATCTTCAGGCCCAGCTCTGAGTTTGTACCCTGAAGCCGCACTACCATGGGCACCTTCAATGGACCCAACTCGGTCGCGGCGCCAATGATCGACTCCGCAATCATGTCACCTCGGGTTATTCCTTGAGGGGTCTTGATCAACCACATGAACGCTTGGCAGAATTTGCTTCAACTTACCGCCGTATATGTTAACCAGGATCGTCTTGACTCTGGTATCCCGCAGGATGATCTCAAATGCCTTCACCATTGTTTCCTTAGTTGCCTGGCCACCGGCGTCCAGAAAGTTCGCGCTGGCACCGCCATGAAGAGCGATGGCGTCGTTGGTGGCCATCGCGAGCCCGGCACCATTGACCACGTTGCCAATGTTACCGTCCATCTTGACGTACACCAAACCGTATTTCTCGGCCTGCGCCTCTTCAGCAATGTCATGCGCCCGATCTCTCAGAGCGAAGATGTCCTTCTGTCTCTTACCAGCTGCATCGTCTATGGTAATCTTGGTGTCAACACAAGTAATTGTCTCATCGATGGCGTTGATGATAGGGTAGACTTCGAGAGAAGTCACGTCTTTGCTCTTGAAAACCTGGCACAGCCCCCGAAGGACGCTTCGCAGGTTCTTCTTTTCTGCGGGGCTTGCATGAAGGACTTTAGAGACTTCGTCGACAACTTCTGAAGTGATCCCCTCAGTCAATCCGAACTTGGTTGTACGCAGTCTCTCAGGTGCTTCTTGGTCTAGAGCTTCCCCACCAGTTCGCGATGCGATAATGACTGGACAGTACCTTTCTCGGTCAAATGTGATTGTCAGGTGCCATTTACAACGGCTTTTAATCATCTCGGTGACGTAAACCTTTTCAACAAGAACACCGTCGCCCGTCTCTGTTGTCCTGAAACGGCGCCCGAGCATGCTTTTGGACATGTCTACTGCCTCCTCAGAAGTTCGGGCTCTCTTGAATCTCCCTGTAAGGCCATCTTCAAACACACCCTGAGCCTGATAGCTTTGGGGGAGTTGGGCCTTAATGATGCATGGTACACCTGAAATAGGTAAGTCAGCTCAGTCACCGAAATTATGCTTGTGAATGTTACCTAGCTCTGAGTATATTGATTCCACTTCAGCTGGAGTTGTTGCGAGTCTGCCTCTTGGTACCGGTACGTCAAACTGAAATGAATGTATGAGCAGTAAACTTTGAATGGTGTGCACTTTGGTTTACTACGAACCTCCGCCAGAATGCTCCGAGCTTGGGGTTCATGTAAAGTCAGACGTCTCAATTGCTGCCGGGAGAGCACCTAAGAGGAAGAAGGAACGTCAGCTTCGGATTCTCCCAAAGCCCAACAAATGATTCACGCTTCAGAAGCACCGTGTCCTCACCCGGACTTGGCTTCTCCAGAGCTTCGATGTCAAGCTCGGGGAAAACATGGCCACAAAAACCGCCAATCTGTTGCGCTGTAAAACACTCAAGCACGGCTGCGATTGCCAAAGTAGCCTTGGGTTGCCGATTGGGGGGTACTGGACGAGTGCTATTGTTGACCGAAGTAGTGCAGTAAGATAACCGACAGCAATGGAGGTGGCATGATCTCGTGCGTCATCGAGGGGGGGCCGCTAATAGGTCAGGGGAAAGATAACCGAACGGTCGCTAGGCCCGTCCGGCTCCAGCCGGGCTCGGCTAACTATGACGGCTACATGCACGCATCACGAATGAATTTCGGTCCCTTTCGATCAAAATTACAGTCTTGTCGCAGCGCGGGTAAAAAAGAATATCATAGATAAAATACAGCAAAAGTCCGCTCACGAGGATGTCAACTTCTCATTACATGATCAATGAGATTTTGCTGGGGAATTAAAAAAAAAAGGCGTTTGCAGGTTCGCGGTACTCCTTGGTTCAGGGTCAACCTAGTGACAACCAAGACCAATGGTTCGCAGAACAATCGAAAAGAGAATAGTAGGCGAAACACACCGACTAAAACTAGAGAGAGGACGCTAAAATCAGGCGTTGGGAGACTAAAAGGAAACTTTGCTGCTTTGTCTTTGGTGAATGCATAAAGGTAGGGACAAGTCATGTTGAATATAGGACATTTGTTGCCTTCTCATGACATCTAATGCGTGCGACCCTAAGCTCTTCGTATAGATGATTGACATGACATCTCTAAATACCGTTTCTCCTGCTTCTAAATCTATCACAAGATGGGTAAGCCCATGCTCTCATGCCCCCATCATATCCATCGCGACAGCTTCCAATTCAGTTGTTGGATGGCACATCAACCGATATTCAATACCTTGACAGGGAAGATCTAATTTGTGGGCAATGGCCACTCATTCGCGACTGCAGAGCCTTGTGCAGCAGGAGTGGGTGTGGCGTTACCTTGGCCCGCAGGAGTTGCCTCTGCTTCCGTCCTCTGAGGCGTAGTCCTCGAAGCCAGCTCAAAATGAGCCCTCCTCAGAAGACGTTCGTACTCTTTCCAATTCTCCCATTCTTCGAATGCATCTTCATCATCATCTCTGTCAAAAGGCTCATCATCCTGCTCAAAGTCGGTCCCATTGTCTCGGCGGCTCTCTTCGAATAACATCCTCCGTTTCTTAGGTTTGGGGTTTCCGGGAAGCACGCCACGGTAGTCTTTCGAAATTTCACCCTCCTTATCGCCCATCTTAGTCTTTTTTTTCGTGTCCCAGACGTTGAGGTCGACCTTGCTGAACGGGTATGGGGGGCTTCCACCGTGTTTTGCCAAAGCCTGCTTCAACACCTGAAGGTCGGGCAATCCCCTGTAGCTTTTGGTGTGCTTCGCCAAGTCGGGGTGCTGGCCTTGGCTGTAAAACTCATCCGCTGTGTTGAGGACCCAGCCTGGGTCATCTGGAACCAGGTCCTTTGGCCAGCATGGGTTCTCCTTCAATCCGTACCAGTCAGTGTCTTTTCTCAACCCATCCCAATCATCTATGGAAAAGATTGCTCTGGGAGTTTGGACCGACACAGTCGTAATGCGAGCTACCGAAAAGAATGGATTAGAGAAGCTATGAAAATAATGTTTGATAGTGGAAGAACTTACTCATCGTTTTGTCCTTTCCAGTGATAACTTGCACCTTTTCCTTTACAGTACTGATGAGGTAGTCTCTCACGTAGTACGTTTTCTTGCCCTTTTTGTTACCCTTTGTAGACACCGCATCATGCTTGGGGCAAAAGTTACCCCACAGATTGCCGGCTCCTCTGTTGTGTTGAAACGGGTTGAATCGAACTCTTTGCGTCATGCCTTTGGGATGGGCTACATCGTCACCGGGCCAAAAGTTGCGAGGAGGCCACTCGTCTCTGTCGCACCCATCGGCCATCTCGTGTCCATACCTGTCCAGCTTGGGTTTACCTTTGGTGTCGACTCGAAGGACCCGCGGAACCCATCCATTTGCCCAAGGCCAAACCCAGTGTTCTTCCTTCTTCGCAAGGGTCTTGACCGCCGCCACACCCCAAGTTTCAGTAGCTCCACCATCGAGGCCAGTGTTGGCTGTTGCTCCGCAAGTCCATTCAGTCATGGATTTGGTCGCTTTGTGGATATCCATCATTGATCTGTTGTCCGAAATCAGCTGAACTCTCTGACAATAAGTCTCTACAACCAGGGGCCCCACGAGTAGTGATAGCACGCTTGCTCCCATTCCTTTTTGCATTTGATACCAGTTATCTTCGTTTCATAATAACCAATATCCTTCTCCGTTGTCGTCATCAAAACCTGCTTTCGCTGCCCGCAATCTTCTGTTGTCGTTCGAGGATCGCCGAGCTTACCCTCCCAGACCCCCAGATTTGTGTTCGGCTGTCTCGCCCTCAGCTGACATGCTTCGTTCGAGGTACTCGTTGGGGCGTGTGTCGTCTTTTCTGCCGGCGTAGCCGACACCTTCTCTGTGGGTTTAGCTGGTTTGGATGGGTCTGGCTTGTGCTGCGGTTTCTTGCAATCTGCCTTCACTTTCTTGTGGCAGCCGGTGCTCGTCCCCATAGAGTCAGGCATGTTCAGTAAAGCACCGAACACATCAAAGTTCCAATCTTGCTTGCCGCAGGCAGGCCCAACCCAGTTGCTGAAGAATGAGCCTACTTCTAGCCCTTTCTCGGAGAAGGTTTTTGCGCCCTGCACGGCTGCCTTTGCTGCTTTGAGAAAATCGCCAGTCGGAGTGAAGCTGATACCGACGTCCAGAATCGATTTGAGAACCGAGAGCATGACGAGACATATGGGCTGTTCCAGCTTTGCCAGACCCTCCATTACCACGTCCAGAAGGGCTTTTGCAATTTCAAGATCACAGAAACACTTTCCCGGGGCCCAGGGGTTTCCATCGTCGTCTCGATATTGCGGCTCTATCTTGTCCGGGGCCAAGCCTTGGAAAGCGGTTCCATTACATTATAGTCTCTGTGTCAGTACCCGCCGAAAGTAGTTCATCTCTCGGAAATTCAACAATGACGATACAAAAGATTGGGAAAAAAACGCGGAGAAAGAGAGAAAATTGTTGAAGGAACTATGGTGATAAATTATGCGTCGAGAACAGGAAACTGCTTACTCCATAATTGCCCTCCGTACCTCCATGGGTTTTGCAATATACCTTACAAGGAGCTTTGGATTTATCCAGATTCTGTTTCTCAGTGAAGTAATGGAAACATTGGCCGTTCGTTTCTTATGCTGCCAAATACGTTTTGTCGTTCTCGTCCCGGCGAACGAGGTCAAGTCTGGGAGTCGCCCCAGTAGCAATATTGAGACAACTGACAAAAACAAACAAAACAGGGAGAAATGTCTTCATCTTCAACTAGGTGGATTTGCAAAGCTCGTTTTGATAGATTCTGACAGTAGATTTTAGAATATCGACAAGAGAGAGTAGAATGTAGAAGAGATTGTTCCTTGGATGATTCAAGAGATACCAACATCATAGCAGGGTCATCAATTGAACATTTATGTGATTGCATCCGTTCACTTCAGATATCATGTTCATGCAGTAGCAAAGTATTCAGGGTAGGGTGAAGTGCCAACAACGTTCTGAAATGAATCTTCGGGCCCCCAGAAGCCATTCCTCGTCAGCATTGGGGGCTTATCATATCAGCTTTCTTGATTGCAGTCTTGGCCTTACCCAGCATCATGAAAAGTAGATGTACGTTGGCTTGACGCAGGAGTGCAAACCTTACCGGTTGGGTGATCGCGAATGGTGAGGCGGATGTTTCCAGGATTCGCTGACGCCCAAAACGACAACGGAAATCAGTCTTCCTCGAAGACAAAGCGAAATCTAGCGAGCAGGATTTAACGACGTGCGCCAATGACTGTGGTCAAGTTTCCGAGATTCAGGCTTGACATATTTTAGATAATGCAGAGTTTATACCATACTACCTGCTCTTAATTGATCTAGGGATGGGAGAGGGATCTTTCTCAAAGCGCAAAGAGAACTGCGCAGAGGCACTTCTGTGCCATGTACCATTAGTCATTAGACGTCAACGGGTTGGAGATTCCCACCGATCGGTCGTGATCATCTTTTAATTGGACATGCCATGTCTACAATGGGTGAATTCATAGGCAAGTCACGGACCTCACCCAACAGGTACTTGGCAAACATTCTCCCGAATGATAAGTGAATAAAGTTGCCATGAGAATTCTGTCGCTTATTACAATTACGACTGACCTGAATAAAGATCAGTCCATCTTGCGTCTGTGCTTTCTTAAAATAGTGTTCATTTCAACACGTCGCATTTCTGGCCTTGCGATGAAAGCTGAACCGATGATGCAACTCTGTGTTGGCCAAGAGAACTTTTCGCTATTCATAGCCTAACCGCCGGCGTTTCTTTCTTTTATTGCTCAAACTGCTGCGCCGTGCAAGGATTGAAGCGCCAACGTTGGGTAAACCCATCCCCCCACTGGGAACCACCATCTCGCTTCGGACTGTCTATTGCGTCAACTCTAACCCCCACGTCGTTGGTTGGGTGACTACAATGGGAAAAAGGGGACAGTTGGTGTGGTAATTGGGGCCGACGGATATCCATTTCACCGACATATGCAGGTCAACGACGCTCTGCCCCCTCCCTAGAGGCCCGCATCTAACCCCAGGCGCGCAGAAATCTCAGCCCGTATCCTGCTCTCCCGTGCCAACAGTGTGTCCAAAATATGAGCAAAATATTGGACTCGCGCTCAAAGCCTTAAGACGTTCAGAAGTTAACAGAGCACCTCATAGTCCCATTAGATCTGCGTTGCATGAAATTTCCTCTATCTCTCTCGATTTCATTGTAAGAAATCTCCACTAGAGCAAAGGTTTATCAATGCTTCCCCTTAGACCCGCATCCCAGGCAGAGCCTGCAGCCTCTCCGCCTCCGAGTGAGACCTACTCTTACTCACACGACGCGGCTGTTGCTGCCATTACATCCTATTATGAATTGATCGCTAGACTACAAAGGGATGAAACACAGTTGGAGTATCCGCCGCCGGGCGGGTGGCCTCAAATTACTCGGGAATCGTTCGCTAGTCTTGGCAAAACCGATGCCGTCATCGACCTCCTGCGTCATATTCCATACTTCACCGACGACACCATTGAAATCTTGAACATCACCAATCCACGGTGCTTCATCAACTCGTTTCTGTACGAAATGATCCATGCAGACAGCGAAGAGCAGCGCCACGAGTCGCAAGATTTGAAAGACGTCGAACAGAACAAGATCTCAGACACTGCCGTTGATGAGGACGGATTCCCTCGTGGCATGATACTCCTCGCCATAGGCGAAGAATATGGGTTCAAGGTGTATCTTGACACCACCCAGGGGCTCATCATTCTGACTATGAATGGTGGAGACTTTCCACGCTGTGAGCCCGACTTTGAGGGTGATGTGTCAAATCCTTATGTCGACTGGGATGCGGAGGAGGGTCACGAACAAGGGACATTAGGAGATCATGAGAACAGTGACGACGAGGAAGAGGCAGAGGACATTTTCGGCGACAACGATTGGAGAAGTGGCGCCAAGTCTGAAGCCTTCAGAATCCAAACCTTCTTCGATCTGTGCAAAGAGCAATGGAGACGAATGAACCTGATGCCCAGGCTGGAACACCTAGGCCGGATCGATATGCTCCAGCATCCCGAGCCTTCTCCAGATCAAGCTGTGCGTCAACGAATTCTAAGAAATGCTGGATGGCCAGGCACTGGGCCGGAAGTTGGAATGGAATGGGATAAGAAGAAGGCAAAGAAGGATATGATTGAATATTTTGGTGCCTGGGATTCCGAAGAGAGCGACTGAGATCCAACCTGGTCTTATCGTGGATGTTAGCAGATACCATGAACTAACGCCATTCCGACGCGCATCTGTGCATCGTTCATTTGCCAATAACTTTTTGCCAATTGGTGCCAGCTGCAAAGCACGGAAGACGCGGGAGCGTGAGGGGCTGTTTTGATCACGCGCTCTTCGATTGAACACCTTCACACGAATAGTCCCATGTCGTCGCATACCTCTTCAATCAAGCACATGTTAAAATCAATTGGGCTTCTTGTATCTCATCTACCTTACACAAAGACATGCCGCCGGCTGCTCGCGCCACTCAAAGAGCCCCGAGGTCGTGCATAGCTTGCGCCAAACGAAAAGTCAGGTGTGATAAGAGACTTCCTTGCCAGCAATGCGTGGACAGGGGGCAAGCAGCCGGTTGCGAACGCGAGATTGTTCGAGTAAAGGGTGCTTTAGTCGAGAACACAGGGTCTGATCGCCCGGGAAATCGGAGTTATGCTGACCTCCAGCGAGAGAACGCGGTGCTCCGCGCTTTACTCGGCAGCGAAGGTTCACAGACAAAAGTCAACTACTTTCAAGGCGGAAAAGCCCATTCATCAATGAGATTCGAACTGAATGGAAGAAATCGTATCGAGGAAGTAGAGCGGCGCTTGTTCGACGAGATTGGGATGTCTTCACAGCCACGAACTGTGTTCGACTTGAAAGAAATCATTTTACCTTCTGAAAGTTTCAGTCGGAGCATGGTAGAGAATGCGTTTCAGTGGACATTTTGGCTTCATTTCGCACTCTTCATCCCCAAGTTCCGGCGCGAACATGAAGAGCTTTTCGATCGGTTGCGAGCGAACCAGTCTCTTTCAGACATGGATCCTGCGTGGATGGCAATCTACTTTAGCGTCCTGGCCTCCACGCTCATGTTTACGGATGAAAACGAAACCATCAACCAGCGACCGGCTGGTGTAACTTTCACTGGCCTTCTCCGAAACTGGTATGATTCGGCGTTGCTGTTCCTCGATAGGGCCGACTACACGAAAAGACAAGACGTGCGCACTCCTCAGGCGATTGCCATTCTCCACATTGTATTCAATAACGTGGGAGACGTGCACCGTCATCAAAATATGTGGGCAGTTGCGATACGTCAAGCCCAACAGCTGGGACTGGGCTCAGACGAAAGCAATCCAGACGAATCCTTTTGCGAGCAGCAGATACGGCGGAGGCTTTGGTGGACCTTGGCGATATGTGAATGGTTACCAATCCCCCATCGAGTTCCCTGTTTGCACGAGATGGACTTTACATGTAAGCTACCAGACGAGGTTGATGATGAAGAGCTTGAAACCGCATCTGGTGGGTCGAGACTTTCGAGATCCAAGCCCCGACCTGTGAGATACCATATCGCCATGGCACAAGTCTCCAAAATCTATTACCAACTTCGCTATATGCTCAGACTACGCGAGTGGGGGACAGAAGATGTGGCACGGTTCGTCTTCGATGCGGATGAGCAGCTGGCAAACCTCATCACCGACCTACCCTCCTATCTCCAATTCGATGAGAAACCGACGACTTTGACCGAAGAACGAGATCGCCAATATCCCTTCATCCCGTGGCAGAAGAAGAGCTTGGCAAAGGTTCTTCTTTACTATCGAATGGCAATCAGCAGTCAGCTTCAAGAACATTGGCTAGACGGTTCGACTGACGGGGCTCGGACGCGAGCTATCTGCATGTCCTCGGCTCGAGGGCTAATCCACTCGACACTTAGGGAGACTGTGGATGCATCCAAACTGCGACCCTGGTCTGTTTCAGGAAATTCCAAGTTCAAAAGAAAGTGCTGACATCTTCAAGGGCAATCACCATGAATATCTTCGCTGCATCAGCGGTCCTAGCGCTCGAATCTCTGCATACGGAGGAGGACTTCTCTACTGAAATACAACAAGGTCTGGATTTCCTGGAGAGAGTCCAGGCCCAGAACCTCGTCGCCGAGAAAGCAGTAAAGTTCTTAAAGGAGATGACTTAGCATCATTAAATTATTGTTTGTTGAACTTCATGGTACTATCCTTAGTAGCCTGCAATGCTGGTCCTGTCATAACACTCACCTCAAATTCATGATTGGTGTGCTGCCCAACCTCGCTGTTATGGCCGAGTCCGGGACAAGACAACCAGTGCCATGCGCAAGCTCTTAGACACATCCTCGGGTACATGAATATGGATGCCGAAGTTTCTAGCTTTCAATAATTCAGGCAAAGGCATCTTCTATAACTGCATCTCGACTCAAGATGAAAAGTCATTAAAAGTATCAATTGATCTCCAATATCAAACCTCGCTACAACTCTATGATTTTCCATTTCATCAGGAGGCATAAGGCAGAACTCCCGCAAGCTTCAATAATTTCTCAGTTTCCACAGGCTCCTGAGACGGGCTGTCTCTTTTGTAGGTCTCTTGCTCCCCAAGTCTGATCACCTGTCTCTCGTCCCGGAAGATGTTCGCGTGAGGCCAATGGGTCTGGTAAGACTTCTGTTAGACAAAGCTTCTCGAAATTGGGTTGCCCGACGTGACTCACGGTCCCCTTACGGTCCTTGAACAATTTCGCTTTCATCTTCAAGTCTTCGGCACTCGCATACGAAGCCGGAGAGTAGCACATGTCTATTAGAGCAGACGTCAGTAAGCTGAATACCGATTGAGCTGGCTCAAACTTTGGGTCCTACACAAAACAGAGCGGACTGCTTCACTCTCTGGGAGGCAATTGTAGTGAACGGTTCTGGAGTCCCACAGGATCAGATCACCGGGCTCGGCGCACACTTTGACCGCCTCGCAGCCTCTCTCCTTGAACCAGTCAACCTCTTCCGGGGTAAAGCCGAACCAGTCGGCCGGGCCCCAAGTCTCTCGCTCCGTGTCGTGGGTCTTGAAAAAGGCCTCGTTGAGTGCACTGGACCCCTTCAGGACGATTAGACCTCCGTCCTTGGGACCATTCGGGGCAAGATTGAGTATCCCTTGGACGCACTGCAGTCCCTTACGGAGAGGACTTTGATCGACGTGTGGCCAAGCACCGATGGGTTCTCGATCTTTCGCAGGAAGAGTCAAGTTTGCACCGTCGAAAGAGACGAGAAGATCTTTGGTCTGCCAGAGCTTGGCGTAGGCATCGAGAATGGTAGGCTCCCTACAGTGACGAGTTAGTCATTAGCAATTTTCCCCAGCGATGATTCCCTTTGGCTTACATGCGAGCTTCCCAGAAGAACTTCTCGTGGGCCACTGAATACGCATGATACATTCCTCCCCTGTATTTGAATCAGCACTAGCCTCCAGTCAATGGCTTATGTTGGGAACAAACTTGATATGTGCCGGAAGATTTTGCGGACCCCAGGTTGAGGGGTCGTCTTTCCGGAAGCCGTAAGGAAACGTTTCGAGCCAGTCGAAGAGACCATCAAGATAGTATCCTGCCCTTTCTGGTGAGATAACGCCCTTCAATACGACATAGCCGTCGTTGATCAGCTGGTCTCTCCAGTCCCCAAAATTCGGAGAGGTATCGAGTTGAGGCTCGGTTTCGTAACTGATGCTGCCCATTTTGACGATGTTCGGGTGGACCCGGAATTGGAGAGGTAGGTAAGGTAGGTAGCTAGCTGATAGTAGACACAGACTTGCGGGGTTGGAGCAGAATGCCACTGCCGGCCGCTTTATGTATCCCTAACAGATTGAAGATACGCATCGCATCCATTCAACCAATCTTGTGTGTCATATGAAAGACCGGGTAGCATTTTCCATAGCCTGGATTGGGCATAGATTGTCTCCAGGCCGGACGACTCACGGGCGAAACCCCATGTTCTTTGGGGTTCCCTCCACACAACGTTATCGCAAAGGCCGGGCGAGTCACGGGCGAGTTTTCGACAGACTGACCAATGGGAGCTCTGCAGATGATAATGCATCTCCATCAACAATTACCTGAACTTCGCAACGATCTATAAAGATGGTCTTCGTGCGGCACCTACCAACCAAATTTGTGATATTGTCACGCCATCTGAAGTTTTCCCCATTTCTTCTCCGCATTCATGGCAAACCTTCCGACGGCCACAGCCGAGCCTGGCTTGCTCGATCTCACGAATACCCCCACATTGCCTTGGTGGAAGGACCAAGGCCTCAGAAAGCTCATCTTCTGGCAGACATGTATTCTGGCCGCGCAGATCACTGTCGGCTACGACGAGGTTATTGTCGGCTCTTTCCAGGCGCTGCAGCCCTGGCAAGACGGTAAGCTGCCGCTTCTCTGTTCATCGTCTCTCATGTTGCTGAACACAGATGCACAGCCATGGGCAATCCATCTGCTGAGAGTTTGGGCCTCATCACTTGCATGGTCTTTATAGGCGGCTTCTTCGGTGCGCTCGTTGCAGCGGCACCGGCAGATCGCTACGGCCGGCGTTTTGCCATTCAAATTGGGTCGTTCCTGGGAGTTGTCGGATCAATCATGCAAGCTGCTTCGCCCAACCGAAGCGTGTTTATCGGAGGTCGCGCTGTGCTTGGTGTTGGTCTGTCTTTCACCACCACGGCTGGACCCAATCTGTTGACTGAGCTGGCCCACCCGCGGTTGCGTGGTAAGATGGCATCGATGGTAAGCGGGTCTTCTGATGCGTGGCTACTGATCATGCTGACGAGATCAGTTCAACGTGCTCTGGTATCTAGGATCCATTATCGCATCATGGTTAACATTCGGAACCGGTCATCTCTCTTCGGAATGGTCATGGCGGATCCCTTCGATTGTTCAGAGTACCTTCCCGTTCCTCCTCATGATTGCCACCATCTTCATTCCAGAGTCGCCTCGTTGGCTTTGCTCTCGAGGGCGCCAAGATGAGGCGAAGGAGTTTCTGATCAAGTACCATGCCAACGGCAACGAGAGCGACCCTGTGATCGAGCTCGAGATGCACGAGATTGCCACAGCTCTGAACCTAGAGGAGCAGAGCAAGATGTACACCTGGTCCAACCTTCTCAAGTCCAAGGCCAACAGACGCCGCCTTGGAATCTGTCTCTCAGTGTCAGTTCTCACACTTTGGAACGGTCAAGGTGTTATTTCGTACTACTTCTCGCCCATACTGGACTCTGTCGGCATCACAAATACAACCCAGCAGACCGGCATTAACGGTGGCATGGCCATATGGAATCTTATCTGCTCTGTTACCGGAGCGTTTCTAGCCGACAGAATCGGCCGCCGGAGGCTATGGCTCATATCATTCATTGGAATGATCTTCGCCAACGTGCCCCTGACCATCACAAGCGCCATGTATGCGAACCATGGCCCTCAAGCGGCGGCCTATGGGACGGTTGTGTTTCTCTTCTTATACAATGCCGCTTTCAACATTGCATGCAACCCGTTGCTGTACTGCTACACTCCAGAAATCCTTCCGTACAGTATCCGCAGCAAGGGCCTGGCACTGCAAGTGCTGTCGAGCCAGGTCATGCTGACGGTCAATCAGTACGTCAACCCTATTGCGTTAGAAAGAATCGGGTACTATTACTTCATTTTCTACCTTGGCATGTTATTCCTTGGCTTGGCTCTCATTTATTTCACTTTCCCCGAGACCAAAGGATACTCTCTGGAAGAGTTAGGTATGCTCTTCGATGATGGCTTCGACGTGCGACCATCGATACTCCATGGAAAAGATGTTGAAAATACTAGCCATGTGGCCCAAGACGATGCGAGGAAAGATAATTTCAAGATCATCGAGAGTTGATGAAGGCGTAAATTAGGATGCCATAATGTTTGTTTACTCGGAGGTATTGCAATGTCTGTCTTGTATGCACGTGCGACTGCCTCCCTCTGCTCTGGTGCGTCTCAGCTCGATTCTTGCTCTCGGTTACACCTCACTGCAATTCCACTCCTCATCAACTTCGAGTCCATTGATGCCTACTGCCGAGCTTTCAAGCCGAGGTTCTACAACCACACTGAGACATCCAAACCCCCTTTCCCGTGTTCTAGCTGCACGATGCAGCTTCCGGGACCCAACTGTGCACTAACACGTCGATCCGCAGCAAAATAGTAAGTTTTCGCAAGTCAAATCCCCAATAAAACGCCAAAATCCAAGTCTCCGAGGCGCATGTAGCCGAACTGTAACGCGGAATTCGTTGCCCGGGCTGCAAGTCCCCCGCACTCCCCCGCCTCGGTATGATGCAATGACACACAGCGTGTGGCAGTCAAAGCACTAGGCATGACCGGCAAAAGACCCTTAAATACTGATGAACAAACGCGTCGTGATGGACAAAGTGCAGGTGCTAACTTTCTTCCGATGATCAAGCGATAACCCTGAATATCCAAACTTCACATCAGCTACGTGATCGGGAACATAGTCCGGCATCGACAGCATTTCATCGTCACAGACATTTGGCATAGATATCATGTCGTCTTCGCAAGGGCCAAGACTGGCTGGCAAGGTTGCGGTCATCACTGGTACGCCGTTCGATTCAGGTCGAGGGTTTGACTGACAAGTTTCCACAGGAGGTGGCCATGGATTCGGTGAGGCAATTGCTCGCAGATTCGCACTGGAGGGCGCCAAGGTTCTCATTTCGGACATCAACGAGGCCGACGGACAGAGGGTAGCAAGCGACGCGACCGACGCGATATCCTTCTGCAAGGCAAACGTCACGGATGCCGGGGAGTGGGAGAAGTTGTTGGACACCGCGCAGGAACGATACGGACGTATCGACATCTTGATCAACAATGCAGGCACCACTTACAAAAATAAGGTTGGCGACTAGCTCCGTCTCATTTCCCATCTTTAAAAGAAGTTTGGGCGAAGCAGAATATGCTAAATCCGATTCTTGTGTAGCCAACGGCAGAGGTGACCGAGGCCGAATTCGACAGGGTTTTCAACGTCAACGTCAAGGGCATCTTCCTGGGTACGAATGCCCTGATGCCCCGACTTATCAAGCAGGGAAGTGGCGGCGTCATGCTCAACATCTCTTCAATTGGGTCGGTCAGACCTCGACCTGGATTGGTGTGGTATAATGCTTCCAAGGGCGCGGTTTCAAACGTACGTTGGTGTTGGTCTTTGATGAGATACACGGGGTTGCTGCTAATTTACACGGTGCTCATCAGGCCACGAAAGGACTTGCTGCCGAGTACGGCCCTCATCAAATCCGCGTCAATTCCATTTGCCCTCTTCTGAGCGGCACTGGATTGTGAGTTTTTCTTTGCTTTCCTTTTTTCCCCCTTATTTGATTTCGACGGATGGGGTGCTGACGCGACTAGGTTCGAGCACTTCGCCGCGATGCCGGATACACCGGAGAATAGGAAGAACTTTATTGGCAACGTCCCACTAGGGCGTCTATGCGAATCTGAAGACGTCGCCAACACCTGCTTATTCCTGGCTTCTGATGAAGGCAAGTTCATCACTGGCATTAACATGGAAGTTGATGGAGGCAGGGCCGTTTAATTCTATGGGCATGAATGCACTCATGAGTTCATGACGGTCGTAGCTCTTGATATCTGTAGCAGCCCTAAATTATGAAAAGAATCACCCTCAATAATGCGCCTCTAATCTTCGCACTAGCACTGAGCCCCTGTCTTGTACACTGGACGGCGCATATATGCCGAGAATAAATAGTTCTCTGAAATTGGTTGCATTATTCTAGGTCTCCATCCGATTCTACCGAAGTCAACTCCTATGAACGATTTATTCCCTTTGATATGTCGGAACGGTGACTTTCACCCGAAGCTCTGATACAATTTCTTCTAGCTCGTGTCCAGGCTGAGTGGTATACTCTAAGAAGAGCAGCATTGCCACTAAGTAGCTATGTAAGCTGACGACATGAATTAAGGGCGACACCTGTACTCACCTTCTGGTATCCTTTGCATTCGAATTGGTTATTGCCTAGCCCTGTGGCGCTCAACATCGTATTTTTCTCTACGACGAGATTCTTGAGATCGGTTCTCAAATCACAAGCTATCGCAGGGCCTCCATCAATAGAGCACGTCCCGGTCATGGTAGCTGTCCAAGTGTTCTCGTTCAGCGAACATACAGTCTGCCGGGCTTCAAGTTGCTCAGTGGGCAACCCTAGGGCAGGCTGGGTCATGGCTGCTAAGGCAGCGGCTAAGCAAATAAGAGTGTGAGAAAGCATTGTTCAGGATGTCTTGTGGTCGACTGGAGGCGATATGTCAAGTGCGATGTGTGAATGAAGTTCCTCGGTAGAGATGACGAGACATACTCACTCCTTTAAATAGTCTCTGCATCTTGCGGCTGTGTGGTGTTGGCAGCAGAGCCGCCTGGATTGAATTTCTAGTTGGCGTTAACTGCGAGTCATAATAAACCTTATATAGATTCAGATTTATTAGAGGCCGAGTACGCGGTATGGTTGAAGGTTTCAACCGAATTAAAGTAAAATAAGGTAGTTCTTGGAACCGGGAACATACTGACTCAGGGGTCGATCTTCCACCGAGGACTCCGGGACCACAACCACCTAAACACCGACGGATGTATTTTTCTTAATCCTTGGTGATTTCAGTGCAGCGACTCTAACTATTGTCACGGCCACCATAGTTCACGAGAGCCGCAGCTTAGAGTATCAATAGCAGCCCTGAATCATCAAAGAATTATCCTAAACAATGAGTATCGGATCTTCATATCGGTAGCGAGCCTCAACCTTGAAACTTGGAAAGCGCATGTCAAGATGACGCCCATAGGATTAATTCAATTGCATGTTGCTTATGGGATGTTGAGAAGTATTACGATGTTCAGTAAGAAGTGACGTTACAATGCTTTGAGCCACGGGTTTAAAAATGGTTTCTTGGGCTCACAAAGGACTAACTACTAATCTTGACATACATTCTTTCTCTAACTGATTGCTAAGACCTGTGACAGCCTGAGCCTTGAAGTGCATAAGCCTACCGCAGGGGTTGACTGAAGTGGAAAATGCGTAACCTGTTGTAGGCACGGGACTCTTCAGATCGGCGAGCCAACAAAGATAACAAAGAACCATCTTCCTGTCGTGAGACGTTTCGTGTCGAAAACGTCTCCTCGACCTTCTGTGAAGAATTCCTACAGAGAGCGCCTTCTGCGATTTATCAACGTCATTGGTCACAAACAAACCCATAAGAGGGTAGCACAAGGGTTCGTATGTTGACCTCAGCTCAGAATCGAGAGGATGCTGTGTCCACTCCGGAGATATAAACCGCCCTCCGTAGTCATCCCGGACGGAGACGCTCGCGCCCTCTGTTACTGTACTATTAAATGCACAAAATAAGGCACGTACAGAAATAATTGACATCGTCATTATGCGCTTGTTAAATAAGCAACGATCTTTTTTCATGGTTCAAATCAACTATCATGATCTTCGGACTGTTCTTCGCCCTTGCCCAGATTTTGGTGCTAGCGGAGGCTTCTCGTAATACAACGGGGAGTTCCAATTTTGGTCGCTTCCAAACTTCATCGACCCTGTTTTCTCAAGCGACTTTAAAAAACAGTTCCCATTTCCAGATTCCATCGAGGCTCCTCTCTCAGACGACTTGGACGAACAGTTCTCGTACGCAGCGGACATTCCCTTTGATAACAGCTCCGTCGTCGTCCATCAGTAACGTTACTACCGGCTTCCAAAGCTCATCATATCCACCAGTGTCGGTCAGTACCTCTAGCTATCTTCGGACGGTCCCATTGGCGACACCCTTGCCATCATCTACGAAGGACACTATTAGTCTTCCCCAGGATTCATCATATCCTTTATCTCCACATACGTCAACAGATAGTTCCGAGTATATATGGACTGTACCGTGGGTCACAACTCGGTCATCTTCCACGGAGGATCCCGGGATCACAATCACGCAAACACCGACAGGTGCCTCTTTCGTGATCCTTAGCGACTTCAGTATAACCACTCCAACTATCATCACAACCACCAAAGCCGGAAGCAACGACCAAGAGATCGTGCCAGGTACGATGCTGCACCTTGATGGAAGCCTTCCTTGCTGATATGTCGCAGTCATTCTTGTGAAGCCGAAGAAGAAGAACCCCACAGACCCGGATCCAATTCCAGTGCCGGTGGTCTGCTTTGGGTGCTTTCCGGGTATCCAATTCCCACCAAATATCAAAGCGACACTTAATTTACCTGAGATTTGCATTCAGATTCTATGGTTCAAAATTGGAAACTGTCCCTCGGGCGAAGACAAAAAGGGCGGAGGTGGTGGTGGAGGCGACGGCAACGACGATGACAAACCCGACGACGAACCCGACGACCCGGAGAGCACACAAAAGTCAACAGAAAAGACATCGTCAACGTCTTCGTCTTCGTCATCTTCTTCATGCACCATTACTGCGACTGCTACTTACCAGACGGTGTATTGCTCTGTGACCCAGGGTAAGTCAGCAACGTCCCTCAAATTTCCATGGATTGATCTGATTCTAATATTATTGTTACTTTCCAGGCGTCCGTGGAGACAGTACCTCCCTCCTGACGACGGCTCAAACTACATGTCTTAGCAGCACCTACACAACGATCACCGGCTGCAGCGTCACAAACACAGCGACAACAGTGACCACGACCGTTGCCAGCACTCAGATGCCATTTTATCCGCCTTGTTCTCCGCATATTTGCGGTGGCGGTGTCTGCCAATCCACTCCAAATCGGGCGTTGTCTCGCGACATGGAAAAGCGCGGAAACCCAGCTCAGGGCGAATGGGTTGATTCCGACGACTATCCCAACGGATACGCCGAGTTTATGCCTGCTCAGCTCCGAGAGGCAAGAAGTCGGCCGGGAGGTGAAGGCTTCGCACCGAAGCTCCTCAAGCAAGGCCCGGGTCCTGCTCGAGGGCCCTATCCCATCTTCAACGATACCGACGAAGGTGAAGAAGCAGCGCGGGAGTATTATTACTCGGAGCTGCCTGTATCGACCGAATTTCTTATTTTTGAGGACGAGGTACAATCGCTGGCCATTGACCGGATGATCGGCTGCGACGCGATCATACTGGTCTCACGCCTGGGCGCCTTCGTTTGCCATTTCTATCAAGGATCCTGGGACAGCGATAGACACATGGACGACCTTATGAGATTCTGTTACTACGGGCGCCCGGAAAACGACCCAATGCGTGAATGGGCTCAGTACGGCATTGACAATGTCAGAGACCATCCTGAGGAGGGCAAGCGAGGCATCATACTCGGGGACCAGGACTCCGACGCAGAGGAAGACGATTTCGAGGATATTGTCGCCTTCATCATAACGCCCAGAGTGCGGCCGAACATTTGGATAATCGACCGTGACGGGCCCAGAGTCATACCAGATGAACAGATTCTGGCCCCTGACGTTATGGCAGGCCGTCTTAGATATGCGCCAGACAGAGTCAACAGAGTCAAACTGATCTTGACGGGAATCTTCCTCGACATTCCTATCAAGACGATCGATTATCCTCCTGCAATGCTACCGTATGCCGAATGGAGTAGGCTCGAGGCTCTTGATGATACGTTTGCTTTTGCCGAGGGGCTTCAGGATAGCATTGTCGATACGCCCCGCGGTAAGATTCTTCTCCAGTATCAGCCAGCGGCATCCTGTGATCAAGAGGCTGAGGTACGGCTGTTTGTTGATGTTCTCGGATATCAGGGGGAAAAGAAATGGCGTCCGGAGAGTGACCAGGTGTTTCAAGGCTCACCTGCCACTGGTGCCCGATTACGCAGACAAGCATGCCGTCGACCGAACCGAAATGACACAACTTCAGTCGGTGGCAGCGCATCAGCGACCTCCCATCCAGTTACCTCGATGCCGCCGGTACTGTCTATCACATCTCGGAGAAATGAGTCGATACGGCTCTCAACGGCATCGTTATCTTTGAACATCACAATGCTGCCTCCCGTCACGGCGAATACTACCACAGTGGCAAACAGCACAATCATGTCGACTGGTTTCAAATCATCCTTGGTATCTTCGGAATCGTCAATCGCGTCTTACAGAACTTCGTCGGCCGCGCGGAAATCATCATCGGCCACTTCGAAGTCCGCCGCAGTTACCTCAAAGCCGACCTCGTTGACAAGGACCCTCAGCACCTCCGCTCCATCCATCGCTCCATCGGCTACAAAGACCACGTCAGCAACCAGCAGCGACCCGCTGACGTCTGTCGACCCAAGCCCAAAACTCACACCGTTAACCAAACCAGGCGTTCCCGCCCCCTCCAAATTCAAGACATCACTGTTGATGACCTCCGTCTCCACCGCGCGAACTGTGGACCGGCTGCCTGCTACCCAGGCTCCAATAAAGCCAGAGCCGTTCAGCGTGCGAATTCATTACAAAGAATGGACGAGCGGTTGGGGCGGTGCCATAGGCACCCAGGGCGTGTGGGAGATGTTCGTTGCTGGGGTGAGAGCCGAAGTCGACCTCTGTGAGACGGAGGACGTAGGCCATGAGTTCCAGAGCTATTTCCGTCCGTCCGAATGGTTTGACGACAAGCGGCCGCCCAGCTTCGAGGCGGATCAGGCCATATTCGGGAGGAAGAACTGCAGGTACAAGGAGGGCGGCAAATCGGTGCCGGGCAGGTTTTCGTGCGACGGGGTTGACGAGTTTGACTGTCGCTTGAGCGACCGTCCAAAGGTCGAGTGCAAGGAAGCATTTGATATCAAGGTGTTTTATGGCATGGTGGAATGCGTGTTTCCTGTGCAGTAGCATGCATGCGTATGAAGTTGGAATTATTTGACATGTCAAGCATTGCATATTTTTCATCGAGACAACGTTTTCGTATGTGTATTCTCAGAGACACGGAGCAGCAAGGGGAATTTGACTGCAACGATGTGTTACACTTCACCTATTGGTAGGTATTTGATTGAGTGGAGTGTTACACAGAAGATAGGGCACAGCAGCATGTTGGCTCTCCAGCAGCAAGACGCTTCTGTACACTTTGTGATTTCCTACACCATATAAATGTATTGAATCCCCACGTTCGACATTCTCGGTGAATTTCCAAGAGGTCTTCAGCCGCCTGAGTGTCACAAACGGCCTCGGTGACGCGGCCTAGAATTACATTTGTTCATTGTATTCGCTTGCACAACTTATCAGCGGGATTGTGCAGCGCACTGAGATAGTTGTATTACTCCAAACAGACGGAAATGCTCCGACGTGTCATCTTACATTGTGAGAGTCTCCAAGTAATCCGTCTGGGCTAATTGGACCAGGCAAGCGAACTGAGGGTAACATATGCAATCAGAGGAAGCAGTGAGGCTCAACAGCATCCTGCCACGCCACCTGGCGTTCCATCTGCGATATTTAACAGCGGCAAACTTCCCATGATTGATTGATATTACAGAGCGGGTTGTCACCAGCAGAAGGGGTTTCTATTCACCTTCACACGGAATCCGATTATCTTGGGAACCCATCCCCAATTTCAAAGATGTCGACGACGCACGAGTATGAATACATCCCACTCGAAGATCCAGAAATGTGGATCAGACTTCTGAGGCTGTCTCCCTCGACCGAAGATCACCCCGAACTTAGAGGGGAGCTGATCACCTGTCGTCGGGAAGAAGCCCCACCGTACCAACCCGTGTCTTACACTTGGGGCCGGCAAGACCCTACTTCTACCATGTTGCTCAGAAACGATGGGGATCCACAGTGTAGTTGCCCACACAGTGGCGCAGAACATCGACCAGTCATGGGATCAACCACCCAATCTACTTCAGATGTGGATAATCTCTCCCTCCTCACCTCACGACCGACTGGGCTTGACGTCAGGGCCACCGAATGCATACATACCACATGGCGAAGGTTCCATATCAGACCGAATCTCGAAGCAATGCTCCAACAATTCCGCAATTTGTCTGGTTCGAAAGTCTTCTGGGTTGATGCAATCTGCATCGATCAAACCAACAACAGCGAAAAGGGACACCAAGTCCGAAACATGGACAAGATCTACAGGGACAAGCGGCTTCTTATATGGCTAGGAGAACCAACGGACGATAGCAACGTGGTTCTGGATCTTATCGAATCCGTCGACCGTCTCTTCAAGGGGGACGAGCCGGAGGAGATCCAAGAAGAGAAAGCCATTCAGAGCCTCCTTGCACAAAGCGCGTCGACTTGGAAGGCGTTTCGCGAGTTTACTGGACGTCCTTGGTTTACACGCCGGTGGATTGTTCAAGAGGTTGTCCTATCCGGGCACAAGCATGCATACGTGGGAGGTCGAGAGTTTTGCTTTAAACAGATAATCCTTTTTTGCGATCTAATCCGGAACCAGCGCCTCTATCTTTCCAAAGATGAACACGAGTACAGTGAATGCAGAGAAATTGGAGAAAACTCACCATCTCACGCACACGGATTCCAAGCCCCGATCCTTGATCCGATTGATAATCTCAGTCGACTTTGGGATGTCTCCTGCGCAGCTGGACGAAAGGAAAGCGGTGCCCTGACTCTTGAGAAACTACTGGACAATTTTGCGTCATTCGAATCTCATGATCCAAGGGATGGGATCTACGCGTTTATATCTATGGCCAGCGACATAAATAGGATGGACTGGTTCCCGGACTATTCAACAAACCAAACAGTCACAGACGTCTACAGTCAAGCCGTGCTCCACATCATGCGCAGCGGTGGTTCCATTGACATCATATGCCATCGGGCACATGACTGGGGTTTTGCCCGATCAGTCCTCCATCCCTCACGCTAGATACCGTGGTTTGGCCCACGAAAGGTTGAATTCTGGCCGGGACATGATCATTCTATTCATGGATACAACACGAAGTCTTTGACGACATTTGGGCGACCACTACGGGCCTTGAGGCGACATGACCCGGCATATTATCCTCGGGAATGTCAGGGCTGTGGCTCTCACCATCCAAATCGGACCTGTGATGGGTGCGAAGCGTTCATCGAGGGAACAGGGTATGAATGCTTGGATTGCTCGGAGTTCGATTACTGCCACAGATGCATATACGACAGCGCTTCACACCATGATGGTACCCACAGGTTTGAGATCTACAACAAGACCATTTACTTTGCTTCAGGTATAACAGGAGTGTGCGCCCCTCCTGAAGCTCGGGTATTCAGGGATTCGGTCACCTCCACTTTCGGTGATTTGATTGTCCTCCCCGCCGGCGGGTTTCTAGCAGATACCATTCGAGGTCTGGGGGCACCAGGGAGAATAGTTTACAGCGCCGATAAGCTGAACTTTCAAATAAATGGAGATGAATGGAAAAGTCTACCGGGAATGAAAGAAATTGACTTGGATCAGGATGGTCGATTTGGAGACAAGTTCTTCAGAGCTCTCACCGGAAACAGAAGCATTGTCGACGACAGAGTTTGCCATATACCGGAAGAAGACCTGAAGGTCTTTAAGGAGAGCCCTCTATCAAGAAAAATCCCAACGGATGTTAAAAGCAACCTGGCTAGTTCCGTCACTTTCATGTTGTGCAACAGCCGAAGATTTGCGACAACCGAGGGATCTTTGGGGTTTGTGCCATACGAGGCTCGTGTTGGGGACCGCATTGCAGTCCTCATGGGTTGCTCTGTTCCAGTCGTGATTCGGGCCTGGCCAAGCGCCCCCGCGTGGGTGTTGATGGGTGAATGCTACATAGAGGGATTGATGGAAGGAGAATACATGGAGGTCGTGAGAGAGCTGAATCTTTCCCATCAAGATATTTACTTAATATAGGAAACAAACTTTGTTGTCTCGTTGCGGCCTTCGTCTTGTTTCTTAGCTTTCTTTCCATAGTTTCCTACATCAGGTTCCCCCCTACTTGGACATCCTATCGGCTCTAGGTAACATGCAAGGGCTGGAATCGGCTGAGCTTCACAATACATTCAGATCTAGTTGATCTATAGGCCCTCATACCGCAGAGCATAACCTAAAGTGGGCTCTAAGAAGAGAAATTCAATGCTAACCATAGGTTCAGGCTTAGTGTGATTAGCAAGACGATGCCCTTCAATATATGAAGCCCTGAAGACAGGATAAGTCTAGCCACATACTGTCTCGCAGTCCTAAGAGCTAATGTTACAGCCGCAGCGGAAACTTGCGAGTATGATTATACATTTCTCTTTGATAGCCGCAGCGTTTTAGGCTTTGCTATCGTTGCAAGAGTGCGAGCACCTCATCCTCGCAGCAGCTATTGTGTTTGCTATCCTACCAATTGTCGAATAACGCCAGCACAATACGGATCCATCATCCATAATTTCGCCAGTTCTAAATTTACTGGATTTTGTCATTCGCTAGGAAGAAGTGTCGATCAACTCGAATAACATAAGACTCGCTGTGTCCCGTGTACTCTTGTACTGGCTTTATCCAGCGCTCAATGGGATACACTGGCGATGCGCAAGATCCTGTTCAACCACGGTCTCAAGACCAGCGACGATGAGCTTCTCAGATTGCCGTCCGCATCAACCGACATGTGAAGGCCGCGAAACGAGGCCGGTGGGGACCCAGCTACAGGGGCAATGATCCAGCGCAACAACGACCGCAATGTCGTCATTCCTTCATCCTCTTTTCGCCGAGAAAGCATTTCGCTCCGTCGCGTTATTCAACCAAACGCGAGTTTCCCAATATGCATCGCCGCCCGAGAATAATGAAGGACGTCGGAACACCCGGCCACGTCCACCTTCAAAAACTCCCGGCCTCGACAACCGACAACCTGCAACACAAAGTCTCGAACGGCTCCGAGTCGGAACCCACGGCTGGGCCACCCCCCCACCCCCACCCCCGGTTAGCGCACGCCCCACTGGGCACCACGGCATTTGGCCCCGGGAAAACAAAAAGGAGGGAAGGGGCGCTGGAGGAGGGGCGAAGAATGCGAGGGGGGGAGCTTTTCTTTCGCGACCGCATGGGTGTCCGTACATTTCCGAGGGAAGCCGGCGGGGCAACAGTTCAGTTACCGACCTGTGGTTTCAACGTAGGTTTTGCGTGTGCTTTTTTTGGGTTCTGTCGTCTGATGGAATGTGCAATTGGAATCTCATAGATTGCGCATCGTTTGACCCAGTCTTCGTAAATCATTGCATACACCGGAGAGGTTCGCCGTTCGGGCTGGTGCTCTCCGACAGTCTCCGTCGCGACACAGGTAACACCATCCAACAACCCCCCCACCATCCCTTCCCCAGGGAACACCCGCGCTCGCGAGCCGAGGATATTGGTGTCGTCAGTCCGGAAATCCCGCCCAGCTGTACACGCACAGGTGTCACTGTCACATTGCAATCAATCATACTTTCAAACGTTCCGTTGAACAGAATTTTGGGATCTATTTTGTGTTGGCTGCGCCGACGCCATTTGGTCGTCGCGCATGAGGGGGGAATATACAACAACAACTGTGTCTTCAATCAAACAATGCCTACTCCGATGCTCGGAGCAAGATGCCCAAAATATGCCAAAAAGAAAAAAAAAGTAAAAACATGGAAAAATATCATTCTAAGCACCGGCCGTAGATGAATGCATCGCATCGCCCCATATCCCTTTTCTTGGTGGGATACTTTCCATTACTTAAAACTTGTTCTGGTTCGCGTTCTGCTTGAACATGGTCGCGTCGGGCTTGTACTTCTTAGACACCAGGCGGACGTCGTACTCGACATCCAGCACGGCGCCGTTGGGCTCGTCCTTGACGGGCACGAAGTCGAGCAACAGGTCGGGCTTGACGGCGCTGACGGTGTCGGTCTCGAGGTAGGGGTCGTCGCGCGGGTACAGCTGAGCCGTGACACCAATATAATCGTCGTGGGTGACCATCATGTGGATGTGGGCGGGGCGGTAGGGGTGGCGGCCCATGATCTTGAGCAGGTCGGCCGAGGGGCCGGTGGTGTCGATGGCGTACTCGGTGGGCTTGAGGCAGTAGAACCAGAAGCGGCCGTCGGCGTCGGTGCGGAACTTGCCGCGCAGGTTGTGGCGGGTCTGGTTCTCCGGGTCGAAGACGTCGTACTTGCCGTTGGTGGAGGCCTGCCACATGTCGAAGACGGCGTTGGGGATGCCCTTGCCGGTCTCGGCGTCGTAGATGCGGCCGTGGAACTTTGTGAGCTGGGCCTTGTTGTCGTTGGGCATGTTCTGCACGACGGAGGCGCCGAGGTCGCGGAAGGGGGTCTCGGGGGACCAGAAGGGGCCGAGGATGGTGGAGGAGGTGGGCTGCGCGCCGGACTCTGTGACGACGTGGTTGTTGATCTCGTCGACGAGGCTGTTTTGGGTGTTGTTAGATGGCGGTGATGAATATCTCTAGAAAGGGGTGATGGCTTACGACTCAATACCCAGAATGTCCATGACTCTCCAGGCCTCGTTGCGGTTCTTCTTGTAGGCCTGGCCGATGGAGTTGATGTAGTTGACGCCGAGCACCCACTCGTCCTGCTTCAGCTCGACCTCCCTGCAGAAGTCGTGCATGTGCCTGATGAGGGAGGTGAGGATTTCCCTATGGCGGGGCAGGGTCTCGGGGGCCATGAGGTCGATGACATGTTGTGTGAAGTTGGGGTCGAACTTGCTGTTGTTGTCGTTCTGGTTGCTGGTCTTGACGCCGTTGGTGCCGTTGGCTCCGTTGGTGTGGCCGTTGGTGTGGGCTCCGTTGACGCCGTTTGTTGCCATTGTGCCGGGTGTTGTATGTGTTTGTATGTGTATGAGAAGAGGGGAGAGAGGGTTGTGAGGTGGGGGTATCAAGAATGAGAGTGTTACAGATTGCTTCGCGATTACGGTAAAGGGCGAAGGACAGGTAGCGCGGGGCTTTGGTTGTAGAGGATGATGATGTCTGGGGAAGAGAGAAGAGGCACGATGGACATGTCACGAAGGGGGACCCTGAAGTTAAGTATGAATCTCAGGGACGCGGGAGCAGTAGGGATGAAAGAATGGACCAGGACCGAGGGCACGAGTCGTCGTATGATGGGCGGCAAGAGAAATCGGCAAATTGACCAAAGGCGCAATCACGATTGGGGAGGGGACCTTGGGGCTGGGCACCCATCCGTAGGGGCAGGCAGGTACCAAGACCGGACCTGGGGGACCTGGGGTAAAACTTTAGCTCATGGCTTTCGCCTCCGCCACGCCCAGTCTCTTTTTCTTTGCGCAGCTGTCTGAGAGTGAAAGAAAGACAGCTTTTGGGCAAAACATATTACCGGACTGCGCTGCCGTGGAAAAGTAATGTTCCCAGCGTGGCACAGTCCAAGTGCGGGGTATCCGTCAGGTACGTACTTTGTAGTGTAGATGCGGGGGAGGGTGGTCCACTGTAACTCACTGGAAAGCAGCAGATGCGCGGCGCTGAGTGGTTGGATTGTTGAAGGGATGGCCTGTGCGGCGGCGCGTGGTGCAGGTATTATATTTTGGAGATGCGCCATTGGACGCCGCCCGTGGGGAAGGGGCTGCCTCCGGGCTCGGGGGTCGGTAACGGATCACGGCTTGAGGCTGCTTGCTTGCTGTCTGCTGTGCGCTCTGCTGCTGCTGCTCGCGTCTTCGCGTGTTACCTCACCCAAGGACGTGGGTCTCGCTGACTCATCACCATTGTCCTCACCAGCATGACCTTCAAAAACTACCCAAAAAGAGTTTCGGGACGGATTCCTGGCACTTGCACATCGGATGTTTTCATTCTTCAAGCCCCCGTCCATCGTGCCACCCGTGGATCCATGGGGAAGATTGATATCCAAAAAGTTGGGGGAGCGGAGGCGAGGGGGGGGAGTTACATGCTTCCGGCAAGACCCAACGGCTTGGTGCACACCACACCACCGGTTCGACGACACGGTTGGGAGGATTGGAATCGTACGTCATGTTGGTCGCGCGCCGACATCCATGGCACGAGGTGCAGCCAGCCTATTGCGCCGTGTCTATCGCATTTTGCCTTTCGTCTATTGGCTTGAGCTGCCTCTCCAGTGTTGGTGTTGGAAGTGTGGCTGAAGGTGGCTTGGTAGGGCAGTCACTGTCGAGTTCTCATCTTCTAAGCCAACAATGCGTCTCGTCTGTCAGAAATAGTTGTAGTCATAACGGGTGGCTAATGTTCAATGTGTGTATTGCTATCAAATCTAACCTACCACATCTTGATCAATACTTCACAGTCGCCGTGTTCGCCTCCGGCATCGGCTGGAACTCATTCACCCACTTGTTCCTCGGCTTGCTCAACGTACTCTTCCCGCGACGCAGGAAATTCCCATCGCCCATCTTCCCCAGCAGTCCCCCATTGTCCCTATCCCAAACCACCTTGCCCCTCAAGATGGTATACCGCGGCCAATTTTCAAACTTCATCCCCTCAAACGGCGAGTAGTCAATGTCGTGGTGCAGCATCTCGTTCTCCAGCTGAAACGCCTCCATCTTCGCCACCTCCCCTCCCCCAGCCGTGGCAGCCACCTGGTCAGCCGTCGGATACCAAATCACAAAATCCGCATCATACCCCGCCGCAATCGCCCCCTTCCTATCCCCCAACCCATAAAGCTTCGCCGGGTTCGTCGCCGTCACCTCCACAAACTTCTGCGGCGTCACCCTCCCCGCCAGCACGCCCCCCTGAAACAGCACCGGCAGCCGCGTCTCCAGCCCCGGCAGCCCGTTCGGCACCTTATCATACCTCATCCCCCCGTCCGCCGCCAGCCCCGCCTTCTTCCCGCTCGGGTGGTCGTACTTGCTCGGCGCGTGGTCCGAGCTGAACGTCGTGAACGTCCCGTTGACGATGCCCGTCCACATCGCCTCCAGGTCCATCGCGTCCTCGCGCAGCGGCGGGCTGCAGATGTGCTTCGCCCCCGAGAAGGCGTCGTGCGCCGGGTGGTTCGGCCGCAGCGCGTCCGCCGTGAGATACAGGTAGTGCGGGCACGTCTCCGCGTGGATGGGCAGCAGCCGCGTCTGCGCGGCGCGCACGTGGCCCGCCGCCGTCTTGGACGACATGTGCACGATCAGGATCGGCACGTCGGAGAGCTCCGCGAGCGAGATGACGCGGTACACGGCCTCGTCCTCGGCGATGTTGGGCCGGCTGATGGCGTGGTAGTACGGCGCCGTGAGCGCCTGCTCGGCCAGCCGCGCCGTGATCCAGGAGATCATGTCGCTGTTCTCGGCGTGCACCATCGTCGTCATGCCCAGCGCGCGCGTCGCCATCATCACGTCGAGGATCTCGCCGTCGCGGAGCTTGAGGGGCTCGTACGTCATGTAGAGCTTGACGGAGGAGATGCCCTCGCGCACGTAGTGGGGCAGCTCGTCGCGCAGGATGGTTGGGGTTGGGTTGGTCAGGATGAGGTGGAAACCGTAGTCGCAGTAGGACTTGCCCGTGGCGCGGCCGTGGTAGTCCTCCACGACGGGGTGGATGGACTCCTGCGTGCGGGACTGCGTTGCGAAGGCGATCACGGTGGTGGTGCCGCCTGCGACGGCGGAGCGGGTGCCGGTTTCGAAGTTGTCTCCTGTGGGTGAGTTGTCCTAGGTTTATGATGATGAGCGAGAGGCATGAAAGTTGCGGGTGTTTTTGAGACTTACCTGGTCGAGATGGACGTGGGAGTCCACGCCGCCGGGCATGACGAATGCATGCTGTGCGTCGATAGTGGTCTTGGCCGAGAAGATGGACTTCAAGTCCTGACCCACTGCGAGGATCTTGCCGTCGCGGACGACAATGTCTTGACGGGCGTGTACATCGGAAGCCGTGACCTGGTGTCTTGTGAGTCTTTATCCTGGTGTTGAGTGATTATGATGTGGGCACTTACAACCGTGGCATTCTCAATGATGAGATCGACCTCCATGATAAAATGTTGTTATGTTCAGCTCTTAGGCACTCACTGCAAGGGTCTTGAGGTGAGGATTCTGTGAGAATCCGAGCTTTCTTCGCCCAGAAACCAATGTGACCTTGCTTGTCAAAATTGATTGGGAATGGCTTCACTCTCAATGACAGAAAGTCTCACAGTAATCAATGATTCATGGCGTTCGGCGAGCAGCAAGATAACAAGCACTTGGCCGCGCTGCGACGATAGGCGAACCTAAGATAAAGATAGGCTCGACAGACCGATACGCGGTTGGCGGACGGCCGGCCTATCAACCTTATCGGGCGGACAGGGGTGCGAGGGAGCTCTCCCCGGAGACAGATCGGACGAGGCATCGCCGTGTAAATGCACGTGAGGGGTAAATGTGGTTGCAATTAGCAATAACCGTCTGCAAAGACAAGCCTCTGTATCGTGGTATTCAACAGGATAATAAGAGTGGCGATTGAGCCGTTTGCTGAGCAGGACCAGCGGTCTTTACACGAGAGTTGCAGAAGCCACTCACAGAAAGTAACACACACATCCGCGATGGCATCACCAAGGACACTGCGCGTGGCCGCAGCCCAGATGGGCGCCACACACTACGGCGACGAGCGCAGCAAGACGCTCGACCGCATGATCAAGCTCCTCGAAGCCGCCGCCGCCAAGGGCGCGCAGGTCGTGCTCTTCCCCGAGGCCGCCTTCACCACCTTCTTCCCGCGGCACCTCATCAACGACCCCGTCGAGCTGGACGCCTTCTTCGAGAAGGGCGACGTCTCAACGCAGCCGCAGACAAAACCGCTCTTCGACAAGGCGCACCAGCTCGGCGTCGACATCTCCGTCGGCTTCGCCGAGAAGGCCGACGACGGGCAGACGTTCAACTCGTGCATTTACTACCACGCCAAGAGCGGCTCCATCCTCTCAAAGTACAGGAAGATTCACCTCCCCGGCGACTTCGAGCCGTTCGCGGACCCGGAGGCGACGAACCAGCTCGAGAAGCGCTACTTCAAGCCCGGCGACCTGGGCTTCAACGCCTTCCGCGTCCCGGACCTCGTCGCCTCGCCGCCGGAGCGCGGGGACCCCATCTTCGGCATGATGATCTGCAACGACCGGCGCTGGGCCGAGAGCTGGCGCACGCTGGGCCTGCAGGGCGTCGAGGTCGTGCTGTGCGGGTACAACACGGCCGGCTTCGCGCCGCACCTGTGGGGGTCGAGCGCCGACATGGACCCGGAGGTGGCGCGCGAGAAGGCCGTGTTCCACCACAAGCTGGTGATGCAGGCGCACAGCTACACAAACGCGTGCTTCAGCGTGAGCGCCGCGCGGTGCGGCATGGATGATGGGAAGTACGACCTCATCGGCGGCAGCTGCATCACCGGGCCCGAGGGCGAGATCATCGCGGAGGCGTCCACGACGGAGGACGAGGTGGTGTATGCGGAGATCAACCTTGACGAGTGCCGCCCGGGCAAGGAGCGCACGTTCGATTTCGCAAGGCACCGGCGGGTGGAACATTACAGCCGGATCACGGAGCAGACCGGCGTCGTGGAGCCTCCGAAGCTCGGGGCCCAGGCGGTGAACGGCGTCACCAACGGGACTGCGGTCAAGGACAAGAAGATCCGCATCCTGCTCGTCAACCCGAACAGCACAAGGGCGATGACGGACGCCTGCGTCGCCATGGTCGAGAGCCAGCTTCCCCCCGACGTGGTCGTCACCGGCTTCACCGCGCCGCGGCCGTCGCCCTCGGCGATCGAGGGCATGTTCGACAACGTAATGTCCGCCGCGGCCGCCGCCCGTGCAGTGCTCCCCCTCGCAGCGACGCACGACGCCGTGCTGGTCGCGTGCTACTCCGACCACGCCCTCATCCGCATGCTGCGCGAGGAGCTCCCGCGGCAGCCCGTCATCGGGATCATGGAGGCGTCGCTCTTCGCCGCGCGCACGCTCGGCGGCCGCTTCGGCCTCGTCGCCGTCAGCGAGCGGTCCAAGGTGCTGCACGAGGACAGCATCCACCACTACGGCTTCTCGACCTCGTGCGCGGGCGTGCTGTCCTGCAAGCTCGGGGTGCTGGACCTGCACGAGAAGAGCCAGGACGAGGTGATGGCCATCATGGCGAACGTTGGCAAGAGGCTGGTGGAGGAGAAAGGGGCGGACGTGTTGTTGCTGGGGTGCGCTGGTATGACGCCTCTCAAGGGCGCGGTGGAGGAGGCCGTTGGCGATGAAGTGCAGGTTGTTGATGGTGTGTTGGCTGGTGTGCATCACCTGGTGGGTATGGTGCGCATGGGCGGCGCGACGGCAAAGAGGGGTGTGTACAAGAGCTCCGCCGCGGGTCGCAAAGCCCGTGGTCAGGATTGGATTTGAGCGTCTGTAGTTGGAAATGATGATAAAGATGCCCAAATGGCAACAGCATTGGGATAGTGATCACCAAGGCCCCAAAAACCCGCTTCCCAAAGTCGGGATGTGACCGCAAACTCGGTACACGTATAACAGCTCGTCCTATGTGGTTGCGTCAATGATCGATTCCCAAGTACATAGTCCTGAGTCTTTCGTACGTACTCATGATCCTGTATCTGTGGCAAAATCTATGGACGTTAGCGAGTCCATGTCATCCGCAAACCAACTCGTGAAGTTGTCTGTGAAGTTATCCACAGCATAAAGATCTTCGAGATCAGGAGTTGTCTCTGGTATCATGTAGTCCGAGCACAAAGCTTGACCATCAAGTCTCAGATGTGCCGCTGAGCTTCCATCGGCAGCACCAAGAGATGCAGCAAAGGCTTTCGGTGTCATGAGAAAACACTTTTTGAATTGCCGGTGAAGGTGCGTGCTGGTGATACCCAGCTTCCGGGCCATGCTCTCCACGGTCCACTTGACATTGTCGGCTTCCGCGGCCAAAATCATGGCATGTGCGCGGTGTGCAATCCTGCGGCCGCTATTGTCCCTAGTCCAGCTATCATTGCACGGCTCGCACCGCTTGCATGGCCGGTACCCGGATTGCGAGGCATGCTGCAGGTCATTGAAGAAGATGACGTTACCCCGTCGAGCAACGCGACCAGGGCACGTCGGCCGGCAAAATATCTGGGTCGACTTGACGCCGTAGAAGAAGGATGAGTTGGCGGAGAGGTCTCGACGAGAGACTAGAAGCCACCGAGCAGAGTCGCTGATCTCGTTGGCTTGAGATGCCATCGACTGGGCGGCTGATGAAGATGATTGCAAGTCACGAGGGAAAAGGGTGAGGAAGGTTTGGCATCGAAATTTGGCTTGGCTCGGTGGGTCACGTGTCTGAATTCAGTCTCGGCTTCAGACCGGGGCACTTGATTGGACAGTTCGAGGTTGCTCTTTCGAGCGGATGACATGATTGGTCAGTTTGAGATCACAGCTCCTTCACTTTTTGAAGGGTGTAAGTCAGGTACAAAACGCGTGCCTCTTTCTTTTCAAGATGGTCATATTTGACTCTGCTGTAAACATCGTGAAAAAGATTCCATCTGCCAAATCCACTAATTATTCCAACTTTTTCACACCGGTCAACATTTGACAAGACCATGGACAATCCTTCTGCTGCAAATGCGTTCGGCACTCTTGGGGCAGTGCTCTGGTCGCTTCAGGTAAGAATCAACTTTCTTCCCGTGGCTTCTCATTTTTTTCATTTGGGGACATCTCTCCTGACGATTATTCAAGCTCTTGCCTCAAATCTGGAAAAACTGGAGGCGGCGCGACAGCCAGTCCTTATCGTCGACGTTTTTCCTCTCATGGGCTATCGCCGGAGTGCCTCTCGGCGTGTACAACATCGCCGATGACTTCAATATTGCCCTCCAGATACAGCCCAACGTCTTGATCTTTCTCAGTCTCTGGACTTGGTCTCAATGCAAATACTATGCCGACAACTGGGGCATCAAGAAAATTGTCCCATTTGTCACCAGTCTCGCCACCGTTCTTGCCGGCGTTGAGTATGGACTCGTATACGCCCTCCGCCTGGCCCGCGAGCGCGGGCACATTTGGCCATCGATGCTCATGGCTATTGTAGCAGCGGTTTTGTTGGCTGGTGGTGTGCTAAGACATTATGTCCAGATGTTGAGGACTCGATCGGACGCTGGAGTGTCTCTGAAGTTTGCGACTCTCGATTTGAGTGGAGATGTTGCGTCGCTTTTGTCGGTGATCTTCCAGAAGACACTAAAAATCTATGGACTCGTTATTTATGGATCTGAATTGGCGATTTGGATTGGGCTGATAGGCCTGGCTCTCTATTACCGGCATGTCGGCCAAGGCGAACCCAGCAAAACAACCGGGGCTGATCCAGTGGTGGAAGACAGAAGCAACGTTCAGACTACAGACCTCAACAAAGTGCATCAGACTACGTAGAGCTGTACCGAGGTAACCTTGAAGATTCCTGGCTTTGTTAGAATACCCAGCAATTATTTGCCAAGTCCCAACATCTCGCCCTCTTCGTCACCAGGTCTCTGGGGCCTAGTCAGCCGGGTTGCGAGAAACATCCAGTCTATTGAATTAATCCTCATACGTAAAACATCATAATATCTTGACTGAACCTTCTTTTCGAGTGCAATTGAATAATAATCAGGATCTAGAAGACCGAAAAGCGATCATTTCTCTAGTCATTCATGTTACAACGGGGGTTGGTTCACCGGCGGCCAATCGGCAAACGGCCCGTTATCAGCAGACGGAGCTCTTGATTCCAGCCTCCCCGGCCGCGCGGGGAACTCAAGCGACACGATAGCTACGCGCATGAACCGGTTCACCTAGACGTGCCGTAACTTTCTTCAACAAGCACATCATGGAGACCGCCGCGCACACTCGTACAAGGTCGTTCGGTAATCGCAACCGCCACCCCTGCGACTTCTGCCGATACAAGCGCGCGGCCTGTCTGCTGCCCGGGCCCCCGCCCTGCGAGCTCTGCCGGCGGCAGGGCAAAGAGTGCACGTTTGTCGAAGGGCCGAACAAGAGACGGCGCGTTGCGGAGCGGGTTCACAGTCCTTCCGACGATGGCCTGGAGAGTCCGACGTACCACACCCGGGCTCCGTCCGATACGGAGATGAGGTCTCAGTCGGGAGAGATGAGTTCGCCGTTGAATGAGATGCACTTCATCGCCGATGGGGCAGAACCAACGAGTCTGGTCTCCCCGACCGGGTTCCAACGGGAGTGTCCAGATGTGTTGTTACCGGCATCACTCGACGCTAAACTCAACCACAACGCGCAAGTCATCGGCCTCAGCGGCGAATCGGACCCGTACCTACTTCAGCTTTACCAGTTTGACGAGAAGGATGAGTGCGAATTTCAGCAATTGCGCATCCGAAACATGGGTATGGATGATGGGGTCCCTGTTCAGTTCATGCTGCAGGATAATTCGTTGGCGAGCAGAGCACAGCCAGGAGATTTTGGAGCCAGCGAATCAGATATCAAAAATGAGGTCCTCAACATGGTTTCTGAGGACGTCGGTAGGAGACTCTTAAACTTGTAAGTTTCTCTGAGGATTTTTCCTTTAGTATTCCTCTTCATTAACCAAAAACTGCAGGTTCTGGCGCTATGTACAGCCGTATTTCCCCATCCTTTCGATGGAATACATCATGCAAGATAACAACGGGGACCCATCAACGTTGCCAACATCCCTGGCAGCAGCCATCTACGGGCATGCACTCCCCTTCTGCGTTTTCGATGACAAACTGTGCGTCGACGTTTACACGCCTCCTTCGGCCGACCGTCTTTTCAAGCTTGCATGGATGGCTGCTCTTTCCCAGTTTCACACGCCATCGCTAGCCACCGTGCAGACGATGCTTCTTCTCATACAGCGACGCCCAACAAACAGACACGTGGCCGACACGCCGTTCAAATGGGTCATGCTAGCTGACACGGTGGCTCTCGCACAATGCCTCGGTCTCAATCTGGACCCCAGTGACTGGTCAATACCGCCGTGGGAGAAGCGCCTCCGTCGACGGCTGGCATGGGCGGTGTACGTGCAAGACCGGTGGCTGAGTCTGAACTTTGGTCGGAGTTCGCACATCCAGGAATGTGACTGGGATGTCTCTTCTCTGGGACCTGAGGACTTTGGAAGCCTCTCGGGGATTGAAGATGAACCTGCGATATCCAAGCACTTTCTACACCTGGCGTCGCTGACAGAGATTGTATCAAAGATTCAGCTGAACATGTTGTACGTCTGTTTCATCCCCCACAACCCGCATGTAGTGAGTGCTGACTTTATAAGCTCCGTCAAAGCCACAAGGGCCTTATCGAAGTCACTGGAAGCGAGTTTCGAAGTTGCTAGGCCGCTGCGAATTGAGCTCGCTCAGTGGTCCCAGGACCATCCTGATGTGGGTGAACAGCCCTCGCCAGCTTTACCTCATCATGGGCTCGACGGCAATGGCAGTCTCCGGCTTGCATATATCACTGCAAAGGTTGCCGTTTTCAAGGCATTATTGCGACCAAAGAGTAACGAGGCCCCTGCAGAAGCCCGCGCTGCATTGCGGACGGGAGCCATGGCCGTCGCCAGGGAGATGTACGATTTCCTTGCCAAGCTGGGGCCTCATCATCTGGAAGCCTTCTGGCATTCGTGTAAGCAGTATAATCCTTCGTTGATAGTTAATGATTCGTGCTGACTTGGGTAGACTCTCGTGTCAACTTCGCCATCGCCAGTAACTTCATTGTCCTTCTCTTCGCCCTTTCTCCGACTTTGCCCGATGCTGAAGACGCTCTCACACTTTTGACTCAGTGGCGAAGTTTGTTGCGCATCAAATCGAGAAGCTGCGATTTGCTGAACCTCAGTCTGCTACGACTAGACGCAACGTTTGTTGCAGGACTGGGGAAGCTCATTGAACTGGCTCCTGCGGCTGCAGAGGCAGTTCTGAACCGGAAGCTTTGAGGAAGGCGACAATGCGCATGTGCAGCTATCTCTCCGCCTGGTTTTGGCAATACGATGCCATCTTCAAATAGCGTGTAAAGCGTATATTTATTTCCAATCAACTCAGCAAAATGTCGCTTGAACTCGGCATCATGCCTTTTCAGACACTATACTGCTTGGCTTCCATGCTCTTCTCCGGCTCCATGGGCTCCTCCTTTGGAGGTTGTCCCTCGATTGACAGCTCATCCAACTTCTCGTCAACTTTGAAGGGCCGAATCTTCCAGCACGCCCAATACGTGAAACCAGCGATAAGTGTGCTCACCAGCCAACTCAGGCTATACAAGTAGGTCGCTCCTTTCGGAACCCCCTTGGCACCACAAGCAGCCGCCAGGCCCGGCATGTTGGGCACAATGGCGAAGATGAAGGCAATGATCGCACGCGGGTTAACTCCGAAGGTGAAGAAATGTGTTCCCCGTGGATCGTACAGAGATGAGACTCTCATCTGGCGACCGCGGCAGATCCAGAAGTCGGTGACGATAACTCCCGCAATGGCCCCCAAGAAGAGGGAGTAGCCACCAAGGAACGAAGAGAAAGATTTTGCGCTGGACTCAAAGTCAGAACAGTCCTGCTACTGGGAGGTGTTACTGCTTACCTGTACTGAATGTTCCACGGCACAGCACACACTCCAAGGATAGCGCATACATACGCCCCACGTCGGTTGTTCACGTATTTCGGGAACCAAAGCGACAAGTCGTTGCTGAATGACACACTGTTGGCGCTGATGTTTGTACCAATCACGGCAAAAGCCCAGCAAAGTCCTGCGAAGAACTGCGCAGCGCGGTTGTTCCAGAGACGCGCGACCTCCAAGGGGTTCCAGGTAACCTCGCCGTAGATGACTTCAGAAGCACTGCTGACAGTAGCTCCCAAAACACCGCACATGGTGACAAGCACGATGAGCCCGACAGCCTGGGTCCAGAACACCTGGCGGGGTTCTTTGGCGTATCGTGTGAAATCGGGCATGTTCAATGCAAGCGTCGCCTTGGGGCCGATCGCGCTCGTGACGCATTGAAAAAAGACGACGATGGCTGGTGTGCCGTCTTTTATCACAGTCGGTTTCGAGAAGGTCGGGCCAAAGCCCTTTGCTACGTGATATTAGCAAGATGCAGTACACAGGGATGAGACCGATAGAAAGTTACCAGCAACGAGAGCCCAGATGAACAGGGTCAATCCGAAGATCGGCATAATGATCGTCTTTGCCATGAACATGTACCTCAAGCTGCTTACATGAAGCCAAAGCAGCGGGAGCTGGACGATGATGAAAAGGAAGAAGCACAACAGCTCGGCGCTGGTAACGTGGGCGCTCGCCGGCAGGTGGTTGGGGAAGTTGTTGAACGAGGGCCAGATGGCGGCGATCATGACTTGAAGGCACTGACCGCCCTGGAAAGATTGTGTTCCGAACCAGATACAAGCGACGACACCCCGGACGAATACAGCGGCGTGCGCACCTCGCAGACCGAATGATGCTCGAGTGAAGACGGGGAAGTTGATACCGAAGACACAGCCGACGTATCCGTCCAGCATGGCGGGGATGCATACCAAGACATGGCCGATGAACACCGCGAGAATAGCGAGGCCTGGGTTGAGGCCCTTCGTGACCGATGTCGATGACACTGTTTCCGACGGGGCGCTGTTAGTGACAGGCAAGAGGGAGAGCCGGCGTAGAATGGCGTTTGACATACCTTGGTACATGGAAATTGAGAAGGCTTCAGCAATCCAGAAACCCAACAAGCTAGGCCAGCCCCAGGTGCGCTCCGGCGAGCCCATTGGGATCGGGTCCATGTCCTTGTTGGACAGCCGGCCGCCCTCCGTGCCGAGTTCGGCGCTCTCGGAGCGGAGCTCCAAACGCTGCCGGATCCCCATGATGTGACGTTGATCCTGCTCAATTGAAATTGCTAAGAGAAAGTCAAATTGGGGCAGGAGCAGAAGCGACGTGTCTAAGCGTGCGGAGACTCGGGGCAGTTATTCGATTCTTTTTTTTTCTGCTCGTTACATTCCGGCGTTCTTTGTTCATTTCTACAGAACTGCTTATCGAAACTGGTCTCGGCTATCGCCCGTGGCAGCTTTGTGTTCCCCGGTCGTGCCATACCATGACATGGAGATAGGCGTGATAAGTGCCGGGGCGCTATCAGCATGCCTGAAAGTTATCGCATCAGCCATTGGCCTATCTTGGTGTTCCTTGCTGTCAACCCAGCAAACGTTGATAGCCCGGACATAATCTTATCGATCGGGTGGTTTCCGCGGTGGTGCTGCATGCGGGGATTCCGCGGGGGATCACGAAACAATGGGTTTACTCAGCAGAAAGTCAAATGTGAAGCTTCATCATGAGCTCGATGTTCCTGAGAAGGCTTCTGTCGTCAACGTCTAGGACGACAGGTTTAGCATCAATTCACACCAATACAACATGGCGCCAATCGCGACGTCCGACCTGAAGACATCAATGCCGAACCCGGCTGACCCGACCGTGTTTCCCGCCCCTGATTCAGATGAGAGACTCAGGGAACTTTGGTATATGCATGGAGATCCGCACAGCACCAAGTATGAATCAATCGAATCATCTCGACTTCCACGCAGTGAAGGCTGACGGGATTGAAAACAGATTCTCAAATCCAAATCTGACAAGTATCGCCAAGTTGGTCGAGCACAACGCCGCCACCCAGCCCTCTCAGCCAGCCTTCATCTACCCTGTCAAAGACACTTTCAGTGTACTTGACTGGACTCAGGCCCACCAGCTCTGTCGCCAAGCGGCGGCGCATTATTCACGACGCTTCCGTAAAGAGCTGGAAGTCTCGAACGAGACGCGCCAGCAGCCCACGATAGCGCTTCTAGGGACCGGGAATTCAATTGAGTATCTGATTACGCAAATTGCCCTGAATTATCTGCACGTCCGATCTTTGCTTCTCAGCAACAAGAATGCGCCGGATACCAGAGACTATTTGCTGCGAGTCTGCGATGCGGTGGCAGTCATCACCGACAAGGCGAATGAGGCGTCGCTCTTCGGCGACATAAGTTGCACAACGCCAGTCGTTGAATTGATGACCCTTACTGAGTTGCAGCAAGGCGCTGGAGCGATCTCAGAAGACTTTGTGGTGTTTGAGACGAGCGACGAGTGGAACTTGCAATCGATGATCATCCATTCGTCGGGTTCTACTGGGGTGCCAAAGCCAATTATCCACACGAACAGAAGCTTGTGCCAAATCGCAAGAATATACCGTCGCCTACCGGAGTACTTCATAGAGAACTGGTATCTCTGCTTCCCACTGTTGGTTCTTCAATTTTTCCCTCCGTATACCAAATAACCTCTAACGTAATCCTTAGATTCCATGTCGCTGGCTTATCCACCGTTCTGTCGGGTATTCCTTACGGACTTCCAACGACCATGCCGCCTGAAAAATGGCCACCGGCTCCAAGTTCTATCCTAACAGCGTGGAGAACTCTCGAATCCCTGGGTTATCCCGTGGACTGCACCCATTGCGCACCCTCGGTCATCGATGATCTGTACGAGTACATCAACCTCACCACCAAAGACTTCACACCACTTGTGAAGCTCAAAGTCTTGCAGCCCGGTGGCGCCCCGCTGTCGCCAAGCATGGTTGCGAAACTTCAAGCGCTTGGAGTTAATGTGAAGACCACCTACGGAACAACAGAAATCGGACCACCAATGCGGACCATCCCACATACAAGAGAAAATCCAGACGTATATCGCTTCCGCAATCTCTACCCAGGCTCTCCTCTGGTGCGCATGGAGCCTCTCGGCGACGGACTTTTCGAGTGCGTTGTTTACAAAGGCTTTCCGCTCGCGGCAGAGCTCTGGTTAGATGATGCGGCACCGAATCCGTACCGCACGGGCGATATGTTCCTCGAAGATCCGCCGGCAAGCGGGTACTTTGTCCTCCAGGGACGGCGAGATGATATTCTCATCCACTCCAACGGCGAGAAGACTCATGCCTCTGCTCTGGCTATGGCCCTTGAAGAAGACAAGACAAGCATTATCACAAAGACGGCGGTTTACGGGACTGGAAAGTCCTGCCCTTCTGTTGTTGTCGAGGTAGACTGGCAAGCTGTCGACAGCCGAGGGTCTAGCGTCGACATAGAGAACGAGGTATGGAAAGTGGTCGCAGGGTGTAACGAGAAGTCCGCAGCCTTCTCCAAAATTCCTCGGGAGCTGGTTCTCGTTCTCGACAAAGGAGAGATGTTGCCGGTCACACCCAAAGGGAACGTCAGAAGAAAAAACGCTTGGGATTTGTATGGGGATCGGGTCGAAAATCTGTACAGCAAACTCTTTGGCGACGACTCCGGCTCGACGACCGACTCCAACGGTTTTGCTGGTTCTCCAACAATAGAGACAATCCAGAAGGCAGCATCTGAGGTGTTTGGGCTCCCACTGGAGGAAATCGAAGAGGACAGGAACTGGTACGAACTTGGGCTCGATTCCATCCAGGCAGTGTCGTTACGTACTCAGCTGGTCAAGTCCTTCGGAAGCTTTCCACTCATGTTCATCTTCGAATACCCGACGGCAAAGAGCCTTTTAGGCTTTCTTCTGCGTCCTAAGAGCGACGTTTTGGACACTAAAGCGATAGTTACGACTCAACGTCATGAGTGGATTCAATCTTCTATCAACCGGATGAATCAGGAGATGAATGGGTGGACGATACAAAATGCCGAAGACCGTGGAGCAGCACCCAGGGGCCAGGACGTCATCTATCTCACAGGGGCCAGTGGATCTTTGGGTAGCGCGCTGTTGGAAGTACTGGTGCAAGTTCCCTCCATCAAGAAGGTGTACTGTGCAGTGCGAGGTCGCGATCCACAAGAAAAGGTTGTCCAGTCGCTGAAATCGAGAGGTTACGCCGAAGACGTGTGGAAGAGCACAAAGATTCACGCTGTCAACTACGACATGAAGGATGCAAGGCTGGGTTTGGATGCAGAGACCTACAAGAAAGTTGAGGCTGAGGTGACGGTGGTGATGCACAACGCCTGGAAACTCGACTTTAACCAGCCGGTGCAGCAATTTGACGATGACTGTTTAAGAGGTACGACCCAGTCTACCCAGGAACGCGAATTATGCTGACAGCTTACCAGGCACCATGCATCTGATGGCTTTCTGCCTAAAAGGACCGAAGAAAACGTTTGCATTCATGAGTAGTGTCGCCGCGGCCATGGGCAGTAAGGCAACTGGAGTGATCGCAGAACTACCACTGGGGCCGGATCCCGAGAGCGCCCTCCAGACAGGCTACGCACAATCCAAATTCATCATCGAGCAGATTACCCAGAACTATGCGTCAACGTTCAACGTACCCGTTCACATCTTCCGGGTAGGTCAGCTGAGCGGGCATTCTCGACTAGGAACCTGGAACCACACTGAGATGTGGCCAATCATGATGATGACTGCTCTCAATCTTCTATCAGCGATGCCGCTCTTGCAGACGACGGTGGACTGGCTTCCGGTGGACGTATGCGCGAAAGTTATCAAGAAAGCCGTCCTCTCGTCGACAGCTGAAAGATCATACACTGTCACAAATTTGACAAATCCGAGCACGACTTCATGGGAGGGCTTGCTGTCCTGTTTGGAAGAGGCTTCTGAGAAGAGACTCGAGCGGATCGAAATGAAGGCATGGGTATCGAGGCTGGAAGCAGCGGCCGACTCGTCCAGTTCCAACGGGCACGATATACCGGCGTTAAAGCTACTCGGGTTCTTCCAAGCTATGGCTGAAGGAGGTGGCAATGGGGAAGGGGTACAATTCGAATCATCTAAGGTAGCACCAGGCAAAGGGATAGATACTAACATGGTTCTAAAATGGTTGGAAACTTGGAAGCAGTCCGGTTATCTGAAGACGTAGACTTCATCTAAATAGCACCTCAAAAATAGGTCGAAGATCGTCGATAGTAATTGATTTGAGGACTAAAAGCCATCGTAATCAAGACACTTTGTGCTTTGTCTGGGATGCTCGTTTCGCCTGTGCTTGCGTGCACAGAAGACTCTGTACTCTATTGACTCGAGGCTTAAGGCGCCCACATGGCAGCTCGAGTAGAAATCTCCGGAGGTTGAAGGGGAGCGATTGTGCGTAAGATACAAAGTACGTAAGAATTAAGTGAGGGGGCGAACGGATGATTGCGGCAACCTGTCAGATCGATCGTTATGCGGATCGTCTGGGGAAGTAGTACTACGTTCCCGTCTACCCCACATACTCCACGTGCGGCTTGATGAACTCCTGTCGTCCAGGATTGGTTTGCGTACAGTGATGATGATAATAATAACTCCAGTGCTAGCATCTCCGGGTAAAGATAAACATAGAAACATTAGCTTTTAAAAAGGAAACCTTTTCATTCCACGCTTGATCAGACCAGGCAGTCCTTTCACCCTCCAGATTTCAACATGTCCTCCGTGTCTGTGTCAGTCAAGCCAGGTACGGTAATCGTGGCGGTTGCTGTCACTGCGGTTGCGCTTGTGATAGCGACGCAAATATACGAGCGGATACGACTGAACCAAAAGTACAAGTTTCCTGGCCGCATACCTGGCATTCCTCTATTTGGAAATTCATTCCAAATCCCTGCCATACAGCAAGGACCATGGGCGAAGGAAAAAGCAGAGCGATACGGCGAGATGTGAGTCTGTTACTGGGATATCCAAAATGGTTGATTCATAGAAAGCACCAAGGCGGATGACTGACACTCCGGGATAGGTTTACATGCAAGTTTGGAGGTTCGACTTGGGTGTTCCTCAATTCCTCGCGAACAGTACATGATCTGCTAGAGCGTCGCGCGGCAATCTACAGCTCTAGGCCGGACTTTCCTATGACCCAAGACATTATATCTCGGGGATCGCGCATAGTCTTGATGCCGTACAACGACCAATGGCGGACCCTTAGGAAGATCATGCACAATGTCCTGATGGCACGTCAGGAAGACGTCTTTAAGCCTTTTCAAGACTTGGAATCGAAGCATCTCTTGTGGGACTATCTCGAGAAACCGGAAAGGTGGTGGTCGGCTAATGCTCGATACGCAAACTCCGTTATCATGAGTGTTGTGTTCGGTCGGCGAACTGTACTGGATGATTCCGAGGTCGAAGAGCTCTTTGAGACGATTGAACTATTCCTGGAGAACCAGCAGCCTGGCGTAAATCTCGTCGACGGCTTCCCCATTTTCAAGAAGCTCCCCCAATTCTTGCAGTGGTGGCGTCCACGTGGTGATGCAATCTTTCGCAAGACGTACAAGTAAGTTTTTATGCTTGTTAAATGACTAGCGCGAGGTAACTGACTAGTTTGTGTCGCTAGAGTTTATGAGAGAGAACTTGAAAAGACGAAAGCGAAACTAAAAGATAGAACGCAACGCCAATGCTTCGCCACCGATTTCATCGAGAGCGAGGAATACGGTAACATGTCACAAACACAGCAGCTCTTCACCTTTGGCTCCCTCATGGAAGCTGGCAGCGACACTTCACGTGTTAGCATTGGTCAAATCATTGCTGCGGCGGCCACATATCCCGACTGGGTCGTCAAAGCGCGCGAGCACCTCGACAAAGTTTGTGGGGCAAACGCAGAGCGTCTTCCAGAATGGAACGATAAGCCAGATCTGAAGTACATATCTGCCGTGGTCAAGGAAGGATTCCGATGAAGGCCGAACATCGCAGAGATAGGCGCCCCTCATATGCTGACCAGAGATGATGAATACGAAGGCTACAAATTCCCAGCTGGGACGGTCTTTACGTGGAATGCATGGGCGATTGCACTGAACGAGAAAGAATACAAGGATCCGGAGCGCTTTTGCCCCGAAAGATTCTTGGACAATGATGTCGAGAACGTCCTAAAGGGACACTGGAGCTTCGGGCCAGGTTGGTGAAGTTCTGCTCTTGGATGACTGTGGCATATGCTGAGTAACGTTCACTTAGGTCGCAGGGTATGTGCTGGTTGGAAGGTTGGCGAGATGAACGTGTGGATTGCGGCTGCGCGGTTGCTGTACTGCTTCGACTTTGAACAGATTCCAGGGGAGAGTATCGACACCATGGCTATTCCACAAATTACGAAGAACAAGGCACCGTTCAGTGTCAAAGTCAGTGCGAGAAGTCAGGCGCACGCCGATCTCATTAGGATGGAGTGCTCGGAATCGGTGAACGTAGTCTATTGATTCGAAGTAAATACATTACCCCAGTTATCAGCACCATCACGAACGCATGAACTTGATTCTTCTTTCTATCCCAGCGATTGGAAAATCTTCCTCTTGACCTAAATCTGTGAGCCCCTTCACTTTCTATAGGTACTCGTCGTGATTTGAGCTCAAGCTGTGGCAATGAATCCCTTCGGTTATCATGGCTACTGCGATACAATGAGTCGAAAGCCCGATGTGCAAAAGCATCAATGACAACTTATTAGAGGGGGGAAAATGCAACCAGTCTTAAGGATCCCTATGAGAGGCAGCATGGTCATTGGAATTCCTAAAGCCATCATGACGGGCAGATATTTGCTTTCAAATGCAAAAAAGTGCATGCTAGGTTCTTCATCTAGCATTGAACCATGAATAATACCGGTCCGCTCTAGCCTAAGACTCCACCGCGCCGTTGACATTGAAATGCTTAGAAAAGTCGTGAGTGATAGTGTTGATGCCACCAACAAGCGCCTTAATCTTGACAGGGTCGTTGCCAGCCGCGTTCATAGCTTTGAGGAACTCATCCCTCCCCACCAGCGAATCTGGATCACTGTCGTACATGCGTACCAAGTTCGAGCTCGACACAGGGTCAATGAACTGCAGGTACTTCTCGCGCCGAACCTGGGAGTAGATGTCCAGGATGCTGTCATTGGCTTTACCCTCATGAACGCCGACCAAGCAGTCTACCAGGCCTCCCACGTCTACGATGCCACCGGTGAGACCTAGGCCGCCGAAAGGATTGCATACTGTGTGCTATGTTAGCATTGCGGCCTGAAGTGTCATTGCCACTTGGGCGAGAAGCACTTACGATGAGCAGCGTCTGCAGCGAGCACGAAAGGTCCCACTCGCATTGATTCTGCAAGACGTTGATGAACTTTGTAGGGGCTGAAATTGACGATGCGGTAATCCTGCGGGGAGGGGTTGCCAGGCAGCATCTTTCTCCATTTTTCTTCTTGCGCGGCAAGCAGCTCATCTTTGCTCAGCGCAGCGGGTACACCATAGCTGACGCGCCAGACTCCGTCCTTGGAGATTCTCGATGCCATGTACCAGTGCTCCGGGTCTACGATAAAGTTCGCGTCCTCGTAGCCAAATTTGTGGAAGTCGTAGTACACCTTGTAAGCCATAATTAGCTCTCTTTCACTTCACATGGAAACATCCCCCCCAAAGACTCACATTTGTTGCCACAACCTGTGTATCCCAAGTCTTGCCCGGGAATTCCCAGTCGCCGAATAGTTTTCTTCTAATTATGCTATTCGCGCCGTCGCACCCGACCACGTATTTGGCTCGGAGGTCTTTGGTACCGCTCGAAGTCTTCGCGGTGATGACGCCGAGGCCATTGTCGTCGCGGATGTCAACAACTTCATAGTCCCACAATATCTCAGCATTGGGTTGTTTCTCCAGATGCGAAAGCAGGATACGACCAAGCTGATCTAGTGGTAGACAGACGAGTCTGTTGGGGTCCTCTGGCAATACGGTGTGGTCCAGAGTACCGAGCACCTTGTTTCCGAAGGTCCTGTACGTGAGTTTGTTCGGATAGAAGCCTTGGCGGACCACATCTTCCATGAGGCCTGCGCGATGCAGGATCTCAACCGCAGGTCCGGCATAATGGGTGGCTCTCGGTTGCTTGTCCAGCGTCAATGTCTTCTCAACCAGTGTGACCGATACGTTGTTGCGAGCAAGGAGCAAGCTCAGAAGAAGACCTGATGGTCCTGCTCCAACAACAATAACATATGGATCATGCGACGCCATGCTGATCAATCTCTCAAATCGTTACTTTGACGTCGTCTCGTGCGCTTCGTTCTGTAATGGATACGTTAGGATGAGTCTAGGTGCAAAAAAGACCAAGAATTGAATATGGAACCAGTTGCAGAGGGACATCTGGAGACTGAACGAACGTTACTTACGTCGTCTAATAATGATACTTACCTACAACCAACGTGCATCGGAGTGACTCTGGAGAACCTGAGATGTACGAGCCCCCACCAGGAGTAGCCCGCAACAGACGGGAAGCTAGGGAGATTCTTTTTTGGGAGTGTCCTCCATAGGTCATGGATTCCTCCGGATGTCATCCGATTGCTGTCTCGCACTCCCTCCCACATTGTTTCCAGCCCAACTACGCAGTACAATCTTTCGTCCATGGGTGTCCAACCTCTTCCCCCACATCAAGACGGCACCCCACACAATCAAACATCACCCCACATGAGCACTTCAGACTCTACCCCGCGAAGTACAGACCCAGCTCCTGACCCCTATTTTTATATTTCTCAGGTCAAGTTTTGGTGCGTACTTACCTCTTTTGCACTCATCTAACCTGAAATCGCTTACTAGGTACAGAGATTAAACTAACGTCGAGATAATCATTATGCACTACTTGACATGAGTAATCGCTCTGACCTCATAGGCGTACGTGGACTATTGCACAGGAAATTCGCATTCCACCATACCAAAGAACACCCGATATGTGACAGACTCTGCCACCAAAGATTATCCTATTTCCTGTGAGAGCTCTGAAGAATGTGTCTTTAAATCGGCTGTTGTCACCTAGTCTTACTTCCTTTCTTCCTGGGAGTCCTCTCTGCCCAGCCTGAGAAGCATAGAGTCCCGTTCCAGCTGAGTTGTAAGTAAGAAGTAACACAACATGATGTTTGACCGGAAACACATTAGGGTTCGGCATTCTAGTCCTCGTCGCCCCAACACATGGCACTACACTTAGCTAATAGTCCGAGTCCACAATTCCCTCAGCTCTTCCAGCATCGCATCTGCTACGATAAAGTTGCGTCGAATGACTTGGAACAGGCTAATGACAGCCTCTCGCTGCTGACGCTGCTTCGCGCGTGCCCCAGCAACCCTCAGCGGAAACAAGAACAGCAACGGCGACAGACTAGACCCCTTCAAAGCCTCTTTGACTGTCGCAACGATGGCGTCAAAGTGCTCTTCAATCCGACTTGCACTCAATATCGGCACCGCAACGCCCAAGCCCTGCCAGTGTGCCAGGTCATAATCGTAATTCCCTGACAGATAGATGCTGGTGGCTGAGTGACATGCGGTTGACAGCAGCCTCTCGTCTGTTGATTCCGGAAGAAACGACGCGGTAAACTCCCAAGAATCAAGTGCTTCTCGCAAGCTGAAACCCTCAGTTGCCAACTCCAGGCCCTCGCTCAGATGGACGTCCGACGTTGTCTGAGCTGGGAAGACCTTGCCTGTAAAGTCGGCCGTCCTTCATATTAATGTATCAGTCTCTTACCTGCTGAAGTCTGGGGAAACTTACCGAACACGCAAATTAGAACTTAGTACTACCAACTTGAGAATCTCATCCAAATCGGTCGAGAGGTCGTCTGTCAGGCTGATCCATTCCGGATTTGCTAGGAAACTGGGCTGATTGAAAATGATTGACCTGCATGCTTCGAACGTGCGCGACTGGATGAAGAACGTCCTCATCGTGCCCGACTTACATGCCGCAGGACCGCTGGCAACAAGGGCTTGTGCCGTGCCAAAGACCATGTGTTGAAGCCACTTTTGACCCGAGGCGTCTTGCAGCAGCTATAGATACGGTCAGCACTTGGCCTGGACCAAGGTTGACAATACCCTAGTCTCACTCACCTCGAATAAGCCGAGAAAGAAAGTAGACCAGGCTATGGAGTCTCTCCGCGTCGGAGAAAAGTTGGAGACGGCATTGCGCAGTTCAAAAAGAGACTGCTGATACGACCGCAAGGCGAATCCTAGGTTGTTGTTGTGTGCCATAGCACCCAGAGAGTGGGCTTGCATGGCGCCGAGAGCGAGCATAGCATCGAACAGCGAGCGGCTCGCGTGTGGGACCAAATCGGCAGAGGATTTTGTCAACCGTTGGACGTCAGAAATGAAAGATGGCTCTCGTCCGGTGAAATTATTTGCTCGTACAAACATGTCGAAGTAGAACAAATAAGCGGTTGTAACATCTGGAATAGGCTTTTGAGGGCGCATTGCTGCCGGAGGCCGAAAGTCCTTGGGCGTGTGGATCCTTCCCCTCTCTAGCCTGATGACGGCACCCTTTGCTTCAGGAGGTGACGCTGCAAAGAGGCACTCGAGTCCCCGTTTCTCACATCTTGTGCAAGGACTCAAGCCGGAGCACTGGAAGCAGTCAGCGGATTAGAAAAAAAGGAGCTGCGCAGGTAGCGTGCTGGCGATACATAGGCTGCCTACTTTGGAGTGACTTGTGGCGCACGCAACGCAGCGAGACCTCCTGGTCCGACGATCGAATGGACCTAGAGACATCAACCGCGAGAACAGCACCTGTTTAGGCAAAGCGCTGTCAAGTAAAATTTTCGTATCAATGCTCTCCTGCTCTGGAGATGGAAACAAGCCGTCCGTTCGGGAAGTAAGCCACGTTGAAGAGTGCCTGGCATGAAGTAGTCATTGGGAGCGACAGAGACATGCGTCTAGAAGTGGAGGGCTGTGTCGATACACCAACCCCAAAATGGAAGCAATCGGGCGGCGCTAACAACGAACAGGGCGGAAATGGGCATTATTCGCCAATCACATCACAGAGATACCTTCAGCTGAAAGAGAGATTGGAGAGATGAACGGTGAATCGCTTCTCAGTCGCTAGCAGGGGTCTATCAGCCCATCAAACTCCACTCCGCTTGCCCAATATGGGAAGCAATCGTGCGAAATGACATCCGGAAGGCATCGCGAGTTGTCAAGTATCGCGTATAAGACGATTCGGATTCCTGATTCCTGATTCAAATTCGAAAGTTCAACAACAACTCGAACTCATCTCAAACACCGCCGGCAAAAATCATTTTTCTGAATCTCAAGCTTCACAGCCATGTTCAACACTTACATCCTTTGGCTCCTGGCCTCATCTGCACAGGCCGTCCTTGTGGCGCCGCCTACCGGGCCTTATGCCGTCTCCATGTCTGTCCAGAGCCTCACCGACCACTCCCGGATGGACCCATACGCGCTCAGCAACAACTCACACGCCCGCCAAGTCATGATGTCGACCTTCCTTCCTGTCGACGAGGCCATGACCCCGTGTTCTGGCCGGGAAAGGGTGCCATACATGACGCCGCTGGTCGCCCAGGCTTATGATCAGCTTGGGACTGCTGTTGGTCTTCCCAACGGCACCTTTTCCTCCTTTGAGATGGAGTTTTGCAAGACGAAGAGTCGGGCTTGTCGACGAACCCGCTCCAAGTTCCCTCTGGTGCTGTTCTCGCCTGGCTGGGGCAATCCTCGGTTGCTGTACGGCGCCATGGCACGGGAAGTTGCAAGTCGCGGCTTGGCGGTTGTCACCATCGATCATCCTTACGACCCGTCATATGTCGAGTTTCCCGACGGCACCGTCTACAAGGCAGTGAACCTAGACACCGATAACACAACACAGCTGGAATTTCTCACCAAGGTAATACATCCAAAATCGCGAATCCAGTAGAATGGCTATTTATAATGAAACAGGTCCGGGCTCAAGACACGTCCTTCGTTCTCTCCCATCTCTCCAAGAATCCTGTGGCAGGCATCGACCTCGACCGCACCATCATGTTCGGCCACTCCCTCGGCGGTGCCACCGCAGCCGCAGCGATGTTGAAGGACCCTCGCATTCTGGGAGGTGTTGACCTCGACGGCAGGCTTCTGAGCCCCGTCCTCGAAGAAGGGCTCGACCGGCCCTTCGCAATTGTGGGCAGACCTGGGCACGCTGCCGAAGACCCCACCTGGGACCAATTCTACAGCGTTCTGCGCGGCAAGAAGGCCGACTTGAGCGTCTCCGGAACCGTCCACGCAAGCTTCACGGACTTTCCGACTCTCATTGCTTCTCTGAACATCAGTCTGCCGGAGACAGCCAAGGCGCTGACAGCGCTGCCGCCAAAGCCAATCTATCAAACCTACTAACAAATATACCAAACAATTGAAGCTATTCCCAACTGTCAATTAAACAATTCCTGACCCCTCAGATTTGATATATTGGGTTGATTTGGCTTGGTATATTATAT